CTGAAGAAGTAAAGGTTGGAAGACGCTTACCGAGAACAGTTTCCACCACCCGCGAACAATGAGCGCATGGAAATGATTTCGTGCACTATCGCTGATGTTGAGCAAACGCAGAGCCCTCAATGCTTTGAATGCGCCCACAGTTCTAGTGACTTGGCCTTCGTTCAGGAACGATGTACCAACATTGACCCAAAGAGTGATCAACACGATACCGTCTATGAAACCCCAAGAGCCGCGGAAGTAGGCGTTGGGCGTCCAAAAGAAGCCATCAGCAATTACTTTGATAAGCGCCTCGATGCTGAAGAGCACCGCAAAGCCCATGTCTACCCACACGAACCAGTTCTTGACGCTGAACTCGTGGGTCATGAAGTACTCGCGTTGGTACAGTGGCGTCGTGATACAGGCCAACAGTACCATGGCGATAATTGCAGCGTAGATGAATGCCGAGAATGCATACCAGACAGGTACAGATGGAGCAACTCCTTCTATACGATCACCACCGCGACCGGGGCCCACGACACGCTGACATAGCTTGCGTATGGGATTGTTGGCTCGGAAGATGAACAGGGAAACGTTGTAGTTGGGATGGTTTCGTAAATACTCGCGTTGAGCCTTCTTACGCCTCTCGGTAGCTGAGACGACCTCCTTTGCCATGCTTCTTGGGTCAAGATCCTCATATGCGCGGCCGAAGTCGAGAGGAGCGTAGAAAGGGTTGGGCTCCCGGTGTATGATTCGACGCTGGAACCGTTGCCAGATTGTGGACATGGTTCCCGATCCCACTATAGTCTTGGCTGGGCGGATGCCTGGTCGCGGGTCTTCTTCTTGTGGGCTTTCGCTACCGTCCGCCTCGTCAAGAAAGTCACGGACGACCGCATCTTTGAGCAGCATTTCTGTGGCGGCGTGTCCATAGTCGAGTGGATCTCTGCGTTGTGCCTGCCCGAGCTTGAAGATGGATGACAGAGATAGATTACTAGAATGGGTGAGCTGGTATATCAATCGTAGGAAGAGATTCCAACATACCCAGTGGACGAAGTAAGACCATCTTCCTTTTGCTGCAGAAACGCTTTGACTTGCTGTAAGCGCTTCTCATCCTCGGACACATCGAAGTTCTCCTGAATGACAGCAATAAACATGTTCAGGACAATGACTAGTCTTTGGTTAGTCTATGGCCCGGAGTGGAAGTCGAATTGTACTTACAATTAGCGAAAATGAACCACATGATACAAAAAGACGCTCCAATCCATGCTGTGCCAAAAGGCTTCTGGAATTGGGTAACGGTGTACAGGATACTTGTCCAATCTTCACTGGAAAATATCTGGTACATCCCCAAGAAAGAGTTGTAGATGTCGAAGAACGGTACGCGAATCGTCTCGCCATCGTCTTCTTCCGGAATCTCGCCGCGGAACAGCTGTGAGGCGAAGATGGATGCTAGAAAAGTCAAAAGGAACACAAAGAGAATCAAGTTCAGTAGACCACCCGCGTTTCCGAACACGACTGTCTGGTATGAATGTTAGTTCAGGAGTTCTGAATGGCGGAGAATGGAACCTACAATGAGGTCGCGTGTCATTGGTACAGCCAAGACAACGCGATAGACGCGAAGGATTTGGAATATTGATAACCAGGCGTAGGCTTTTCCATCGTGTGCATGCTTGATGGCTGGTATCTGTATGACGGCTGTGATGATGGCGATCATGAGATCGATGACGTTACGTCTGCTCCTGAAGAAATGCCTCCAGTCGACAATAATTCGTATGAGAATCTCAACGAACAGTATGAAAGTAACGACAATTTCTGCGGCATTGATGAAAAACCGGCGAAAGTCGCTCATGTTGGCGCTTCTCATCATCTGAGCAACAAGGCCAAAGGCTATGACAGCCACCCATACCCATAGGGTCTTGTCGTAGAGTCGTTTGAGACTACCCACACGCTGTTTCTCGTCGTTCTTCTCTGCATCTTCATCTTTGATCTCCACTCCAGTGAAGGCGCTGGTCTTGCTTTCTTCGCGGATGATCTGGAAGGAGGAGGTGATGACAGCGATCAGAAGAGAGATGAGCCACAAACTCAGGATTAACAGCCCTACGATGAAGAAAAGGGCACTGATGAGGTAATCGGTATCGGCTACTGTGTAGAGCAAGTCAGACCACGTATTGGACGACATGATGACGAAAACAAGCTCAAGAGACTGAAGGATGTTGTCGAAACTTTTCGTGCCTGCAAATGGGTTGTCATTCTCAACGCAGACTGAGCCCTTTGGACAAAGAAAACCTTTGCCGTCGTCAGGCCCAGGTGGCATGCCTGGAGCAGGTATGTACGTTTGGGGATGATAGCCTTCAATGTCGGCTAAATGGCCACCGCAGAATTGGGCATCATTCGTGAAGTTTTGCTCTCCTGGCGGACCTAACCACACACAGTTTCTCCGCAGACTTGATTTGAAACTTTGGACACCGACGATGGAGAAGAGAAGCCAGAAGAATCCGATAAGAAAGGCGACATTGACCAGCAAAGGCGCGGCCTTTTTCAAACTTCGGAGAATGACGGAGGTTCCGCTGGTGAGGTTCAGAAGACGGATGATTCGCAAACAACTCAACATGTCGAACACGAGTATGACTCGGCTATTATCAATGTTCCACAGGCCTAGGACAAAAGCAATCCAGTACGAGACGACCGCAACAAAGTCGGTTCGATTGAACGAGTGTCTGAGATACGCCCGATGGGCTAGACGAGTACGTACTTGCTGACGTGCATCGCCTACCCCAATGTCGGTGTGCATCTGTGCAGTGGTGAAGGACCGGAGCACTGAAGGCTGGTGGGGATCTGGAGCAAAATCGGTGTTGGTGCCCGTTTTTCGCTGTGAAGGCTGTCGGTGCAGACCTCCGAATAGTTGGTTTGCTTTGCTTATGACAGCCTCGCGTAAGCCGACCTGGCGGTTGATGGTGCTGTACTCGACGGGATTGATAATGAAACCAGAGACGATTATGCGGACGATGACCTCGAATGTGTATATGATGAAAAGACACATGAGAGCCCAGTCGATGCCATTGAAGGTCGAGATTTCTTTGCTGTGCCCAGTGTTATATACCGCCTTGGTACGCGCATCCACTGCTAGTAAAATCGTTTGGATGACGATGAGAACGAGCAGCAGTGGCTCCGTGACGGGATGCACAAGCAGGTCGCAAAGCTGGATTCTCAATTTGCTGTCGGCGGGAAAAATGCCAAGACTCTTCCCACGCAAGGGATTAGTAGGCTGGTTCCATGATGCACTTGGCGTCCTTGAGTATACGACCGGTGACGGTGGCTTCTCAATTGGCGTGGAGGGAACAGGCGAGGTAGGACCGTCATTAGAGTACTCGGGCAGTGGTGGAATTGACAGAGGAGGTGCGAGGCGTCCTTGGTGTATGGTGGATTTCCGTTGGATGGTTCGCTCAGCGACCTGAGAATCGTTGCTGACATTGACCACACGCTGGGACATGTTCCGCATAATAGTCCCAGCCCTGTGCAGAGGTGACTCGAAATTGCCAGGCGATAACGAGCGCTTCCTTCCTCTTGAGTCGCGCACGTTGCCAGCCTCGACCTGCCCAATGTCGCCGCCATGCCGGGCTATCGGCGAGGCATCACCAGGGCTGAGAAAGTGCACGCTCTGGAAGCTGGAGCGCTCATTGGGAGTGGAAGGAGCTGTAGCCCCGCTTATCGGCTGGAGATTGCGCGCGTCCGTCAAGCGGGCCGTATCGTCGTAGGTGGGGGAGAAGTAGTCGTGGTCTTCCGAGGTGGATCTGTCAACGTATGGTTCGTGCCCATAGGGTGTGTAGGTCATCGACGATGCCGGTGTAGGTATTGGCGGCGATGTGTCGCCCTGGAATTCCATGCCCATGCCGAATCCAATGGCCGCCTGGAATGCGCCCGCGTCCAAGGGCGAGCCAGGCTCTTCGTCTTCCACCACCCTTCGGATGCCATTATGCGAAGGGGGCAGGTTGGTGTTTATTTGCGGCGGTGCGAATCGCGTAGGGCTGGGCGACACCTCTACAATGGGCGAGTACTGAGAGTCGCGGAAATGTCCCCCTGTTGCTATCGCGCCTGTCTGTCTGAGCAGATTGCGCCCGCGATCGCTAAGAGTCCGCCGGTGTTCTTGCGACGCATCTTCTTCGAAGCTGTCGGGTGGGCGATTGAGGTCTTGCAGAGGTATTGATTGGTGGGGGTGACTTCGGCCGTGGTTGGGATCCGGGTAGGACATCGGGACGTCCTGTCTGATATGCGGCGTTCAACCCAGCATCTGAACCAACTAGCTCTCCCAGAATGCTATTGCGCGATCATGCAGGCGTCAAAACGAACGTAAGCGAGTGTCGTAGCGTAGAGAGAGTGTAACAGCGATGGCGAGAGCGGTAGGTGGCGCGTAGCAGTCCAAAGGGCGCGTGTAGTGTGTTTGGTGGGAAAGTGTTGGTTGAAATGCGGGATGGATGCGGATTCCCAAGCACAGACAAGGGTACAGTGAGCGACAAGGATGCGCGGCTTAGGCTAGGGCTGAGGGTTAATTTTAGTTTAACGTCCAGGGTACTTGTCGCGTTTGGCATGTGTCATCGCTATCTTGTAGAAGGATGCGGTTCTGAAGAACATGATCTTGCTATGCGACTATGTATATGGCTTTTACTCTCCAAGTCAAAGTGAGCCACCATGCAGCATAAGGGACTAACACAAGCAGAGAATCCGAAACTGCTGACGGCTTACTATGCAACGTCCTGGCCCCTGGCGTGGAATCCTCCGGCAATGAGCCACACTCGGTGGAGCTGTGGCTTGTGCACTTGCGTGAGCCACGCGGCCTTACATCGTCACTCTTGTCATCATGGCCGTGACGATGATAATTTCGGTGGCTTGGTAGAGTCCCAACCGACGGCCGGTCAAATTGTCCATCTTGTCACGAAAGACCGATACTCTTGGAATGCCCATGTCCTGTAAGACGCGTGCATTAAGGTTTATACGGACTGGTCTTAGTAAGCAGCCTACATTCATGCCATACATTCGAGATGCCATTGCCATGGCTCTGCCTGTGTGATACAAGCAAAACCGCTGTCTGCATTCTTCGTCATCGTCACGAGTATTGTATGTCTGCCAGATTGCATGTGCAAGGCTGGCCCGATGGCGCTTTACCGCTTCGGGCCTCCCCCGGACTCGCCGACAATCGACGCGCGACATTCATCACTCACATCACCGAAAAGGGACATCGGCACTCACATCATCGCCCTGCCCACGAGCCCGCCGACACAACGACAGCATTACGCATCGCCATCTCACAACGCGCATCTGATAATCACCATTTCTGGCCTCTAACCCGTATTCACACGTAACTCACACGCGTCGCCGCACGCGAGGCACCGCAGCCATGCCGTCTCGAAAACGCGCCGCCGACGAAATGGAGGCCGAGGCGCCTGTTGAAGAGCCCAGCACACTGCAGAAACTGCGCAATATGTGGCAGTTTGCAAATCTGGCCCAGTACATCAGTCTCTTCGGTGACGCAGTCAAAATCGACAGGGACTTTGACATCGAGGTACATGCCCTTTGCGCCTGGCATCCCAGCCCGGCGCGCATATATCTTATAGGGACCACGAGCTGACAAACGTACAGGAATTGGAATCCGAATGCCTCCAACCACAGCCATCCGACAAACTTGCACAAATTGGCCTAGCGCTGCTGAAGCACGTATCGTCACACAAGGGCTTGACGTAAGACCTGGCCATTGCGCATAGTTTCGATAGTACTGACACGATGACAGACCCGAAATCTTCGATGAGTACACCCGCCGGCAGTATGTTGCGAAAGCGCCCGCTCGAAACCCCTTTGGCGAGGAAGAGGAGCCCAACAAGTTCCACGACTTCGACGTCTTCACCAAAATACGCGTCTTGCAACAACTTTCCGTATGGACGCTCAACAATCCGAACACAATAAGAGAGAAGATTGGAGCGACGGACAACGAGCAGACACTATGGGTAAGCATCACCTGGATTGGTGCAGGGCAATGACTAACATGCCACAGCGTATGGAGCCCACAGGCTGGGACTCGCAAGAACGATCGCTCTTTGTTCTCGACGACAATCGCATGTACCGTATGACCGATCCACCGCCACCTCCCGAACCTACGAAAGCCAAGTCCAAAACCAAAGCAAAGCCCAAGAAATCAAGAGGTTCAAGGGCCAGCAAGCGACAAAAGGCTTCCACTCCCGAACCCGAAGAAGCCGAAGAGGAGGAGCAGGCGAACGACGAGCAACAGCCTCAGGAGATTGACGACGGTCTCGGCGGCAAGAAGTGGGAGTGCATTTGCGTCACCTTGGAAGACTACCAGGAGTATATGAGCAGCATCCGGAAGAGTCGCGATCCGAACGAGAAGGTTCTATACAAGCGACTTCAGGAAGATGTCATGCCCGTCATGGAGGGGTTGGCAGAGGAGCAAGCAAAGAAGCAGGCCCGCAAGATGAAGGAGTTGGAGAACATGCAGAAGCTTGCTACAGCGAAGCGCTCGTCCCGAATTTCGTCACGACTTGAGAAACAAAAGGAGGTTGAGGAAGCCGAGGCTGCGGAACGTAAGAGGCAGGAAGAACTTGCAATGGCCAAGGCGGAGCAAGAGAAGCAAAAGAAGATGGAGGAAGCACAAGATTCTCGCAGGATGACTCGTGAGCAACGGCTGAAGGAGCGTGAGACGGCAAAGATTCTGAAAGAAGAGGAGCTGCGTAAACTGCACGAGAATGAACAGAAGCTGGCCTCAAACAACGCCAGGCTATCAGAGCGACACCTGAAGGCCATGATGAAGAAGCACGAAAGTGATCTCAAGAGGCTCAATGAGGAGGAAGATTGGTTCTTTGACTGCGAGAAGTGCGGCACTTACGGCTCCAACCTGGTGAGTTTCAATGCATAATGACTATGCATTCCGCTGACTCTGGTAGAACGACAACACCCCGCAAATATCTTGTGAGAAGTGCAATGTCTGGCAACACATGAAGTGCCATGACATCACAGAAGAACAGGCCGATGATTCGAAGTTTACGTTCGTCTGCACTGCCTGCAAGCGTAAAGAGGGAGAGGCAGACGAGCCGAAGCTCCCTTCTCTCAAGCTACGATTGACATCACAGTCACCACGAAACCAAACAGAAGCAAATGGCAACGGCCTCTCTATGTCGACGAATCTGTTTGACGCAGTACAACTACCACGACCACAAGCCTTCCAGCCCTCGATGCATCCCGCACAGCCATGGGTCGACGGCCCAAATCTATCTCCCCGTGGTCAAGCTCTAGGTCCACCTGGCATACAAAGATCGGAAGCTGCCTACGGATCACCCACCAAAGGCGCGAACGGTAGCATGTCATCGCCCATACGATCTCACTTCTCATCTCCTGGGCACAGAACTGGCAACGGTCCAACATCGTCACCTCCACCGTACAACCTCGAACGGATACCGAGCAGCCCAACAAAAAGCTTCCACATACCACAACCACAGCAGAACGGTAGCTCTTTCGGCGGTCCCAATCCCTTCAACTCCAACCCATTCGGCCCACCGCAACCCGCAGCACCGCATGTACGGAGCTTTAGTCGCCCAGCATCAGCAGCAGGCCCGGGCGGGTCACCAGTAAAGCACTCACCAGCGGCGTCCCCCCGCCCAACCAACGGACTACCACCAAGTTTCAACTTCAACAGTCCTCACTCCTCCTTCCCACCCAGCTCCGCCAACCGCCCCTCCTTCTCCCCAACCAAACATAGCTCGCCAGCGCCCCTCCCAGCAAACATGTCATCGCCGGCCCCTGCACCAATGCGCATAGCTCCATCACCGTCGTCCCAAATGCCCGCGCAGATGCTCCCAGACCCCATTCCCGCGCCCTCAAAACACGACGCTATGCGCCCTGTATCGAGCCACCAAATGTCCGAGACGCCTGTCTTCCCGCCGGTCAAGAGCCTAGAACCTCTCTCCAGCCCAACAATTCTTGATCCACCGGTTAAGAAGTCGAGTCCGGCGCCGAATAGGATTCTTGACGTAACAAATGGTTCGAACGGATATGACCATAAAAGCAGTCAGTGAGCCTCTGATGCACCCGATGCAATTTCAGGGTCGAGGTGTGCGCTTTCTCCTATGGGCATTATGGTAGACCCCTTGTTCTAGCAAGGCGCAGTCATCTCCCCTGCCCCAGTTCTCTTTATGCTACTATCCTCTTTTCTTTTTCAGCAACCGTTGCGGCGTTTTTGGTAATACGGACAACACGTCAACTAGACATTTCATAACAAGTCTGGCTCAGGTCCATCTCTTGCATGATTAGGATATATGGAGTGGGTGGGGGGTGCATGTTCACGGACGATGTTTTCTCTGGCAAGAAAGCATTGGTGTGGGTCATGAAAAGACGGTTGCATGCATGGAGTATTTTCATTTGGTTTTGAGCGTGGTTTCTTGCGGCTTATAGCTTGGTTTGGCTCGGGTTTGAGAAGGCCTCTTTTGTATTATTAGATATGCCATTGCGAGTGGAAAATTGAGTATATTGGAACGTGAGACTGTTCATTTCATGTGCCCTAGGACAGTATACTAAGGGGTAACTTACGGAGTCCCCCTCACGTCGCGAGTAAGAGATTTGTCCTGTCCTCTCGCTGGCTATTCTTGTAAACAACACGACGTATTCCTTATATCGGTTGGGTCGTAATAAGGCGTCTTCATGGGAAACCAATTGCCGTCGTCGTCGTCGTCGTCGTCGTCGTCGTCGTCGTCGTCTTCATCGCTACTCTCCCCATCTTCCTCGTCGCCATATAACTCATCCCTCTTCTGGTTCATCTGGTTACTAATGATCACCTGCTCGGCTAGTGCTTCAAGGAGCATACATCTATCCCCTACTCCACTACCAACGTCTTCTCCTGCACAACCCAGCAGACTCTCATATTCACATCCAAGCTCATCGACAACTGCACGCATCTGTTCTCTATTGACGTATTCCCCCACAGCACCCCAAGCAGAGCCAGGTTTCTCTTCCCCTACCATAGGAAGACCTTTCCAAGCCTGCCTTAGAATCTGCACACAGTAATGAAAAAAACAAATAACATTCCGTCGGTCTACCCTCGCGACTAGAAACAGGAAATCCTACTTTTGATCCGTCAACATCACGCAGTGAAACCGGTTCTCGGGAGGCGTTGGTAATAGAAGTGACATCTTGCATCAGCTCACCCCACTGTGCAGTCTCCTGGATCTGCGTGAAGATCTTGAGTTTGTATTCTCTTGGATTCTTTCCACAGTGCGATTTCAGAGGGGGAGGTAGGGAACGAGATGTCAGGGACGATGACCATGATGCTACTGTCGAAATGTGCTCCCATGTAGTCTGGTAGGAGGAGGCCGTTGGACGAGGAGAAGAGGGAGGTGGACTCCTCATCGGCGCTGGGACCGAACAGTGCGTTGGCTAGGCTTCTGAGACCCCGTGGTATTTTGAACTTTTTGATGTTGACGAAGACGTTGACGAAGACGTTGACGAAGACGTTGACGAAGACGTTGACGAAGACATGACTGCTTGCGTGCGTACGTGTGGCTTCAGATTAAAAGAGGATAAAGTAGTCTAGGAGACGGGCTACGAAGGGTGCGCGGTTATGTTTTAGTAGGGGTGTATGGCTCTTTCGTAACGTGGTGGTTGGCACCGAAGAGAACATGAACCTAACCGTGGAACAGGTCAACGTTTTTGACACTCATCCAGTCTCAGTAACATACGTAGTAGTATCCTGTCACTCTTATAATAATCAAAATTTGAGAATTGATGTTGTCTTCTCCTGGCTGCGTGAGGTCATGTATGCTCACTATGGAGCGGCAAGAGCCTAGCGCTGGTTGGCAAGCCTTCTGAGCCTCTTTGTCTTTCTTTGTACATACAACAACCTGCACAATTCTTCATATACAGCGATCAATTCCCTATTTTCCATGGTCTCGCATCAAATAGCTCATAATTGGACGCGAAAACTTGAAAGGACGGCCGTTGCATGACTGCATCTCCTCCCCGCACCTGCCATCCGGATGTCGCGACGCACCTGGACTTCCCCACCAATCGAGCCACGCTACCTTCGATGAAGGATGTATGCGCTACAAGAGATATTGGGTATCTAGAGTATGCTTGAGAAGCCATGGTATGGTGTAACTGCAATTACCTAGGCATTGTTCAGGTAATGCCCTACCTTCGCAACGCCCATAGGCTGTGGTCGATCTTACCGTATAGACATCCCAACACTTACGGCATCGAAATAGGCGATGCTGAGCTCTTTTCCATTCACCATTTCCTTATCCCGGTGGTGGCTGCTTCCTCAGCACTTGTCATGACCAACACACATACCTCTTGATCCCCGTAAGACGTTCCAAGTCCACATAAGTTCAGGGTAAGACCTTGAATGTATAGTTTATCTTGCAGGAACAGATGCTGGCGGTTGGTTGAGTGATGGTTACTTCGGCAGCCTCTACGACACCGAGGGATTGGACACATACGTGGCACCACTCCAACGCCTAGAAGTCCAGGCGAGCTCTTTTCGTGAAGTTGTACATATGCAAATGCTCATTTGCCAGGTCTGCTTACAGAGTTGTGACTGACTAGGATTAGAACAGGGATGAGGGGTAGTCACAAGGCTGTATGTATAGCATAAGAAGATTTGGTAACGTTGAATTCTCGTTTCTTCGCACTCGCTTATTGATACAGTGAACGTCAAGAAGAACTCATATTTGACGCCTTTTACTCCCTTCAAGACGCACGCACTATGGGCGAGAAGCCGTCACGTGCGAAGCCACGGATGAGGATATTTGTATGCTGCGACGGCACGGCACAGAACGCGATTCGAAACGACGAACCTACTCAGAACACCAATGTTCAACGGTTCAAGCAATGTGTATCCGTCGAAAGATCTCCTGATCAGTTCATATATGAATCAGGCGTAGGTACTCACGCGCCTGAGAACGCAGGCTGGATGAGCTTCTCCAGTATGGGAAACAAAGGCGATCAAGTCACTGGAAGTGGTGAGTGAGCCGTCAGATTGGCTTTCCTTACTACGAAGCCCGCATCTAGGGACAGCGAGTAACATAACTACAGATATCCACACTCTCATTCATAAGCTGTACTACAAGCTATGTGAAAAATACCATAGCAATCCAGATGCAGAGATTCACTTGATCGGATTCTCAAGAGGCGCATTCGCAGTGCGTTGTCTGGTATGCCTGATTGAGAGAATAGGTTTGCTCAGAGTCAAAGGAGACTACGTAACAAAGAAATACAAAGGTCTTTACAGACTCTGGGCATCCCAGGAAGATAGCGAATTGAACGCGTGGGCCAAGGAAGACAGAAAACGTCATGCAGTTCATCCTGTCAAAATAGCCAGCTGTGGAGTCTGGGATACTGTATCCGCCATTATGGAATCGCCCACCCTTTCGTTTGTGGATGATAAAGTGCCAGAGAACCTGGATTTTGCATTCCAGGCGCTAGCACTACATGAGTCAAGGTCCCTCTACAATCCAATACTCTGGAAACACGTACCGAGAAACAAGACATGTATCCGCCAGTGCTGGTTTGCTGGGGATCACTCTGACATCGGGGGCGGCTGGCCAGATTGTGGACTTGCAAATCTGACGTTAGTCTGGATGTTGGCTCAGTACGTGGAGCATTTCACCGGTATGCCCATCTATCGTGAGCGTTTGTACAGGCGTCTCTGTCCACCCGGTGCAGGATCGCGCTATCTGAGTCATACTCTAAGCCAAGGTATGTGCCATGAACGTGCATGAGCTAAGTAGTAAAGACATTAATGCCTACCTTTAGGTAATGTGAATCACTCTTTGTTCCCGCCGACACTACCCAGTGCCATTCCAGCTCGTCAGCATATTCTGGAACAAGACGCCGGAGTAGATGGGTACGCTCCGTTCCAGGAGTCTCATCAACAAACGATACACTTCACAGTTCGCCTTTTTCTGGCTAAGGGTCGAGAGGAGGTTACGAAACGCACTTGCCTACTCACGGCTGGCTCGACACGTCTTGATGGCGCTGCTCCGTCGTCCATAGCCTGGTTACTAGAGAAGACGAAGAAGAGTGAGGGAGAGAAACAGAGAGATGAGGGAAAGAAGGACAAGAACAACGCAAAGAACGCAAAGAACGGGAAGAATGGGGGGAAAATCAAGAACAATGAGAAGGAGAGGGTGAAGGGCAAAGAGACGAGCAAGGACAGCAAGGATGAACAAGATATGCTAATTATTCTGGAGGATAAAACGACAAAGTGGGAAAACGACATCATCAATACATGGACCGCCAAAGCGCAAAAGCTCGTCGATAAGGATGTCGATAACATTTTCGAGAAGGGCATCAGGGAGTACGACATGACCATCGACAAACTTGTTCGTGGATACAACAGCAATGCTCTTAGCCTCACTGTCCAGGAACTCGTTCATAGAAACACAGACCTTGGAGTCGAGTGGGCGTGCAAAATGGTTGTCGACTGGGCTTGGCATTGCAGCCTGGAATATTTCCTCCATAAGAACAAGAACCAGGGAACTTGCGAAGCCGTAAGAAAATTTCTCTACCACTCACCCGTAGAGAATACCACCAGCCAAGAAGCGTCGGATGACCCGCATGATGACGCCGGGGATACTAGTGACGGAGGCGTATCGGACAAAGCACCCGAAGAACCTGAAGACGTGACTTCGTACGACAGCCAACGTGTCAGCAGCACAATACAATAGGAAAGCTTAGCTTGGGCGGTATTGGTTAGTATACATCACCGAGTGTCACGATTTCTTCATGTAAACCCCAGCCAGCACGACCAATCTCAACATGCTTGTAAACATCGTTCACATATTACAACTCCCCAACTACCTTTATGCTACCCAAGAAACGCCCAAACAGCGCCATTCTCCATACCCAAAACACCAATGTATGCGAACAATATGCAAACACGCTCAACAGTAGATTCTCACACAACCGCAGCAGCACCAAAGAAGCATATGTAGCACGTCGCTTAAGCCTTCAACCTCCTCTCCTCACACCGCACACAAACCGGATCCTGACTCTCTCCGCGGAGGAAATACCTCCCATCTTCAAAAGGACCAGAGCAGCACTATCACACATGTTAGCAAAAACGTCACTTCATACGAAGAAGCAGATTGGGGAAGACATACCACACAAACGAAGCACCCAACATGCCACTCCGCCCCCAACGCCTTAACAACCGTATCGGTAACCGGTTTCCTACAACCCTTACACTTTGTACTATACCGATGGGTATGACAATTAACACACCAAGCATATCCATCCTTCTCTACAAACGGCGTGTTGGAATCAAACGGATCGCCACACTGGGCACAGAAAAAGTGACCCGCATGCCACTCGGCACCACAAGCAACAATAACCTCGCCTTCAATAGGCGTCTTGCAGCTCTTGCAGCGGGGAGAAAACAGCTCGTGGAAATCGAGGTGGCAGTAGAAGCGGGGAGTTTCGTCTGTGCCGTCGTCGTGCTCGAGGCGCGCCATGGAGTCTGCGGTGGGATGCGAGGGGAGGTACGGGATATCGGCGCCAGAGAGGCGGGCGCGGATGCGCGAGACGCGTTCGGCGTGTTTGTTGGAGGGTTCTGGGTAGAAGGCTACGCATTCGAGGTGCTCGCCGCATTGATAGCAGGCGAAGCATTCCGGGTGGAAGCGCGCGCCGGAGGCGGAGACGATGCGGCCGGCGATGGGGAGGGCACATTGGGTGCAGAGGGCGCCGGTGCGGACGGTGGTTGGGGTCCAGTGGGTGCGTGGTGTGGCTGTGCCGTTGTAGCTGTGGGATTTGTTCTGGGCGTTTGGTACTGGCAGTGGTCGTGTTGACGCGGCTGGGCCGAAGCCTTTAGGCGTGTTGACGTTGATCGAAGGCACCGAAGGGCTGACGTTGATCGAAGGTACGTTGTTGTTGCGTCCCCGAGTCGGAGCTGGGGTCTCATTGACGGATATGGTCGGAATGTCAGGAGTCACGTTGATGGATGGTGCAGTCGCTCCCCTCCTCAGCGCAGGTGTCTCGCTCACAGAGATGCTGGGTATTGGTGCAGCGTTGCCTCTTGACCCACGGCTCGGCGCTGGTGATTCGCTGACAGATATCGATGGGATTTCCGGTGGTACAGATATTGAAGGTGTTGTAGAGCCTCGTCTTGGCGCTGGAGTCTCGCTGACTGATATGCTCGGAATAGGCGGTGTAGCGCTCGTTGGCGGCACGTAGGGGCCACGGTTGAACAAGTTCTTCTTGGCCGAAATCGATGGGGTCTCAGACACGGAAATAGAAGGGACTGGTGGTGCTGGTGTCGTCCTTGATCGCGCAGGAGTTGAGTCAGACACATTGATACTAGGTAGAGGAGCAGCAGAAGGTCGAGTCGGTATATTGGCTTTCCTCAGCGAGCTGGTGAGTGGTAGAGGTCTTGCTTGAGTTGGGGGGTCCTCGTAGATGTTGATGGTAGGTTTGTTTTTCAGATTGAACCGTCCAGGTGCGGGCACGGAACTAGATGAGCTGTTGGCCTCTGGAACCGTAGGCGGTCTTGGAGTTGTGCTTCGTTCCGGTACGTCAGGTGCGAGGCTGGTTTTAGGCTCGGAAGGAACGTTGATCTCTGGAACTTGCGGTCTTGGAGTAATGTTCCGTTTGGGTACTTCTGGTGCGAGACTGATAGTAGGAATGACAGGTTCAGTTGCAGCATGCTCCAGTGGGGGTGGGCCAGACTTGGTTGTGTTCAAAGGTTTTGGTGCCAGATCGGGTGCAGCAGATATCTCTTCCTTCATCTCAATCACGTTCCAGTTCTTCTCGAAAGAAACGATCGGCCGCCCTGGAGCATCTGAGACAGCGGTAGGAGTAGGTAGCTTCGCACTACGGTCCTTCAGACGAAAGCCTGTAGCAGCACGCAACTCGTCACTCCTTATCTCCTTGCCATCCTTCATCTTCACCTCCGGGACATTCTCCACGTCCGCCTTGACATCTTCTGCTGGCTTCGGTTCTGCCGAGTTCAGGGTATACGCTGCATTTCTCGATTGGGTTGGTGGGTTCTTCTGTATCTCATAACGGTCGAAGCGTTTCGTCGCAATGGCAGGATCCGTGCTGGACCTCACCAGCGGGTTCCCCTTGATCGATTGGAAACGCATAAAGGGATTGCGCCGTATGCCTAAGGGTAGCTTCTCGGTCTTGGGCGGTTCAGCGGCGGGGGTAGGCTTAGGAGCAGGCGGTGCTTCTTCTTCGGGTTCTTCGTATATCTGGTCGTTCGGGTTGGAGAAGAGGCTCCCGCTGATGGTTCGACGGGGTCCGCTGCTTCTTCGTCGTTGTTTGAAGTCTGGAAGGTCTGAGATGGCTTTGGCTAATGCTGGTGACTCGCCGTTCTTACTCTTGATTATATCAAAGCTGCTCTTGGTAGGCGACGCGTTTCCAGCAAGTGATGTATCGGCATCGCCTGTACGGCCGTTGCTTTGCAAGCTGCTACTCCGGCTCCCTGACGCGGCACTCCCCATCGAATGTCGCTTCCGCAGTTTAGAATTGGCCCGTTGCAGATCCTGATCCTTCGGCTCGACGCTCCGACTCCTCTGCGCGCTGTTCTCTCTGGCCAGACCCGGGTATGCATACGGTTTGGTCGGACTGGCCGCTGCCGCATGGGGGTTGCAATGCTTCCAGACCAATTCGACGGCTTCGTCTCGTGCGGCCTCGAATATCTTGCCCTCCTCCTTTGCAAGTTCCAAGTCCTCCATGGCCACGCGAATAGCCCGTGCCTCGTCCTGCTCTGCCTGGCGCTGTTCCCTCTCGCGGTATTGTACGCTGGGTGTGCGCGACCGTGAAGAAGACCGTGAAGTCTCCCGCCCGCGTGGTGGCTGTACCAGTGGCCTTCCAACATTGGCTACGACTTCATCTAGGCTCGCTTTGGAGGTTGTTCGGGTATGCGACTTCGGTTCGTGCGAGGAGGCGGGACGTGCATCCGCGTCGACGACAGGGTCTGTGAAGGTGCGCTGTAGAGAGGAGATGCCAGTCGAGTCGGACATTCGGTTGTTGGATCTATTTGACCATGTGTTGAAGTGTGCAGGAGCAGGTCGAGCTCCGGTGGGACGAGCGGGGCGGTTTGTGCGAAGGTCTTGAAGATAGTTCTCTATGCCAATCATCAGTATAGCAGGTGCGAAGGCGTCGCTATAGTTCTTACTCATTTGGGACGGCGAATAGTAGGCTCCAGGCCCTGGTGACGCAGCACCTTCCCTCTCTTTCGACGTGAACATTGTGAGTATGCGTCGGCCTCGGTGTTTACTGTTCTGTTTGCTGTACAATGATCGGTGCACCAGTCGTGAGTGCCAGCTTTTCTGCCCAGAGAAACAGGGATAGAGAACGATATGTGAAGAAGTGAAGATTAATTGTACGACTCGACGCAGCGAAAAAGCGGTGGTGATGTGGTTGCGATGCTGCACGTAGCTTCTCGATCCGGTTGCCCAGCAACTGCAGGTGTGACGCAGACCGCCCCCATCCCTGCAAGCCGCATTATCCCCGGATCTTCAGGGTCCTTTCATCGAGAGCATGGCCAAGTATCGATTGTAATCGATATGCTATGTTAGTCTTAAAAACAACCAGTTCGCCTCGATAATGACATCTGTCAACGCATTCGTAATTTCGATCCGAGGTGGCTCCGTCGATGTACATGTCTAGCCGCGTGCACGGATCCAGGGGAATGTCACAATGACCCAGGATGATACCTGGGTATGCCAGTTCCAGTGCTGTTTATACATGATAGCATACAACGTTCGTTCTATCCGCCCTCTGTAATGCGTAGGTAGCACTACGTCATCTAGAACTGCCAGCAAGCGTCAAATGCAAAAAGCACGCGAAACCAATGTGTGCGTGACCTAAAAGTCAAGCCCACCCATGTTATCAGCCCTAACACCAAATCCAATCAAAGCGAAAGTGGGTATCCTGCTATTCCAATACATGCATCCCCAAAATGACAAAATCTATCATACTCCAGCCGCATTCGGTTGATTCTCATGTCCAGAACCAACAGAATCCCATCCCATCGTGACACTTTCCAACATCGAATCCCAGGATGCGTCTGCCATTGGCGTTAGTCCTGTCCCCGCGTTCAAAGCTGCGTATTCCCATTCATTGCCCATCACGAAGCCATCAGTATAAGCTTCATTGCCCATGTTGCTGGGTGCATTGAAGCCATTTATAGGAAACGTTCCGCCATTGGCTGCGAGGTCTGGAAATACGGTGCCAGAGCCTGGCCCAGTCATCTTTGGGGATGCCCGGTATGGGATGCTGTGTTCGAGTGGCTGACCTGGTGAGTAAGAAGATTGTGATGTTGATCCACCTCTTGATTGTGAGCTTATTGTTGCGGGGCTGGGCCGGTCGACATCTCTATCACCTCCGGAAAGGTCCATCTCATTATCGGGGAAAGAAAAACCGCCAGCGGGTGTGAAGGCTTGAGCTGCAGAGGTTCCGAAGCCCCCGTTTGAATCAAATTGAGACGTTAAGAAGGCCGCGTTGTGCGCGTTCATGTCGATACTGTTGATATTGTGGAGATGAAATGGCGGAGCAGGGGCGCTGCTCGAGTATTGCGTATTGGAAGTCGATGCCGGCGTGATTGGATTGCCGTTCCCAAACGTATTGACGGGTGGGGCGGGTTGATTCGGCTCGCGTATATTGATTAACGGACTGCAGTTGATTTGCGGATCAGAATGGATCTGGATGACGGTAGGCTATGGGTCAGGAATTAGTAACTTACTTGGGATAACTCTGACTTAGGATTCCAGCTCGATTCCCGACAGTGTCGCTCAGGCCTTGGAGAGCCTCTGGAGTTTGACTCACTTTGCGTGTAGATTGTGTGTATGGCTGATGCCGCATGCCCTGCAGACCTGCACCCTCTAGATCAAGATCTAACTGCACTAAGAACGACTCTGTGAGTGGGTTCTTACGTCGAAGAGCTTCCATCGCTTGCAAGAGAAATTGTAGCGAGGAGGTCATTTGTTGATCCTTCGGCCGCGTCTTGAGGTATTGGACGAACACCCTTGCTGCCACATAAATACAGAAGGATATGAACGGGTTCATCTGCTCAAATCAGTAAACGACAATCGTCGGTCGTGACTAAAGACTTACTGAACCAAGGTCCATGTGACTGATCATACGCATGATGGAAGCAATCTCTGCTGCTGCTGTAACGCATCGAATCTTGCTTTCATTGCTGACATTTGCTGGTAGCCGGTATTTGTCTGCCTTGAAGATGGCTGCTTGGTGAAGACATATTGCCGACGTATGTATGCACATATTCGTGAACACTACGTTGGGTTCGGCTATACCATTTGGTAGACGAATATTATCCGGCAGACTCAGCGATGTCTGCAGAAGTATACGCTCGATGTTTCGATGTCGATTCCAGAAGCCGCCGTTGATATCGTCATCATTGTCATCTGGCATTGGTCGATGCAAGTGAAGCAAATTACGGCCAAACATCGCAGCTGTCAGAACGATACCGCCGAGTGCTTGAAGGTTTTGCACGCCATTTGGATTCAGAATCTGATCCAGCGATCCAGTTTCCATCGGTTTACTCCTCTCAAATGCTTCTTCGCTTGCTGGTAGGTTCGTCATAATCTAAACAGCGTTAGTTTTGCCCATGTATACAAGAGAACTCTGTCCTTACGTCTCTCTCGTCGTAGGTCATCGGCCAACCAGTTCCAATACTTGCGTATCGATCAATGCAAAAGGTTAGCCAGAACGTTCTCCGCCGTTCCTCACGCTCGGTCCAATCCTTGGGTGGAGCTAGGCATTGCTTCACATCTAGTCCAACCCCGTCCAGACGATGCAACTGCATCATCTGAGCCAGTCTTGTGCCTCTCCCGGATGACAGCCAGGCTCTTGGGAAGTACATCTGTCTGAACTCGTACGTAGCCGTCAAAACCCATGTCTGGCAATGTGCAAGGGTGATGGTCGACTCTCCGTGGCCTCGCATCTCATCCATCTGCGCATACTTTCTCGAACGTTGGTAGAAGTGTTCTTGTAACGCCTCGTACTTGTCCGTGATGGAAGCGGCTAGGGTCCACATAATGTATCGCAGACACACCGGCGGGCGCGCTTGAGGAGACAAATTCAGAGCGGCCATGAACCGTGGTCTGTGTATGACGGGCAATGTGAGATGGATCTTGGAGAAGTATATTTGATATCTGGAAAAGCGTCAGCGCAGTCATCATGCCACAGAATGGGTTCTGCTCGTACAAGTCGTCCATGATTTCTTGGGGAGGTAGAGGTTCCTCGAGCCCAAGCCCTATCATCTCCCACGAGGTCTCACGCCCCACGTCGTTCCCCGGTGTACCAAGATTCTGGAATGGGCTTGCGCCAGTAATCCCCGACCGACCGGTCGCTTGGGTATTGCCTGATGTATTGGGACCGTCTCCAGAATTTGGCAGTGCTTGAGTTATGGTGTTCGCGACGTATGCGGAAGCGGCGTCCTGGCGCGGGGCGTCCTTGCTCGCATCGGTCGTGTCTTGGGTCTTGAGGAGGGTCTCGACTTGCTCTATAGCCCATGAGTCAGTACCAACAATCAGCCAAAGTATGCGTAACTTACGCAGCCGTTGTTCGAGCAGCTTCACATAGCCGCGCTTGGGTCCACTTTTCTTGCGTACTTCGTCGTATGCGCAGTCATGGTTCAGGCGTTTACAGGTCGAGCATGTTGGGCGGGTGCCGTCGCATCGCAACTTCCGCTTCCTACACAGAACACACGCAATCCTCTTGATCTTGTTCGATCCGTCCTGTTGCGTTTCTTGACCGTTGGTAGCATTCGGATCTTGCGCTTGCTGGGAGAGGTCGTTGAAGAAAGACTCGTCTGGCGATTCGGATCCGTTGGAAGCCATGTTGGCGAATCTTGGTGGTCTCTGAAAGTCGAGGAGGTATCGTGGATCCACGTCGCATCAGACGAACCGCCCCCGCGTAAGCACGGCTCAAGCGGATTTGGGTCCTCTAGCAAGCCACGATTTCCGTTTGATTGCGAGATCTAAATCGAAGCTACGTCGGCGGTATAACGGTCGCTTGAGTGTCGGTATCGGTGTCGGTGAAGGGACCTCGGAGTCTTGAATGCGCGAGGATAGGCACCAGCGGTTGACCAGCACTAGAAGCGCGTTATGCTTCTAAGGTGGGTGTAAGTGTAGGATGTCAGACGTATATGTGCTATTGGGTGTAGAACAGCCTATGGCTGAGCTACACTCATGTACCTGGTCTCATCTGCAAGGCCGTCCGCGCAATGCGTGTTGCCTTAAGCGTGAGGTGATATGCAGCGTCAAGCTTCTGGACTAATTATGGCGGATCTCCCGAGTTCTGGGATTGACAGCAGGGTCTCCCTACTAGGACTTCGCAGCTACATGCACGAATACTGATACACACAATTTGCTCTTTAGGTCCTGATAGCTGCTCTGTGGTTTCTGGTGTTTCTTTACGTGCCAACTCGTGCATGTAGCTGTCCCGTGTCTGCAGCCCTGATATGCGGCTTCGCCAGAGCGGCAAGGTGGGGCAGTAGTCCAGCCCAAGATGGATCAAAATGCGACCGATCTACGCGCAGCGTCTTGTGTCATCAACCCAAACATTGAAACAGGGTGTCGGTCTGTCAACGGTCAGACCAGTAGTAATCATGAAATTCATGGACTTAGCAGAGATGAGAATAGTCAAAGTTAGATGGAGATGGTGCCTTGTACTCATTCCCCGACTTGATGAGCTCGTGGCAGTAGATCTCGTTCTGCCCAGGTCATGGTCAGCCAAGTGATCTATGCATGCGTGGAACCCGTGGTCGTGAGATTGCAGAAGAGCCGCAACGTCGAGAGTTCCGACCCCCGAGCTTGGACACCTGGCACACGTCAGGATCCGAGATGCGACCGAGAGAGTCTCCGAACCTCGATGACATGTCGCAAACATTGTTATTAATGAGGGCGAAATTCGAGCAAACTATGCCGACTTGTGCAAGAAATGCGCTTTTGGTAGTGCGATGCGCATGATGGGGTAGTCGGTGGAAGCCCTGGGGTAGCCACACCAGCTGTAATCTAGACAACACAGCTAACATTATGCATTTGCTGCTGTTCAGGCAGACACATCGAAGAGCGTAACTGGGTGAGTACTGATGTATATTGGTAGACGGCATGGCATGCGACTACAGTATATGGTAGAGCTCCATCTTGAGCATATAGTACACCGGCGGCCACCCTACCTCGCCCTCCGCTTTCCTTGATTGCGGGGGCGATCTTGAACGAGGAAGGTGTGCTTGTTCCTCTTGTGCCTCGTCTTGTAACCTCCCTTTGCTGGAGTGCCCCATGGACTGACGGGGTGCACGTTACCCTTTGATTTACCACGACCACCACCGTGGGGATGATCAGCTGCGAGAAGTTAGAAGACTGCAACTAAAGTGAATGATTCAAGAACTAACCTGCATTCATGGCGAGGCCACGGACCTCTGGTCGCTTTCCGAGCCACCGTGAACGTCCGGCCTTTCCGAGCGATGTGAAGTGTGATTGCGGGTTGCTGGCAACGCCGATGGTGCAGCATGCGTCTGCGCTGACTTTGCGGATTTCACCGCTCATCAAGCGGATGATAACGTGCTTGATCTCTGTATTGTTGCCCTTCTCGACCTCCTCCTTGTTCACAATGATGGCATATGTACCTGCACTGCGGCAGAAGACACCCCCACCTTGTGTCTTGGTACCCACGTTGTAGACCTGGGAGCCGAGGGGCACCATGTGGATGGGAAGACAGTTTCCACGAGCTGCTGTCTTCGCGGCCAGCATACCGGGATCGATACCACCACCCATGCTGGCAATCAGCTCCTTGGGGATACCGGTCCGGTAGCTCTCAATCTCATCTCCCGCCCTCATGCCATCTGCGGCGATGATGTACGACTTCTCTCCAGTTGCCACGCGGGTGATGAGGGCCAGATGCGAGCTCCGGTTGGGGTCATATTCTATCCGCTCCACCACATGCTTGCCGGGCAGATATCGCTTGTAGTCGACGATGCGTATCCTCCTCTTGTGGCCGCCGCCTCTGTGCCTGACTGTGACCCGTCCTGTGTTGTTCCTTCCTCCGAGGTGCTGTCCCTTGCGGGCGATGGTGAGCTTGAGGTGCGGCCGTCCCTTCCACAGGTGGTCGTTGACGGGTCGTTTGAGATGGCGCAGACCAGGCGTGCGGGGCTTGTATGTGCGCAGAGGGATAAACTTCTCCTTGCGCGTGCCTTCCTGTTTCAGTACTCCGGCGTCGGCAGCCACGGTAGGCTGTATCGCTGGGGGAGGTTTAACGTCGATGGCCTGGACCTGTGCGTAGGTGCGGGCAGACAGCAGCGCCCGGCCCAGTCGCGAGGGCTGGAAACGACATATCCGCGGCTGCAGCATTCTCGGGGGGTGCAGCTGGGGACGCTGGATGCTTCACGCTGGTGCAATGGACGCCTGCTGGATGGCGTGCAGCTGCTCGTCATGTCACGAATAATTCTCAAACCCGCCGCAATTGGCTAGGCCGGGCCGGGGTGGGTCGGGCAGGCAGGGCGCGATGTCCCAGCAACAACGTGTGTCTGCTTCCTCGCCCACCACAACACGCCCTCCAGCGCATCCGCCGTCTTTACGCTGCACCTGCCAGAACCCCCCATCTCACAGCCCAGCTGCTCGCCCGCGACCCATCTTACCGCACGGGCAAAGTTTACGCGTTGGGGCCTGGTGTCATCTCTGGTAAGTCCACATACGCGCCTGTGGGGCGTGCACTGTTACGCTCTGCCAGCCTCGAATGCGATTTTGGCGCGTGGGACGTGGAAGCCAAGCTAGCCTGCCCTCGCTCAAAACACACAACATACCCTCTCTTCCCACCACAACACACCTTGGTGCACATCCTCTCTCGCCCTCCCCCATCCTCTCCACTCCCTCTTACGATTAATTGTAGCTGGACCTCTACCCTGTCCACTCAATTACCACGCACCGAGCGCTCCAAGGGTTCGTCTCTCTCGCCCGTCACGTCACCGTCGCTGCCGCACCCCATCGGGCGTGTCAGTCCGGCCAGCTTTCGCGAGCATCAACCGTGGTTCTGTATGCAACATCGGTGCATGCACACTGCGGCTCTCGATGCTCCCGCGTTGGCAGCCTTCACGCGCGCTTTTTCAAGCTTCACCGAGCTCTGCTGACACCTCAAAACAGTGTATCAAAACAAGTCCTACATCCGCCATTCCACTCTCCAGATATACTCAGCACCTGGATACCTCTCTAGCCTTGATCAGCATACATAATATTGCTTGCAATGCCTCCCGCTGTACGTTGTCGCCCTTTCACCTGCTCTCGTCCCATCTCCCATCGGCGCGACAGCAACACGTCCATCACCGTTCACTCTACTAACGCGTGTCATAGGCTCGATCTCTCAGGCAGCGCGCCGTCACCAACGAGAACGATGAGAACGCGGCCACGACACGCTTGACGCGTGCAAAGGCCGCCAACCTCGGCGCCAACGAGTCTGCTGCCGACGTGCCCAAGAAGACTCTCCAGGCGAAGAAGTCCACTGCTACCCTAGGCGCGAACGGTGCTGCTACGCGAAAGCGTGCTGCCCTCGGTGACGTCAGCAATGTCACCAAGACTGACGGCCTCGGTGCTGTCGCGAAGGATGGAAAGAAGGTCCTGGCCACCAAGGGCGCAGTCTCCAAAGCAGCACAGCCTACCGGCATCAAGAAGCCATCGCGGGCCAACTCGACGCGTTCCATGTTAGAACCCAAGGAGAAGAACCTCGCGTCATCCGAGGTGAAGAAGCGCGGTGCCAGCGGCAACGGTATCGCCGGCCAACCAGCCAAGAAGCGAATGCAAATTACCAAGACCGTCAAGGAAGAGGACCCCGAGGAGGAGCTCAAGGAGGAAGATGAAGAGGAGGCTGAGAACGTTGTCCCAGAGGAGAACGTTACCGAGGAGAAGGACACTAAGGCTGCCAACGGCACCAAGAAGGAGCTCGAGCCCATCACAGAGGTCTTCTACAAAGGCCCAGACCTAGACAAGGAGGACGTCGATGACCCATTGATGGTTTCCGAGTACGTTGTCGAGATCTTTGAGTACCTCAAGGAGCTAGAGATTGCGACCATGGCCAACCCAGACTACATGGAGTCCCAGACTGAGCTTGAGTGGAAGATGCGCGGTATTCTCGTCGACTGGTTACTCGAAGTTCACACTCGCTTCCGCCTCCTCCCGGAGACCCTCTTCCTCGCTGTCAACATCATCGACCGCTTCCTCTCAGCCAAGATCGTCCAGCTCGACCGTCTTCAGTTGGTTGGTGTCACCGCCATGTTCATCGCCTCCAAGTACGAGGAGGTTCTCTCCCCCCATGTCCAGAACTTCCGCCACGTCGCCGACGATGGTTTCACCGAGGAGGAGATTCTCAGCGCTGAACGCTTCGTCCTCGCTGCCCTCAACTACGACCTCAGCTACCCCAACCCCATGAACTTCCTTCGCCGGATATCAAAGGCCGACAACTACGACATCCAGACCCGCACACTGGGCAAGTACCTTCTCGAGATCGGTTGTCTGGACCACCGTTTCCTCGCCCATCCCCCCAGCCAAGTCGCTGCCGCTGCCATGTACCTTGCCCGTCTCGTCCTCGAGCGTGGCCCTTGGGACGAGACCCTCACACACTACGCTGGCTACAGCGAGGAAGAGATTCAGCCTGTCCTGCAGCTGATGATCGACTACCTCTCCAGCCCCGTCGTTCACGAGGCCTTCTTTAAGAAATATGCTAGCAAAAAGTTCTTGAAGGGTAAGTCATCGCATGCTCAACTCTCACGTTCACAACTAACATTCACCAGCATCCATCGTCCTGCGCAAGTGGGCAAAGGACTACGTCGCTGCCTACGGTAACGCGCTCCAAGAAGAAGAGGAGGAGGCCGCTATTGTCCCCTCCAAGACCAAGAGCCAGCGCTAAGACTGTTGTTCTTCTTTAGGCACTCCCGGTCTTTGGCTCAGGAGTCGCAAAGCTATTCATTACCGCCATGCTCTACTGAGCAGCGGATGACGATGTTCGGTTCGATCGGGAGCAAAATTTACGATTGCATCCAAGCCAACCCCTTCATGTTTACATCTTGGCTAATACCATCTTCCGGTCGGCGTTAATACATGGGATGCAAGTTGGTTGCACAATTCTGTTATGGTTTCTCTTGTCTTGTTTTGGAACATGGAGTCGCAGGCGTTCATCCCCCCATGCACGGAGGCGCAAATCGAGGGTGCTTGCCTTTTCACATCACTCTTAACTTCATTTCTCTGTAGCGGCTCTGGATACTCGCTCATAGCATTAGCGATCGATATACCATGAATGGTGTGATATTGGAGAGGCTATTCCTTGGTGGATCGGATCTGTACGTGGTGTCCGTGGGAATATGGGTCATTGGGTTAGCAAATGTGAGGTAGCTCTCAGTGTGTATGAGTAGTCTGAAAACGCACTGTTTCGCGTCAAATGGAGACAGAAATTTCAATGAGGCTATTCCTTCCGTCTGACGTGACGTGACTTGACTCTGACATAGCACGATGATGCCATACCTTTAGCCATTCTCCCCAGCCATCTCATGCAAAGACCCACACCTAAACACGAAAGCGCATCGCGTGCGCGCGTCCAAAACTCGTAAACCACACGATACGTCACGACTGTGTTCAGACGCCACCATTTCCTTGCTTTCTCGCGTTCTGCGTGCATTGACACCAACACGCGCCCGCGTTGCCGCTCCACGATCGTGATGTAGACGTGCCCAGCCCCATGTCGCGTTCCCGCGATCAATGTGCCTCGGCAATTCACGTAGACATCGGCGCTAATCTAGATACGGAGCTCACGTCCTAAGTGCTGGATGCGCTGCGACCACAGCGTTTATCATCAATACGGGGAAACCCTGACAGCCGTTTTGTTGATTCTTGTCTTCTTTGTTCGATTTCTGAAGGTTTGCGTGAGTGGAGGATGTGAAAGTCGCGCACGAATAAATCTGCGTTATCTAGCCAGCATTACCGGTCGTTCACATAACGGCAAGACGTGGATATATCAACAAACATCATCGTCAACAGTATCCATCATCGCGAATCCCTAAGGTCCCATCAAACCGACAATCCAACATATCAACCTTACAACTCATCGTTCAAGATGCAGGAAACCGACCTCCACTACCCTCCGCAAACCTGTCCCTTCTGCACCATCGCCGCTGCCTTCCCCTTCCCATCATCACCCTCCACCTCTTCCTCGCCAAACAGTCCACCGCCCACTCCCTCACTATGGAAGAGCAGTAGGACCCAGGAAAAAGAACTGTTGAAAGAGAGTATACCGAAAGAGGAGGAGAGCGATCCGGAGAAAACTAATCCGAGTAGTTTTGTGGTGTTGCGGAGCAAGGATGTGGTTGCTTTTTTGGACATCTTGCCCATGACTGGAGGCCATTTACTCGTTACTACACGCCATCATAAAGTCAAAGTCGCGGATATGGAAGCTGTGGAGAGTAAGGAGATTGGTGAGTTGGCACATGGATCTTATGAGGTGACGAAGGGTAATGTGCTGATTATATAACTAGGTTTCTGGTTACCGATACTAGCACGGACGGTGGCTAAAGTAACGGGTGTGACGGATTACAATATCGTGCAGAATAATGGTATGTTTGTTACTTCTCTTCAATCACAAATTGGTCTCCTCATATTTTAACATGTAATTGCAGGAGCACGTGCGGCGCAAGTAGTGCCTCATGTACATTTCCACATTATACCGCGTCCGGAGACGATGCCAGAGATCAAGAACAAGAGCTGGACGATGTTTGGACGGGGCCAGAGGGATGACTTGGATGATGAGGAGGGGGCTAAGATGGCGGGGGAGATGAGGAGGGTTTTGAGGGAGGAGGTGGAGAAGATGGGCACTGCGAGCGCGAAGTTATGAGAAGTCATGAGAGGGCCTTGCTTTTGGTTGTTGTTGGCATGAGCGGGTGGATGTATCAACATGGTTGGGTTCATTACTGCTGCTGTTGAAGCGCATAATTCGTATTCAGTATCATCAACTTTGGGAAACTATCCAAAGAACGCTGGGTATCATCACTCTTTCCCTGTCCATCCATTGCATTCATCCTGCGACGCCAAGAACGCCCATTCCAAACACTTGCACATTCTTGATCCCATCACATCATTCGTCAAGAAGGACGCTTACTGGCTCTTCTTGGCCTTGGTCTCGTCCGCAGGTACGAACCTCTTCCTAACAGCCTTGATCATCTGCGAGAACCAGAAGAAGTTAAGCATGCTCAACGCCGTGTTACCAACCAAGTATACGGAGACTAGCCACATGGGCAGCTCACCAGCTGTACAGTTTCCAGGTCCATCGAGACCCATACTGCTGTTGGAGGTTCCGTCGCACTTCTGTGCCTCGAGCAGAGAGCTCATGAGTTCGGGCTTGGGCATGGTGAGTGCCTTGTAGATATCCGAGTAAATCATGACCGACTGGTATGAGCCCCAGACGATGCGACAGCCGAAGAAGGTGACGAGGAGGGCGATACCGTTGTAAAGCTGGAGTTTTGAGCCAGTCATTCCGAGCTTGTCGCAAAACCAGTGGATGTTGAGGAAAGGAGTGGAGAGTTCGTAGAGGACGAAGGAGAGGCCGTAGTAGTTTCCGAAGGGCTTCTGGAAGAGAGTCAGTATGTGCGGTACCTTGAAGAAGCAAAGAACTTACGAAACCAATGCAGGTCACAGCCAAAGCACCGATCGCATGGATCAAAGAGCTTACGCCAGCAATGTTGATGTATTGCGCGGAGACTTGGAGGTCCCATAGGAAGTATCCTGCAGCGAATCCCTGCACCATACCGCTGGCCGGCGTATAACCCCACAGTCTACCCCTCCAGTCCATCTCGTGTCTCTGTTCATCCTTGAAGATGACCCACAGCGCAGCGGCGCATATGAATAGCGCTTGAACCATAGAGACCCAATGGATGTCCCAGTTGAGTCGCGTGCGCTTGTTGAAGCTCTTGTATACGTTCGGGCAGACGAGCCGCGAAATGGTCGGGGAGAGGACATGGAGGATGAGATGGTAGCCCAAGAAGCCGAGGAGGATCTCGTGGACGTGGTACGGAAGGGTCGTCAGGCTGAGCTTGTCGGCGAAGGACTTGCTAGACTGCACGAGCAGCGAGGGCGCAGGAAGAGGGTCCCGCATATTGGGTCTGAGTAGGATATCGACTAAAGACATGGTATCAGTTTCGCTGTGCGCAACGGTCGCAAGTGCAGGAGCGGGGAGAAATACTGGGTTCTGGCGGCTACATGTTCCGCCTATATATACTCGGCGGTGGGGCGCAGTGATCTTCGAGGGTTTCCTCTTGCGTCCGGAGTGTCTCGTGTGTCGAACATTGCATGCCTCGGATGGGCGTTTTACCGTGATCACTGAGTCGGCACATGCGGGGCTAAGGCCATGGCCATCGAAGCTTAAAGCTTACCCTGACGGCGCTAGGCGGGAATTCGCCGGCGTCCTGCATGCACCACTCCGCGACTCTATCGATCCTGTCATCGTCATCCCTCTCCTCCTCATCTACAAACCTCACCTGGTCAGCACGACGATACCGCTCTCACCCCTGAGTTCCTATACATCTCGCACAGCGCTGTGTAGGTTCATCCGCGCCCTCCGAAAGAGCATGGCGGCATTAGAAGGCTTGCCCTTCAGAAAGACTAACGAACCATGGCGTCTTCAACAGCGACCACCAAGGCTGCTGTCATCACTCCCAGCGCCCTGAGTTCCCTTCATCGATAGGCAACAGCCCTTGTTGTCCCCGGCACCGGAAAATCCTCAACGCCGTAGCGCCCGTTGTCCCGCAAACAGACCTTACCGCCCAATATTTCTGCCGCCGACGACTCGAGCTCCTCCTCACAACAACAACAAGTTGCGCATCTCACCAACGTGCACCCTGACCAGCTGCTGAGCCGCGAACCTGTTGCCGAACCTCTTTGGCGCGAACTTGTGCTGTGACATCTTCTAACACAACATGTCCAGTTATACCAACGACGTCGACGACTTCATGCAGGGTCGGGAGTTTGAGGGCCATCTGGCTGCTTCAGGCTCTCCGCCCGCGCCTGCTGATCGTACACCACCAGAGCCTCAAGTCAACAAGAAGCGCAAGGCCGAGAAAGAGCCTGAGGTTAGTAGCGTCTTAAGCTCCTATATCACTCGCTAACATGAGACAGACGAACAAGAAGCCCAAAGTCCTTGAGAACAAGGCCATCTATCTTTCGAACTTGCCTCGCGACACCACCAGGGAGGAGCTTGAGGACGAGTGCAAGAAGTACGGAATCATTGACAAGGGCGCAAACGGCGAGCCTCGTATCAACATGTACAAGGACGAGGAGGGCAAGTTTAACGGCACCGCCTTGGTCGTCTACTTCAAGAAGGAGTCGATCCGCAACGCGGTCATGATGATGGACGACTACCCTCTTCGCCCCGGCGACACCAAGAACGGTCACATCCACGTCGAGGCTGCTAACATGGAGTACAAGAAGGAGAAGGATGGTGAAAAGGTCGCATCAAAGCTTACACGAAAGGACCGTAAGGCGTCCGAGCGCAACAGGCAAGAGCTGAATCGGTAAGTTCGCAAATCTGCTTATTCTCGAATCGTCACTAACTAAGATATAGGAAGCTGAACGAGTGGTCCGACAACGAGGAGGAAGTTGCTCAAACCTTCGTGGCGAAGAAAAACAAGTGGGCCAAGGTCGTCATCATCAAGAACGTATTCGACTTGGATCAACTCGAGAACGACCCGAAAGCCTATCTAGAGATCAAGGAGGACATGCGCGAGAAGGCTGAGGAGATCGGCAAAGTGACCAATACCACGCTGTGGGACAAAGAACCCGAGGGCATCGTCACCGTCCGCTTCAGGGAGTTCGAGGACGCAGAGAAGTTTGTGGCCTGGAAATTCGGCGGCATTCGATACAACAAGCGCTCTCAAGAGCTTTCGCTTGCCGAGGACAAGCCCCGCTTCAGGAAGTCTGGCCGCGGCGACTACTCTGATAGCGATGACGAGGAAGTGGTCTTGAACGAGACTTAGACCGACACCTGGTACTTCGAGTTGCGCATACGTTACTGTATAGCTTTGGAAGTAGGATATGGGATGGAGGATGATATGCAAGCTTAGATGTTTGAACGGGGAATGATACCCTCATGTATTACACATGAATATAAGCCACATGGCTTTCGACTGCAATTGAGCAGGTCACCAACGTCACCATCTACCTATTGATCATTCTGAGTGATGTTGTTCAATGTTCTCGTTTATACTAACATATACTTACATTGTCACAGAAGCGCCCTGATAAAGCACATCTGAACATTCACCGAAGACAATCAAGGACGCCAAAACAGTATTTGTAAATCTGTGACATTCTCATATCTAGCCCATTATCAAACTACATTATTGAAGAAGTGACCCCGTGAACATGATCCTATACACATGCGAAAAAGGTTACCAAAGTATTGAACCCTCGCGTGTCTGGCGAAAAGAAGCGATGAAGCCGATCTGGCGACCCATCTGGTATCAATGACATTGAAAAGAAGAGAAGAAGAAAAGAAGAAAACTCCATAATGCACCTATGCTCCACAAACGTGGCTCATCTACAAGACGAGCGCGGCAGCAGCGGCAAGCAGAGCACCAGCGCCTCCGGCGACCTTGACGGCGGCGCCGCTGAACTCAGCTGGGGCTGATGCGGAAGCCGAGCTGGGAGGAGGCATGGGCATGCCGGTGGTGGGCGACATCATGCCAGTGCTGGTAGCGTTGTAGGCGGGTGCGCCTGATGGCATGGCGAAGCCAGATGAGGCAGTGGTAGGAGGCATAGCGTATCCAGAGGACATGGGTGGGGCGGAAGACATTGCAGCAGAGGAAGAGGCGGCTGGGTAGCCCTCGCCCTCGCCAGCAGAGACCATAGTGAAGTTGGCGCAGCCGATACGAGTCTTGTTGCTGAGGTGGACAACGAAGGACAGGGCGCCGAACTGCGATGTGTTAGCAAGCTGGTTTTCCAATTACAGTGAACGATCGAGACTTACGAAAGCAGGGTCTGAAGGCAGAGTGGCAGAGTACAAGTCGGTGTACTCAGCCGAGAAAGTAGTCTCAGTAGCGTTTCCGTACTTGCCGCTCAAGTCACCAGTCTGGCAGGTCTCAGGCTTGGTCGCATCGCAAGGAGGAGCCTCGCCGCGCATGTACGGGTCGAGATGAGCGCCAGTGCCAGTGCAGTTGCCATCGGTAGGGACGGGCTTAGCGTGGAGGTGGTACATGAATGGGCCGCCAGTCTCGGGGAGGCCAGCGAAAGAGACCTGGAACTTGACGCCCTTGCCGTCGGCGCCGGTGGTGGCCTCGATGGATCCGGTGAGAGCGCTGCCCTCCTTGGCGGGGAGAGTACCGACGTACTTGGCGCCCATGGGGTTGCCCATTACAACGGGAGCGGGAGTGCCTTGGGCGGCGACCGCGGTGGCCGCGGCCAGAACAGAGATGACTGAGACACGCATTTTGGATGTGTTGGTTGGTGGTTTCTTGAAAAGAATGAGGCTGAGACTCGACTGTGGGAATTGTTAGGCGAGTGTAGGTGGAGAGGAAGAGCAGATGAGCAAAGTGAGTGAGTGATTGGGAAAATGAAGTGGAGGCGCCAAGTGTGTTTATATGAGATCCGCGCGATTGAAGTGCGAGAGGGGAAGGCGCGATAGAACCTTGTCGAACGAAAATGCAAACGGAAAGTTCCATGAACGCAGGAATGGAATGGGAAAGCGCAAACCGCTCGAGGGACTGTGACTACATACCGAATGTTATATGCGAACGCTGATAAGCAAAGCGAAAGACTCTGTTGGCAGACAATAGACTGTAGGAAAAACCAGTGAAGATGGGGCTTGCTTGCAAAAGGGATGATTCCTCAGGACCTTTACGGCGGCTGGCAAACACTATATAATATTTCCAGTCGGGTAGAGGCGCAGCAGGCACCACGCACCGGTGGTTGGGGCGTCACACACCAAGAAAGCCCATCACACATCCATCTAATCCAACGCCCATTTCCCGCAAAGCCTTGCGCGCCGTCACTGCCACGCAAACCCACTACGGAACCCTCTTTCTGCCCGTTCATTCCGGCTGATTGGCCGCGGCAGACAAAGACAGCCTACGTTATTGCATGAAACCAGGTGTTGTTTGCCGTTTTTGCGCTAAAGGATGCGCGCCCGCTTCGCCGTTTCGAAACACCAAGACGCATGGGCGCTTTGCCGGCCAATCATTGCGGGGGCGGGCCTTGTTCCTGAGGCCAGGGCTGAGCCTGGTGTGGAGTTTGTCAGACTTGGCCCCAGCCAGCTCAGTTTTCTGTATGCGCCAATGGGGCTACATCTTGGGGCTGGGAAGTAAGAGTCACACTGCCACGTAGGCTGGAGGCTACGAAGAGTTGCAGTGTTTTTGTCGTGTCGTCGCTTGCTGATGCAGATACTCTGAGGGAAGAGGGTCAGGCTGTCGCAGATGTCTTTCTGCTGCCAACATACCAAGCTTTGGCTACTGCAGCGCTAGGCGGATCTAACAGTCTTGGTACAGATCCAAATTTACCCCATACAGTGGCATGGCGCTTGCGTGTTGCACCCTCTCCACTAGCCGAGTCCCTAAGGGAACAAACATTCCACACAAAACTCTCGTTGTCGCGCTTATCGACGCAAATAGACCAAACATGCGTTCCTGGCGCGGGTGTATCAGATGCGATTTTCTGTGTTTTACTGAGGCAGCGAGGCGGTGGACTAGGTTGCACGGCACGGCAAAGACCGGTGTGCCTCGAGATCGAGATGAGATGAGATGATGTAGCAGGAGGAGGCGTGGGAAGCAGAAGAAATTGACGAGAAGCGGTTGAAGTGGGAAAAGACAGGGTTGCCGCATCTATCTGATGCAGAGTGATATGGAAACATCGAGATTACACAATCATCATTACCCTTTTGCATATTGCGCAGGACGCTTGGGTACCCTTCCTACTCAAATACCGGCATCCATACGGATCGCGGCATGCCCGGTGGAGAACGATCTGTTCCACGTAAATTTAGCGCATCGAGGATGTGGCTAGTTTAATAGATCCAACTCTTTCCGGACCTTGTAGCTGACTCTGGGGCAGCACCATCCGATTATTTTCGCTGCACCGGCAGCTTCCAGATCCGCTGCGACATCCTGAACGGTCTTGTATGCCCATGGAGCTTCTTCAAAGACAAGATCCTTCTCGTCACAGATGACCCACGTGCCTTCTGGGTCTCCTGCATTCGGCTCCAAGATGTTTATGCCTTTGTACTTCCTACCCAAGGTTTGGAGAGCCTTTGCCCGAGACATGGCTCGTCCTGCGCCATGGGCCAGCGAAAGTCCGTTCTTGAGGCCCCATAAGTTGTCTTCTGAGAATGTTGGCCGGAGGATGAGCGTGGCGGTGCTCCGGGAACCGGGCAATGGAAGGAGACTGAGCCGCAGCTGAGTCTTGGGGTCGTATGTTGGTGCTGCGCCTTTTCTATGGAGGAACACATACTCTTTTGAGGTGTTGTCATCGCGAAGTGCCATCTTGTCCAGCCCCTCGGTCAGACTAAGCTCAGGCGTTGAATCCTCCGCGGCTGAAGAAGGGGCAGATTGAGGCCATGCCACGCTCTCGACGTTGTTGTGCCAAATGTCAGCTACCTTGCGCTTCCTCAGTGCCGCTTTGGCTGTCGCGATCATCTTTATGCCCTCTTCGCCGAAGTCACTGGCGTCCGAGTCGCCCAGCTGCCAGTCTTCATTACCAGGCTCAAGACATGCAAGAAACCGCAGGGCAATCACATCCCGGTTCGCCTTCGCCCACTCGCAGGCCTTGTTGTGCTCCTCCAGGTATGCAATGGCATCCTCACTATCGTCTGGAAAGCTTGTGCGTGATTCGGTTGTGTACTTCTTGAGAATGTTGCCTCCTAGTCCTCGTGATCCCGAGTGGACCAGCAGGACGACATCATCTTGATGGAGTCCATCGTCCGATTTGGCAAATCCCGATTCCTCGACGACCTGGATCTCGGCAAAATGATTCCCAGCTCCTATGGTGCCCAGAGCAGCGTCCCACTGTTTACCGGCGGAGATGCTACAGTTGTCTTCGTCCAACAGCCATTTCTCTCGGTAGGCTTGGTTGCGCCAGGCACCCTCTAGTCCTCGAAGCTGATTAGCGACATTCTTGCCTTTGTTTCCATCAACCTGGCTTCTGTTGAGTGTTGTTTTGTACCAGGCCATACCACATCCGATATCGCCGCCGATTAGAGGAGGATGGATCCATCCTTTAGAAGCAAAGACTGCACCGATAGGGAACTTGGTGCCTGGGTGGAGATCGGGTTGACCAACGGCATGTATGATGCCCGGAAGCGTGCGCGCGGTGGTCTCAAGCTGAGTCAAAGCCAGCGGTTCAACGAGGGTTGCTTCAGATGCCAATACTTCAACTGGACATTGCGGGTTTGCGTCTGCTGTTATATTGTGTCAATAAGTGGTCGTAATACGGAAGGCGGGTAAGCATAGATATTGAGCGCAAACTTGCTCAAACGTCAGTGATACTTACCATGCACCCCTGATACTTTCCTGGTACCAACATAGTCTTCTCCCGCTGAGACGAGTAATACAACATCGTTGTTAATGCTGCTTTTCCAATCTGCTTCAGACACAAGCTCTTGCCCGCTGCGTCCGACAAAGACACGAGTAGGCTTCTTTAAACGCAGTTTTGATTGCGCACTCTTGAAGATAAGCGCACGGATAGAGGATGGAGCTTTGGGATCAGTGGATGCGGAAGCGGGTATAAGGACTGGACATCTTGTTGATTGGTTTGCATTTGATGCGATAGTCAGACGTATGGCGGGCATCTTCACACCGTGGTTGAGAGTTTGGATTCGATGGAGTAACACGATCTCGAAAGGGAAGCGATGATTGTTTGCGGGTTTAATGTACAATGGTGAGCAAGTGTTTGACTACACAGTCTGGTGACAGGACTTTATTTACGCTGCACATTCGCAGATAGTTCACTTAGCGTAGCGCTGGTCAATTCGACTCATTTTGACCTATTCGAGCACAGCCACAATGTCCTCCACCACAACAAAGCGTAGCGTGACTGATGCCTTACCCTTAAACCATCGATGAAGCGTAGCGCTAATGCACTTCCACACTGATGGCTACATAGCTGTTCCGCGTGATTGCATTTCTACCTCACAGCCTCGGAAGTGAAGCTATGGTTAGGGATCGTGTACGAGAGATGCACTCAAAGTTCGGTAAGCGGTGTAAGCAGAAAAGCAGGGCCAAAGTAAAAGGAAGAGATCAACAGGGCCCGCCGTCCCGTATCGCGGGCCTGGACGAGAACGTGCCATGTGCATGACGTACTATAGTCCGATTGGATGCTTGGACCGCGTTGCCGTTACAACGCACCTTGCTTGGCGCATATCACACAGCCGCACCGACTTTGATGCCCACGACATCTCGACACCTGCCAGCCCATACACTGACCCGTCGACTGCACTGCGCTTTCAATTGTGAGTTACTAACTGGCACACATCGGTCCCAAGCTCATGCAAACAGCGCCCAGCCACTACTACATCGATAGCCGTAGCCGTCCCAACAACAAGCCGGCCCCGTACGACATCACCACTCTCCGGCGCAAGCCGCACACCTTGCCTCACGAACGACCAACATCTATAATCTCACGATGCGCACATTCTTCGCCCCGTTACTGCTTGCGCCGCTCGCAGCGCTCGCCGCACCCGATGTCTACGGCGACTTCGAGGCCGCCGTTGCGCCATTACCCACCCCCGTATACGAGGCAATGGAGACATCTCCCGCAGACGGCAACCTCGAACTGCTCAAGCGACAAGGCAATGCATGCGCAACCTCCTACTTCAACTGCGCCGGTCTTGGCGCGCCAGGACTCTGCTGCCCACGAACAGCGGTCTGCTCAGCCGACCAGGCAGGCCAAGTAGCTTGCTGTCCCCAAGGCGTAGCATGCACAGGAGCCATTGGTGCAGTCCCAACCGGCGTGAACCCCTCGGCCTCCTCAACCGTCTCCTTCGTAATCGCTTCCACAACCGGCGGCGGTCCGTTCGTGCAGGAAACAAATGGCGCAAACCACGGAAGCACGGTACAGAACCAATTCTACCCTTTCCCGTACATACCGACGACTTACACCAACGCAGCTGCCTGCTCGTCCGCTTATACAAGCTGTCAAAGCAATGCTGCAAGTTGTACGACTGCTCTAGCCAATGGCGCGGCCGGCGTCACCATCTCGGCCCCCAACGGCGGCGGCGCAACGATTACCGCGATTCCTAGTGTGGGCCTCCAGTCTGCTCAAAGCATTTGCTCCAGTCTTAGCAGTCTGGGTTGCTCGCAGCTCACCGTCGAGGCTTGTGCGGCTTTCGATGGCCAAGGAAACGCGGCAAAAAGAGCGCGGTGTGCCGACTACCTGATGACGGCTGGAGTGGCCGTGGGAATCGCAGGACAGCTGCTGAGATGAGGAAGAAATAATCCGGTTCTTCGTTTCCATGTGGATAATACGGTGGTTTCTGATGTTCATGAGAGGAAAATACGAATGTGCTTTAGCACAGTCTTGCTTATGTGGATTTTGCCACGATATGGCGTTCGTAAGGAGTTTAGCGGTACAGCATGCGGCTGAATTATTTGGTCACTCAGATCTGTATATCCCATCAATGAGTTTATATAAGCTTTTCCTTGTCACGTTACTCTACCATTTTCTGTGCTTCCATTCTCATATCAAGATTTGTGTCATTCCACTTGGACGACATTATCTCTGACCCATGATTCAAGAGATTAGGACAACGAATGGGTCCAATATGTCTAGCCAGAAGACGGTGTTGCTTGGAATAACCCTGTCTTCGAGGTAGAACCGACCTGAACGAACAACAATATCTAGATGGAGACATGCAAATCATGGAAGGTAAGAGGAGAGCAGACAGTATGCAAGCAGCAACGTTCCGGATAGCACTTGACACAAAAAGATCGCACCCAGAATAGAATACTAATATATTGTCTTCTCATGCAGTCCAATTCACTATCCACCCCAACGCCTTTCTGTCCTTACTCAACACATGTCCAAGCATATCAACAACAGCAAAAAGAAGACATCATGAATGCGGCTAGACTCGAACTAGCATCTCCCACACGACTCCCGCGGCGGTTTTCACACCCTCACACGCCCTTGCTGCGGTCCTGCAGGCCCGACAAGTCAAAGGACTACTCCGTAGTGGATTGTTCGGCGTGGACGTCTTAACCATAGGACTACGCATTCTGGGTTAATTTGATCGATGGTGAGATGAGTACTTGGAGTGGTTGTGTAGGGGGATGTTGGGTAAGGTTGAGGGATGGTGGATGGCATGGGTTTATTTGGGGAGGTGGCCAGTGAAGTGAGAGAGAGAGCAGAGTACAGTATGTGAGCAAAGACGCAAGCGAAATGGAGGGATAATTTGAGAACATTCATATTCTCTGATTCATAAAGCGAGTGTCGTGTTCATAAAGACATAACCTACAATGGTGTCCCACGCATGGGAAAACCGGGTATCAAGATCGTATGAAACAGAAGCCCATACACAGCCCTCTCTGTCTCTCTCCTCTTCCATATTCCACCATCCTCATGTCGTAAAGAGCGTACCCAAAATCAACCAAGCAAACTTTTCAAACCCTTCATCTCATCTCCGTCAGATCTGCATCTCACACCCGATCACTAGCCTCAACCCCCCTGACAGCAACCCCATCAATCCCCCCAAAACTGCTCCTCGGACTCTCCCCCCCAACATCTTTCCCAAACTCCTTCTGTCTAAGTTCCCAGCTCCCCACCCTCTCATGCCCCCTCTTATGATCTCCACCAAAACTAACAATACCCGCTGTATTCGTAGCAGGCGGCGCCCCGTTTCCTGCGAGACTCACATCCGGATCCGACGCCAGTTTCGCCGATCCCTTGAAGCCACCGAGATCAGATTTCTGACGGTTGCCACCAAGGCGGTGCTCAACGCGGTGGAACCGGAGTCCTGTGAGGAGCATGGCGAGGGCGAAGAGGAGACCTGCTACGACGAGGGAGACGATTGCGCCGATAACGCCGCCGACGACGGGGGAGACAGTGTCTTTCTTCTGTTTTTCCTGGGGAGAGGGGACAACGAGCGTGACGCCGCTTCCGTCTGCACCGCGGCAGAAGAAAGCTCCCGTGCTGCAGGTTTCGCACCAGTCGGTCAGGCCATGCATGGAGATGGTGCTGAAGAGTCTCTCGAACTCTGTGTACGGCATGTCTGTCATGGATCGTCCGTTGTTGAACATGGAGTAGGATTGCAGTGGCTTGTCGTCCGCGTCCGTGCCGTTGTGGAAGTAGAAGCGGACCCAGAGGTCGTTGGGGTCACTGGGCATGTCTGTGCTGGAGCTGGTGCTGAAGAGCTCGAAGATCATGGCTGACCCATAGGGTGGGATTGATTTGAAGTCTGAGGACTGTGTGTCGAGCATCATGAGAGACATAAGGCTCATCATGGCGTCTTGTTCGCCGAAGAAAAGGGTGAGTGGGCTGGGCGTGCTGATTTGGCCGGCGCTGCTGATCTCGCCGGCGCTGTTGTTCTTGCCGGATACGAGCATGTCGAAGGTGTTTTGAATTGAGCCCGCGAGCGTTTTGCCGCCGATAGCTCGCTCGCTGGTGTCGGTTGCTGAGGTATTGCCGTATAAATACCAGGCTACTTCGTCGGCGCGGTACCGGAGCTCATTGTACAAGCCTGTGTAATCGGAGTCGTTTGCTAAGGTCTTGTAGATGCTGGAATTGTGCGAATATTGGTACGATAAGTAATCTGCTATCTCAAGTGCATAGAGGTATGACCTGTGTCAATGTCAGTATTTGAATCATATGGCAGTCCTGAATGAGCTCTGCAACAGAGAAGATGGGGTAGGGGTAGGAGAAGATCATGAAATAGAATGCCGAAGCCTCAGACGAAGTTCGCCTTCAATCCTACTTACAATTCATCTTGATTGACATGGCCTTCGAACCAATCCAGAGGGAGGTTCTTGTACAGATCCCTATTGTCCGCCAAAGTCTGGGCGTCCCAATATTCCGGAGTCGTGAAATATTTCAGTGCGTCTGACTGTCCTTGTGGACATTGTGCAGATCCAGATACAAGTCTCGCATACGGGTCGTACACATTCGCAGCATGGATGCTGGCGTACTGATACCCGTTGAGCGGGTAGTCGATCGAGGTGCCGTCTGCGAGGACGCCAGTGTTATCACCAGTCGCGTTGCTGATGTCATGTGGTGGGAAGAGCCCTTGCATGAAGGCTTGCGCTGACGATACGAGGTATGGTGCATCGAGAGTCTGAACCCAAATCTGATCGTTGTTCAGGACATCCTCTGATAGCTCCGCAATGGACTCGGTACCGGAAACAAACTTTGACCTGAACTTCTGACCAAGCGCATGCATTTGATTCGCGCCGAGCGTGGTAAGAGTCTGGGTATTATTGCGCAAAACGGGTGTCCGGTCTCCCGTGCGAACGAAAGCGAAAGCAGCAAGTGTATGTTCCGAGTCTGAACTCTGAGCGCCAGCCAGCGAGGCCGAAGCCATTGCGGCGACGATGGTGCGAGTGAACATTGCGAGAGTTTGTTGGTGTGGTACCTCAACACCAAGACGGTGACGATGGTGCTTGCTGGTGACGGTAATACCAGCGACAAGGCTGAACACCAACTGGACCCCGGGATCACATCTCTACTTATCCCCTGCGGCAGCTCGCATGGAAACTAGACACCCATGCTTATTTCCAAGGCAGCCAGGCACCTTACCCGCCAGCACAAAGAAGCGAACAGTCTGTGGCCCCCAATAACGATAGCGGCTGAACGCCTAATGTAAGCGACGCGGAAGAACTCACAACTCTGTACGCGCCGCATGTAGGGCCGCGGCGTGACTGAAGCTGCAGCCTTGCTGAACAACTATGACATGTTCATGACTGCCTCGAGCCAAATATTGCAGACGGATAAACATCCGTGCAAAGGCATCATCGATGCATGAACCAAAGTGTTGCAGTTCCTTGGTTACACAGCGTCCGACTTAGCCGGATTCAACGAGACTATGGTGGATACCAAGACTATGGCTTTTGGGCGCATCGAATACTGCAAAAATCAACGGGGTGGCTGGGTGCTGACAGCGGGAGCCCAGATCCTATGAAGACTGGTCTTCTCGCACGAGTGTGTTGGCCGCCATCCTACGCCCAGTTAGCCTAAAATCCTTACTAACGCTTCTCGTGGTCGTGACCGGCATACCGGTGAGCGGGACACGGCACGTCAGGTACAATGAAGAACATACGATACTTCCACCATGTTTTTGTGGGTCAGCGGTACTGTAGTATGAGTCTGCCTTACTTCCATTCAGGCCTTGATTCAACCGTATGGATAAATTTTCTTCTACTGTGGGCGACTTCGTCTTCAAGATGTCGCTGTTTCAACTTCAATGTTGGTGAAAATTCATGCAGCGAACGGATGAATGGTTTGCTTCTTCGAGCAGAAAGGAGGGTAGCTAAAGATGGATCAGAGCACTACATTAGGCCGCCCACAGGGCTGAAAAAGTGCTGCCGACCTATCCGCATCAAGACATGGCACGTGGCACGTGGTGTTTGCATTGCTTGTTCGTTTGACATTAAATAATATATGTCCGCCAACAGCGGGCGGGTATTGCTACAGTGGCCCTACGATGCTGTGGGAGACCTTCGTCTACCACGCTCAAAACGCCAGTTTGGGTCCGCCATCAAGCGACTAGAACCGGATATACCCCTGCCTTTTCCAAACCATGACTCTACAAAGTAACCTCAACACGGCCCTCGGCACCTGGCGCACCACCGGCCTGCAGCGAGGGCAGGAGGTAGGTGATGTCGTCCCAGGGATGCCTGTAAAGACCAGTGCGCAGTCTCTTCTGGTCAAGAAAATGGGCAATGAGACCAATACTTCGGCCAAGGACGAAGAGACCGTTGAGGACACCCATCTTCAGGTAGTCCTCAGCCTCCTCTTGTGTGAAGGCACCACCGTTGCGGACAAGGTCAACGAAGCAGACAGCGATGCATCCGTCGACGTTGAGAATCAGGTTGTCCTTCTTCGATGTGGTCACCGACTCGACAGCAAGCGCGTAGTCGAGCAGCTTGGTGCTGGGGAAGTTCTTCTTGACGTACTCCTTGACGAGCTCGACACGAAGATCGGGGTTGTTACGCGACTTGATCCTGTGACCGATACCGGGGACTGATAGACGTTAGCTGCTGTGCAAATATAGCTTCTCATCTAGGCAACTTACTCAGCTTGTTCTCCTTCCTCATGGTGTCAACGAAGTCACGAGGGCTGAGACCCTTGTCAAAGGCCTTGCTGAACTCCTCAGCCGCACCGTCGAGCGCACCACCAAAGCGTGATCCGATGGTCAAGAGACCAGAAACCAAGGCACTGATGAGGTCCTTGCCAGCACGGGTAGTGATGATGGTGTTCATGGCACCAGACACAGCTGGACCGTGATCGGCGGTCAACATGAGAACCATCTCGAGGAAACGGCTGGCGTAGTTGGGCAGGCGGCGACGGAACCACAGCAGTGACATGACACCACCGATACCAATCTCCTCCCTGAAGACATCAGAGATGGGCATACCGGCGTACAGAAGCTCTTGGCCACGGTCGTCAGAGATGGTGGAGATGAAAGCAGCGGGCTTTCGGATGAGACCGAGCTCCTGCGCCCATGAGTAGTCAATGGGGATCTTGGGTACAACGGGCTCAGGCTTGGGCTTGATGGTGCCGTCCTTGACGAGCTTCTGGTAGACCTGGGCAAGAGTGCCGGGCATCTCCTCGAAGGTCTCTGGCACGTAGATGCCAGCTTCCCTCATGGTCTTGTTCTTGGTCGCCGCAGTCTCGAGCTGAGAGTTGGCGAAAGAACCAGCGTGACCGAACTGGACTTCAGTCTTGAGCATACCGGCAACGGTACCGATGGCCCACGCAACAATGGGCTTGTTCACCTGGCCAGACTTGACAGCCTCAATGACGCGGTATTCCTCAACACCACCAACCTCACCGAGCAGAACAATGATCTTGCAGTCGGGGTCGGCCTGGTATCGGAGAACGTGGTCAATGAAGGTGGTACCGGGGTACCTGTCACCACCAATGGCGACACCCTCGAGCACACCATCGGTAGTGTTTGCGATGATGTTGTTCAGCTCGTTGGACATACCACCGGACTTGGAGACGTATGAGACGGAGCCAGGGCGGTAGAGCTTGGAGGCAACGATGTTGTCCATCATACCACCAGTGTTACCGATCTTGAACGCACCGGGCTTGATGCCTCCGACAGTGGCAGGGCCGATGATGGTGATGCCCTTCTTCTGGGCAACGTGGAGGATCTCACGCGCACGCTAGTGCAAGTCAGTGGCTGTTCAGAGCAGTTTCTGCTACGGTTGCAACTTACTCGCTCGGGTACACCCTCAGCAATGATGGCAATGCACTTGATCTGAGGGAATTCCATCAGCTCCATGGTGGACTGGAAGACTGAGCGTGATGAGGCAAAGTTGACAACGGTGTCAACATCGCTGTGCTTGCCAACGGCCTTCTCGACTGTCTGGTAGACGGGCAGCAGAGTCTCGCTGGTTCCCCAGTACCTGTGTTGTGTCAGTCGGATGTTTGGCGGGGCATTTCGGGGTGTTGTCGACTGCATACATTTTGCTGACGAATTGACCGCCGAATGTGTAGATGATACCGGCGACGGAGGGCTGCTTGCGCTTGCAGATGAAGTCGAAGTCGAGCATGCCCTGGACGGCACGGGGCTGCAGTCCGCTGTTCACATTGTGTTAGAGCCGCGCGCTGGTATTTTTTGTAGGCGTGGTGGTCTTACTAGACAAAGCATCGTGTCTTGGGGTGGAAGAGTGTGTGCGAGGCCGGGGGGCTCATGGGCCGGCTGGGGGCAGCGAAACGACGGATGTTGTCGTTGGCGGAGAGGCCATCGCTCGAGGTGGCCGACTGCGCGGGGACGCTCCCGTTGGCGGGCGCTGCGGAAGGCATTGTAGACGTGAGGTAGTTCTGGAGAGACAGGAGGGTCAGTCTGGCTCGGAATGGGTGTTGTGACGAGCAGATAAGGTTGGCGGTCGGGGTATTTCGCGTGGGAAAAAATGCTTCGGAGCTGTTGGGGCAGGCACGCAAGAGCGGGCAGGTGGGATGGAGCTCAACAAGGCCTAGGGAAGGAGCGAGCGAGTGACTTACCTTATGGATGCAATGCCGTGCTGAAGGCAGAGCAGAGTACTTGGATGGATGGGGAGAAGGTTGCGAAGAGGGAACAGCGATTCTTTCCGAAGTTTGGCCCTTACTTTTGGCGGTGTTGAGCTGGAGAGTGATATCCCCTGCACGAACTAGATGCGTGTGGCGCTAACCCCAAGTCCCGAGCGGTGAACGGGGACCCGAATGTCTGCACCGCAGCGTCGCACCTCGGAATTGGGGGGTGTTGGTAATAGATGCGGCTTCAATGCACCGCGCAGGCGCTTTCTGGAAGGTGTTATCGCGGAAAATCCCCCGGGAAGCGTCTTTTCGGGTCGTTGATATCTCGTCGTGGGTCGTGTAGGGCATCCGCAGCTCCTGTACCCCTGGTGGGGTGTCCTCGCCGTGATAGGCCCGCCGTGCGCCCAGTGCCTTAGCCCTGCATCCGCTGCCCGCCCTCATTGCTCAACACGCAGAAAAAACATCAGACCGCTTTCTCAAGCTCCTCCCAAGCCGTCTGACAACTCAATCTTGCCAGCAGTTCCTCTTAACCCTCTGCAGACCGTGTGTCAAGCCTCAACAAATCCAGGTACGTTTGCCCACTCCCCAGCCTGCCACTTCGCATCTTTTGTCCCGGCCCCCTCACCATCTTCTCCGAACATCTTCGTCTCCGGACATTGCATAAGGCCCCATTGCCATACCCGAGACTTCTTTCGGGATTGCCTGTCTGCCATATCTCTTGCACCCCATTGCTTCCACGCGAGCCACCCCTCTTGACATTGACACTCATCCATCGCAGTTTGACCAAACACCACAATGTCAGCCAAGTCTATCCTCGAGGCCGACGGCAAGGCCATCCTCAATTACCACCTCACCCGCGCTCCCGTCATCAAGCCCACGCCCCTCCCCGCGTCGGCCACACACAACCCCCCGTCCAAGCTCGCATCGCTGCACTTCGCTGCGGATGAGGACATCAAGGGCGTGCTCGACCAGGCCGAGGCCACCTACCCATGGCTGCTGACTCCCGGATCCAAGTTCGTCGCAAAGCCAGATCAGCTCATCAAGAGGCGAGGCAAGAGCGGTCTGCTCGCGCTGAACAAGACCTGGGCTGAGGCGAGGGAGTGGATCGAGGCGAGGGCAGGAAAGGAGCAGCGAGTCGAGACTGTCGATGGTGTCCTGAGGCAGTTCTTGGTCGAGCCTTTCGTTCCCCATCCCCAAGACACCGAGTACTACATCAACATCAACTCTGTGCGAGAGGTATGTCGATTCCAATTTCCGCCTTTTTCTACAATCATTTTGTTACTTCGTTACGTCGTATCTCGTGTCGTTTTGGGCGACCGCATGGTCTGGCGCATGCGCAGGCGTGCAAAAGGCATATTCGGAAGCTCAGAGCGGAATGCTGCAGCTCAAGTGCAAGCGGAGCGGGACGAGTGCTTAAGCCGCGGGCGCACTGCCTGGTTTTGTTTCAAGGCCGGCCGGACGAAGGGAACGATGACCGACCCACTCCTGCAAAGCACCTACTCTTCTGCGATACGCACGTCCACTTTCACATGCAAATGTGGCTGCGTTTTCAGCGCTTTTGCGCCGCTACCTATGCATCGTCAATTTACGGGCCCATGGTGTTGCGGCTCTAGCATCGGCGCCATCTTGCGATCTTTTGCCGATCTCACCGCTAACTTGTCCGCTTAGGGTGACTGGATCCTCTTCACCCACGAGGGTGGTGTCGATGTCGGTGATGTCGATGAGAAGGCTGAGAAGCTCCTCATTCCTGTCGACCTCAAGGAATACCCCTCAAACGAGGAGATCGCCGCCACTCTCTTGAAGAAGGTGCCCGAGGGTGTACACAACGTCCTCGTCGACTTCATCTCAAGGTTATACGCCGTCTACGTTGACTGCCAGTTCACGTGAGTTACTCAGACATCTGTCACCTTCCTAATGCATACTAACGTAACCAAGATACCTTGAGATCAACCCTCTCGTCGTCATTCCCAACGAGGAGAAGACCTCAGCTGAGGTTCACTTCCTGGATCTCGCTGCCAAGCTTGACCAAACTGCTGAGTTCGAGTGCGGTGCCAAGTGGGCTATTGCTCGCAGCGCGACAGCTCTCGGCATACCAGCTGCTCCCCAGCAGAATGCTAAGCAGACCGTCGATGTCGGCCCACCGATGGAGTTCCCCGCTCCTTTCGGTCGTGAGATGAGCAAGGAGGAGGCGTACATTGCTGAGATGGACGCTAAGACTGGTGCTTCCCTCAAGCTGACCATCCTCAACGCTACCGGCCGCGTCTGGACCCTGGTCGCTGGTGGTGGTGCGTCCGTCGTTTACGCCGACGCCATCGCCTCTGCTGGTTTCGCCGGTGAGCTCGCCAACTACGGTGAGTACTCTGGTGCTCCCACAGAGACACAGACCTTCCACTACGCCCGTACCGTCCTCGACCTCATGCTCCGTGCTCCTCAACACCCAGAGGGCAAGGTCCTCTTCATTGGTGGTGGTATTGCCAACTTCACCAACGTCGCCTCGACTTTCAAGGGTGTCATCCGCGCTCTGAGGGAAGTCGCACCCCTCCTCGTCGAGCACAACGTCCAGATCTGGATCCGTCGTGCCGGTCCTAACTATCAGGAGGGTCTCAAGAACATCAAGGGTGTCGGCCAGGAGCTCGGCCTCAACATGCACGTCTACGGCCCTGAGATGCACGTGTCGGGTATCGTGCCATTGGCTCTTATCCCTGGCAAGACTACCGACATTAAGGAGTTCTCTGGTTAAGCGTGTGCTTTGTATATTAGGGTCGCGGGTGTAGACTGGGACTGCTTACGGCTCATGACTAGACAAGAGTTAACGTTGGGAGCTTTGCATGAAATGAGTGTTCGACGAACCCATTACCTCGTCTGCCTTGCCGAAGTGGCTGGTGACGAAGGAATATAACATTTAATACTTCCATCTGTTGATTTGTTAAGGTGAAGTTTGATGGTTGATGTTGCGTCAGTGCACGTTGTTGCTCTTTCCTTGAAGGAAGGCACGACCTCCCTTCCTCACCTTCCCACATCACCGCCTCTCTACCTGTGCAACTGCACCTCGTTTCGTCTCTCAATAGAGCTCATGCCCTCCCCATAGGATAGACGCAGGAGGTAAGCATGATATGACATCCCAAATATAACTCTTACAATTCCGCGCTGGCCCATCACAGAACAAGAACCCCCAAGCAAAACAACCCCAGCAACAAACGAAGTCCTGCAACGCCTAGGGTGAAACCAAGGCGTTGCGAGACTAATTGCATAGGTCCTTAAAAAGGCAAAGCAAAGCTCAGTGTACTGCAGTACCACAATCGATCTAGGACGTGGGTTCGAGCGCTTATTCACTCACTCGCGTCTTAAAATAAGGGACACGGGCATTTGACCATCGAGTCGAAGGAACATGTTCTTTATAATCTTCATACTACAACCTTTGATAGAAAGGGTGGTTAAAAGAATTTCCCTTCAAACACAGGTTTGGCATACGTCGAACTTGTAGATTGAGATCTCGAGACTATAGCCTTCGATGAAAGGGTGGTTGAGAGAATTTGTGTTGTCTTGTGGTGTTGAGTGAAAGCGTTCATTGTTCTATCTTTTTTGTTAGTCAGCGTTAAATTTACAAATATAGTAGATGTGTACATGCATTGCTAAATATCTCTTGAAGTAGCTGCTGCAAATGTAAAGTGCTGAGAAGCATATAATGCGATATATTCGTACACTCGCCAAAGCAAGTCTGTATGTCGTCGTCCAGCGGCAAGATGAACCGGCATCTCTACCCCAAAACATCCCCACTCTCAACTCAACGTCCTTCTCCACTCATCCATAGCATCAAAAAGCGCCCCCAACCTCACCCCGTCCTCGTCCTCCCCTACAGTCAACACCTTAACCACACTCCTCTTCTTCCCATGCCTAAGCGTAAGTTCCCTCAACGGCGGCATAGAAACCAACATATCCCTCCAGCTCCCCTCCTTGCAACCCAATACCCTCTCACTCTTAACCCAAACATTAAAGTCCATAACCACAGGATGAAAAACAATCTCCTGGCTCGTCCGTATGAGCCCCAAACACCTCCTCATCAGACTAATCTCATTGCGCACGCCGACTGAGAACCGCGTGCCGGACGGTTGCACCCCATCTTCTATACTCTGCGGCGTAATGTCGAGTTCAAAGTCGAATGTCGTAGGGACGAGATTGTAGATTTGCAAGCTGCGGGAGGGTTTTAGGTACAGCATCTCTGCGAGTAAAGGGGAGTCGCCTGGGATGAGTTGCCGCCATACGTTGCATACGCGCTGGCAGCGAAGTAAATCCCAGAAGTCGAGGTGGATGAACACGTGCTGAAGGACCTCCGCAGGGAGGTCTGTCATGCGTTTTCTTTGGCCGCTGCCCGGGTGCGTGGAGCCTGCAGTGAACATTTGGCGTACGCGGTCCGCGTAGTTTCCTATGCTGCTGCGCCGGCTGTCTCGTGAGAGCTCTGAGTCCCAGGAGCGCATGGATGCTGTGTCTGCGTCTGGGGGGATGCCACCGCTGATGGATGGGTTGCGGATGGAGTGGCTTGAGGTGCTTTGTTTGCGCCGGTTGGTGGTGTCTTTGAGCTTTTCCGAGAAGCGCGTGAAGGCTGAGAAGTGGGATTGGTGGTGTAGATCCATCATGGCTTCTGTTCTGCTTGGTCGTTGAGATGTTTGGTTCAGGTTCAGCCTGTGTTTTGATCTGGAATCCTCTAGGGCATCCAGTATTGTTCTTAGCGCTTTTGATACGGGCTGACTTATTAGACTTCAGCCTCGCGACGACGGTGCGGGGTTATATCGTGTAACGTAATTGCGGTGCAACTCTATATCTCCTGTGTCTCAGTGACGGTTGAATGGTACGGTGTTCTCTTATATCGCGTCCGAAGCGGTGTGAATGGCAGCATCGATCGAGAGAACAGGAAACGACGACAACGTGGAAGCCGCAGCTGACATGTCATCTCCACTAGCCGAAAGTGGCTGACTGACCCGGCAAAAGCAAGCTCAACACACAGGCACGGGATGGGGTCGGCGATGTTTGCTTGATGGCTTGCAAGGCGTATCAAGGAAAGTGAGGTTCACGATCTGTTCTTCTGATACATTGCAAGGGTGTTGTTCCACTATTATGCCGATGTTGCCCATCAAACACATTATGGTCCCACCCTTCCGTGCATAGGACAGGGCATGGAGCATTGTGATTGTGGTTCAAGATGATATTTTGTGTTGTATTGATATATATTTATATACGGCTCCTCAAGCCAAGTCCGTGTTGTTCGTAAACGAGACGTCTGATGACGCAATGCCAGAGCATTCAGTACACATGAAGCGGCGCATAGCACGCTTATTGTGAGACGACTACTGTGCCAAATCTTCCAACACTCCTCTGGAATCCACCTTGACGTACTCCTCGGCGCGGTAAGCCTATTTGGACGTGAAGTCTCAAAAACGCCAGCCGAGTCCTTGATAAAAGGTCGCTGCATGTCATGTATGCGTCACGCTCTCTTCAGCCGATCTCGATTGAAGCCAATGCACCAATGACCTCTTCAGCGACTCCTCCGTTTTCTACCACCATCTTTGTAACTTGTGAGACCAGTCCTCTCTTCATGCCGCCTCGGGGTGGTGTCCAAACGCCTGAAGTCGCCAACAGTTCCCTTTGAGTGAGCGCATCGGCACTGGAAGTGGGAGCAGTGCCGCCTGTTGCTGAGTTCATCGAGTTGGGTACGCCGGGGGGTGTAAGGTGGGAAGGAGGATCGATGGTTCGGATAGAGACGATGCGCGCGCCCGTAGACGAGGTTGTTGAGTTTGTACATGCGATCGCGAGGACTGCATCTGCTACTGCGAGCTCCTCCTTGGCGGGATCGAAGATGATGTTGGAGCCCACTGCCATGGCTAGTATAATGACTGGGGGCTTCCCTAGCTGGGAAGCAGTCTTGTTGGTACCCGCCTGCTTGGGGTATAGCGGCACAGCGGCATCCCAGTCGTCGTCGAACAGGGGATCTTCGTCCTTTTCAGACTTCAGGGCTGGTAGGAGGGTAGTGAGCAGGGCGAGATGGGTGGTCATGGAAAGCAGCGCAAGCGGGTAGGAGAGCGGGGGCGAAAGGAGCAGGATCTGGGGTCGTTAGCAGCGTGTCTAGAGAAGACATATCGTGACTTCTCACATCGACGTAGAGCTTCCAGTGAAACCGTCTGTTGATGTACAGGCGGTCTTTGAGCTCTCCACTGGCAAGCAAGCTCTCGGTGAGCATGGAAGACAGGAACACTGGCAGGGCGTCGTCTTCGCGGAAGCCTGGGACCTCGACGCTCATCTCGACCCACGCATTCTGGCCCTTGCCCTTGCTGTCGTCCGTCTCTTCGCCCTCTCCCATGTCTACATCCTCAGGCTCGGCCAGGGTCGGGCGCTGCCGTGACCTCTCCACCTCGGCCTTGACTCCTACCAGCGCCTCGGTGCCGTCTTCCAGGGCAATGCGCGCACTCCCGTTTGCGCTGGGCAGTACGTCATACTCGGCGCGCATGGAGCGAAAGTCGCGGGGGCCCTTGGTGACATCGAGGCGGATGGGCGGCGTCTGTGAGAGGGTGGAGCGCAGAAAGGACAGCTCAGCGGGCGAGAGATTGACGAGGGCCTGCTGGGGCGCCATGGCAATTGGATCGTGGTGCGGCGGACGGGGCGACAACGAGGTGTTTGCTGCTCGCGGATTTCTTGCGCATTTGTTTCGACGACGAACTAGCGGGCCCGGCGATTCGGCTGCAGCGTCACTTGCTTGCAGCCCCGGCGCGAGCTACTTCGCGCGACAACACCGTGCGCTGACCGCCGGTCCGCAAGAGCATTGTACATCTGTGTCGTTGCGAGTCCGAGGCGTGTCGCAAACCTGCAGTCTCGCACTCTCTTCTGTATTCTTAATATATATTCCTAGGGCCATGCTACGGTAGATCAAGCCACCCGACCCTCGTCACACGTCCACGACCGCCGGCCGCCCATGTCACCCCCGAGGTCCAAGCGGAACAGCGGCAATGCCATCACCACCATCGACAAGCTCGACTACCCACCCAACTCGCCCCGTCGCCCGCTGCTCGCCCCCGACGACGACGCCGAATCGCAGCGCCGCAGCAACGACACGAGTTACGCCGGCAGCTTCTTCGAGCAGGTGGCCGAAGGCATCTACGAGCAGGACCGCGTCAAGATGCAGCGCGCCGTGCTACGCTGGCTGAGCTTCGTGTGGGCCATCGTCATCTGCCTATGCGCTGGTAGCATCACCGCCTTTTCCCTCTACGGCCACTTGTTCCAGTCCAAGCTGCACTACACCCAGGTCCAGGTCAACATCGTCTCCATCGGCGCCGAGCTCGGCCTCTACCTCCTCGTCCCCATCTTCGGGTATCTCTGCGACCGTCTGGGGCCTGGCGTGCCTGCTGGTCTCGCTGGCCTTCTCTTCGGCTCGGGATACCTCCTGGCAGCCTTCGCCTTCAAGAGCGGTCCCCCGCCATCTGCAGGCGGTCATGGCTGGCCCTTCGGCGTCATGGTGCTGGCCTTCGCCTTCGTCGGCATGGGCACCAGCTGCATGTACCTGGCTGCAGTAACAACATGCGCGAAGAACTTTGGGCGTGGTAACGCTAAAGGCGTGGCTCTGGCAGTGCCCATCGCAGCCTTTGGACTCAGCGGCATGTGGCAAAGTCAGGTTGGAAGCCGGCTGCTGTACGTGAGGAACACAGACGGGACCAAGGGAGATGTCGACGTGTACCGCTTCTTCCTCTTCCTCGGCATACTCCTGCTCTGTGTAGGCGCCGTCGGCTTCTTTGCGCTGCGCATCATGGACGAAGAGGAGATGATCGACGAGGCAGTAGACGAGCTCGAAAGATCCGGTCTGCTGCAGCGCGACGAGTTCTTCACCCAGGCTGCGCATCATCACGGCTACGGAACCATGGAGACGCAGGACCTCTCCGACTCGACCTTTGACTTCCTGCAATCTGAGGCCGAGCGTCTGAAGGCCAAGGCAGAAGAAGAGGCACGCAAGAAGACATGGCTGCTGAACGAGGAGACTCGTCGGTACATCATGGATCCTACCATGTGGTGGCTCGCAGGCGGCTTCTTCCTGGTTACTGGTCCTGGTGAAGCCTTCATCAACAATCTAGGCACCATCATCGAGACGCTTACACCTGCGCACGTCGCCACCAACACCTCGCCGGCCACCCATGTTTCCATCGTCGCCATCACCTCCACACTCGCTCGCTTGATCACGGGCACGCTCTCTGATGTCCTCGCCCCGGTCTCATCTGGAAACTCGCACCGTCGCGGACCAGACTCTATCGCGAACTCGCTTTCGTCTCTCCCATCCCTCGAGCAGCCGCGCCGGTTCACCGTCTCTCGCATAACCTTCCTCCTGGCTTTCGCCTTCATCCTCTCTCTTGGACAACTTCTGCTCGCGAGTGGATGGGTGCAGAACCATGCCTCCCGTTTTGCCGCCGTCTCCGCACTCATCGGTGCCGGTTATGGAGCCGTCTTCTCCCTGACACCCATCGTCGTCTCAGTAGTATGGGGCGTCGAGAACTTCGGAACAAACTGGGGCATTCTAGCCATGACACCAGCCGCAGGTGCCACGCTCTGGGGCGCCGTCTACGCTACCGTGTACCAGAAAGCTGCAGAGAACGGCGAAGCGGGTGTTCAGAAGGATCCTGAGGATGTGCTTTGCCACGGAAAGGCTTGCTATGCGTCCACTTTCTGGGCCATGACCATCAGCGTGTGGATTGCCATGGGTCTCATCTTCTTCGCTTGGAGAGGCCCTGGCGGGTGGAAGCAGAGAGGTGTTGCTGTATGATGCTCTTGTCTTTATTTTGCATGGCGAAGGGCGTTTGTGATTCATGGTTATGAAGCGTTCATTGTGTTATTCCTATGTTGCTCTAATAGCATTGCATACTCCTCTTTCCTGAATCAATAAGATTTTGAATATCACCTTCACATGTCTAAGTATGAGAAGATCAAGCCTATGCGTACATCGTAATAAAATAGATGCAAAAATACAGGCAGAGCGGAACATATAACAGCAGGGCGCTTTTAGCCAGCTACTGCTTTCTATGCGTGCGTGGTGGTGGGTGGCACGCAAAGGGCAAAAAAGAAGGCTAGGCAAAAAGACAAAAACAAAATACCAGTGGATATACCAGCCCACCATCCGACTTCCAACCCTAATAGGAGTAATCCAGCGCCGCCGTCCCGTGGTGAATACTAGACTGCGGAATTGCTTCCCTCGTCAAATTGTATTCATTGCTTAGGTCCCTCCAGCATCACTGGTTACCCAAGTGAGTGGATTAAAGGACACCACAGGACTCGAACTGGGCTCCATTCAGAGTAACGAGAGGAAATAGGACGGGGATGCGGAAAATCTTCTGGTTGAGACCCGTTACAGGTGGCAAATTTGGAAATTAGGTATAATCTAAAGATAGTATGAATTGAAGATAAGTCTGCATAGTCTGGGCTGCATCGTTGCCTTCGCTCTGCGAACTTGTGCGAGAATTGAGGGCTTCCGGTAGCCGAAGCGGCGGACTGCGGGGTAAGCGTAGCCTCTAAAAGTGGGGAGTGCTGGGCCTTTCCCGTCAATCTACGACAACAGGTGCAGCATTATGAACACTGTAACCACAACGCGGACGTGAGTTGAACGACATTTGGAGAGGACCTTCGCATTTTAATAGCTACGATGCAATATAACCGACTTGTCCAAGTCACCACAGATGCGTGGGTATTTATATCTTCTACGCCTCCCAATGCAACACGTCCGCTCTGTGTTGGAGACTATAAATCACATCCTCGAAGCACGTACTAGCTTTTGAATCTCAATCCGCACATCTTCGCAACCCAGCCGCTTCGCTTCATCGCCTTGCACCATTTCGCTGATCAACCGTTGCACATCGTCACCCACATCGCCCAGACCCTGCGCGAAGCCATCTGAAAAGACTCCGCGTCGAAGCTCCGTAAGAGCTGATATTCGCTCCATACGCGTACTGAACTTCTGCACCATCTCAAACGCTACGACACCAAGCGCGAAGACGTCCAGCTTCTCGTTGATACCACTGCCTGTGTGCGGGCGGTAAAACTCTGTACCCACGGGCTTGAAGGTATCCGATACAGTGCAGCTATCGCTCAGCGCCGCAACAAGGCCGAAATCTCCGATTCGTGGTGTCATGTGTAAGCGATCACGTTTCGGGCACTTTGTGCAGCTTGAGACGTTGACGGAACCGTACGGAGCGTGGCGCGCTCGCGAGAGCGATAAGAAGACGTTGGCTGGTTTGAGGTCGCGATGGACTACACCCTGTGCATGGAGGTATTCGACTCCGGAGACGATGTTGTCTAGTAACTCCAGTGATACGCAAGGATGGAAACAATGCTGTTCAACTGCGTGTGTGGTAGGCGAGAGTTGATCGGAAGAGAGGAAGGCGGCAAGGTTGGTTTCGCAAAGGCTCATTTGCACGTTCAGCGTCAGAACTGGTCCAAGGCTCTGATTTTGGATCAAATGGCGGGGCGCGTCGCTGTTCGATATCATGCTGTCTGACATCTCGGAAAGTGACTCTTGAGAATACGGCATGTGTGATCGGGGTATATTTTCAACGTCATCATCCTCGTCTTCGTCAACGTCCTCCACAGCACTCATCCTGGATTTTGTCGAAGATATTGTAGCTATCGTGGTCTGGCTTGCTTGGCTACCCCGACGTTTTTTGCGCCTTGTCTGCCTCAAAGTCTCTTTGTATGATGTATGAACGCTCTCGCTCCTGGTCTCGTTCACTTGCTGTTCAGATTCGCTGAACTCAAATATGATCCCCGCGCTATTGCTGTGTTCGGTGCTCGCAAAGGGATTGTCCATCGTCAGGCTATCTAGCTGAGAATGCAGATCTCCCGAGCCTGGTGAAAATGACGGAAACGCGGGTCTATCATCCAAAAGACGGTCGTTGCGTAACATCGTGACTTCCGGCGCGGTCACAGGATCTGCCGGTATTGTGGTGAACTCCAGCCAAGCGTTGTGATACCGGACTATGTTGTTGTGATCGAACCGAGCGAGCGAACGGACTTCCTCAAGCATGCTTTCCAGTTCTTCGGGCCCATGCTCTTGTATTCTTGCAACCTTGGACGGGCTCACTGGTATCCTCTTTACAGCATACAATGAGCCATCTAGTTTGTGTTTGGCTTTGAAAACCTTGCCGTATCCGCCCTTCCCCACAATTTCGAGCTCCGAAAACTCGCGGATGTAGCGGTCTGTTTGCAAATGAGGATATCCTCGTAGCCGAAGTTCTACCGGTGCTGAGATACCAGACATCATATCGAATCCTAGAGACGGCTGTTGAGGCAGAGCAGGGTGAACTGCAGTCCCCGGACGTGAGACGAGGGCCGTTGAAGTTGCTTCGGGGATTACAGCAAGTTTGCTAAGGTTGCCCTGCGTCAACCGATGAATTCCCTGGTTCGCGGTTGTTCGGTGACTCTGCATCTCATCGCTCGCGTAGGTGTCATCCACGTTGTTGGAGATCTGGCGAGCGATTTCCTTATAGGCGCCTCTTCCTAATCGCTGTACTTCTGGATCAGAGGGATCCTTTCCTAGTTGCTCTGCGACTTGCCGAATGGTTCGCTCTTCCAATAGCGAATGTAACATCAAATCCCGAACATTTTGCGCTGAGTTTTGCCGAAATTCTAGAGGCGGCCGGTGGGGCTGAAGAGGCTGATGTCCCGAAGCAGCAGAGTCCAGAGTTTGGATTCGTGACAGGACGCTATCCTGATGCGATTCGCTTGCTTCCTCGTACTCGCTTTCGTCGTCATCAGAGGTTTCCGAGCTTGACGATGAATCTCCCGGCCTGCGGAACATGGACATTGCGAGTGGAAGGAGGGGTCTTTGTGAGTCAACACAAGGCCAGGCCAGCTGTTCTTAAAGGAGGGTGATCGAGTCAATTAAACAATTTATGGCATCCGATGATCCTTGGACGAAAAGACGCGCGCGTGTGTTTGTTGTGAAATTGTTAAGACGTTTTTGATAGTGTGTTGTTCGGTGTAAGCTGCAGCGTCGAGCGAAGACCAACTCGATGCCAACAGCTGCACCAGTCAGGACCCCATCAGTACCTAGGTACGCGACGTCTAGGCAAGCATCGAGCGTCACGGAATCTCATGGAAGCGAAACGTGTCACTTTTGAATTGAAGGCGGAGAGCACGTTCGAAGTCACAGATTAGATCGGAACGGAAGGGCGCAATCCCAGGAAAGTGGGTCTGACCCGTGGACAGAACCGGCAGGGTCTAGCGCGTCATAGCACGTGCCCAGGCGACCGCGAACAATTCACCCTTGTGCACGCGCTTTCGACACTTTCGGACGTGTTTGTGACTACATGACCGTCTGAGCTGCTTTTTGGCAGACTATGGTCATTATGTCGCGTGCAAACCGTTCTCTACACTCTCAGTTTCTGCGAATACAAGGTTGATCTTCAAAACCTTGGGCATCATGCCGCGTCAGCTACCTTGGGCAAGCAAGAGTGGCGGAAGCCGGACACAAGCCAAGCCAGCATCATCGCGGAAAGCCACGAAAGCGCGCACTACGGCTGACATAGATGACGACTTCTTCGAAGGCACCATTCTTGCAGACAGCGACAAAGACAGAGGACGATCAAATGGGTCCGACGATGATCTTCCCGGCCTTCCAACAGCACCGTCGACGCCTCGAACTAAAACCAAAGCCAACGATGCACTCCGAAAGAGACGTGGTGGTTCATCATCCCCGCCTCCTATTGACGAGCTTGAGGGGCCACGTATTGAAGGCATGCACAAAAGTTTATCCAAATTCGATCTGCGCGACGACGAGTGGATGATGGTGGAAGACGAGTTTCTAGAGACAGCAAAGCTGTTCACGCGACACTTACATATCGCCGAATACGAGAAGCTCAAGGCAATTATCGAAGAGAAAAAGAAAGAAGCTGCCGAGGTTACCAGACCCGTCGTTGCAAATGCGAAGAGATCTACTAGCGGCGAGATGAAGGAGAAGGCCAGGGTTCAAGAGTTGAAGCAGAAGAGGGCGATTCGCGATGTCTTTGTGTCGCAGGAAAACGAAGATGACCCGCAAGGGCGGGCCGTTCTGTCAAGTCGATCCAGTCTCACATCTTCGTGGGCCTCAAGACGCATTGCGACAACTAGCAAATACGCAGCACAAGATAGCGACAACGACAGCGAAGATCTAGACGCACCGCGCCTCTCAGCAAAACCCGTTTCCAGGACCACTACGACGCCCACCCCAGTCCGTAACAGCAGCGCAGCAAAAGGCCAAAAGTCTGCCTCGTCTCCTGCACCCAATCCCAGGCCACCACGCCCCATCTTCGCTAAGCCTGCGCCACCTACACCCGCAGCAAAATCTCGGTCACGCATAAGTCGCGCAACACCCTTTGATATGCTCGACGAGCTGGTGCCGACGAAGAAAAGTAAGACATTGTCGGGATCCTCAGTGGAGCCGGCAGTTGAGACATCATATACTCCACGCGCGTCCAGTGTCAGCAAGTATTCCCAATCCTTCGATTCTGTGGACGGCCGGGGCGGTGCTAAGGTTGGACGAGCAGTTGCTTCGTTCGAGGAGACTGCGCCGGATGGAGACCACCGCAGCAATGGTGGTAACACCGGTATCAGCAAGGAGACTTTGGAGCGAATTACCAAGCGGAAGGCTGAGCGGGAGAAGAGCGAGAAGGAGCGGAAACGGAAAGCTGCAGACTTAGATGATGTGCCGACCTTCTTGTTTTGATCTGTTGGCGATTCACTATGGTTCATGGGCTATATTGGGCGTTTTCTGTGGGAGTTGCTTTGGTGAATTTATTATGATACCCCAGTTGTGAACTATTGCAGGCTGTTTAGTATCAGCGGCGTTGGGGCGCATACATGAAAATATTTACAGAATCGATAATGATGGACTGTACGGAGAAGCTCGTTTGTGATGCGCCGCGTCTTGAAGTATAACCCAGACGTATACGTAACACTTGTTCTGTATGACTTGTGACGCAAAAATGCCCCGTATGCTTTCACACTGTGCTGTGGGTCACAACTCAAGAGAATGAGCTTCTTCAAGAACCCATCATATCCATTGGTATCGTGGGTTCTTGTGGTATTGTCATAGAGTCTCGTATGGACCACCTACGTGCGCATGGCGCATCTTCTTCCAAGAGTAGTACGCGTACGCCCCAGTAAAGCAAGAAGCACTAGCTCAAAAGACCCCAAGGGGCGTTATGACAGCTGCGACAGCAGCCTATCCAAACATCTTATCCAGAACACGGTTGAAAGCATTAGTCTCCGGCTTCTCCACAAACGTACGATGGTACTCTTCAATCTCCGCGAGATCAGTCACAAGATCCGCTTCAGACGGCGAAATCCACTTCGTCCTCTTGAGAACCTTCCAGAAGATGAAGAGAACGGGGAAGGCGAAGACCCTGTATTTCATGTCAGTATTGCGCCAGGATAATGACCGAGAGAAGGGGGTGGTGAGGATGGAGAGACTTACATCAGGTATGAGAACAGGAAATCAGCGACAGCCCACTTGCCATTCAGGAACACCGTGTAGCCTCCCACAAAGGTCATGATGAAGGTGCACACAAGGCCGTACCATGCGGCGTAGGGCTGGCCAATACCCTTGTACGGCAGCGTGTCTCGATCGAGACCCTGGACCTGGCACGCCTTGTAAAACTTCAAGAAGGTGAAGCACATGACGCTGAAGTTGATTAGTTGGGAGGCTGTCACCAAACTGACGAACCAGTTCAGTACGACAGCGGAGTTCGCGCTAAGTTGGAGGAAGGATAGCAGGGCGATCATGAGGACAAAGAGGACGCAGTAGAAAGGTACACCCTGCTTCGTGCACCTGGTAAAGAACTTGGGCGCCTTTCCTTCGAGAGCGAGACCGAAGAGGGAACGGGACGCGCAGTAGACGTAGGAGTTTCCGGCGGAGAAAGCGGAGGCTAGGACACCAGCGTTGACAACGTGAGGTAGACCTTCGATACGAAGTCGGTTCATGGCGATGACGTAGGGTGAAGCTGCTGCACCTGGCTTGCCGTCTCGGAAGGCAGCAATTAATTCGGCGTCGTTGTAAGGCACGTTGATGCCTACAGCCAGCGATCCGAGCACGAAGAATGTGGTCAGACGGTAGAAAACGGCGTTGTAGGCGCGAGGCATGACTTTGCGTGGGTTCTCCGTCTCTCCTGCTGCCATGGAAACGTAATCTGGTCCGGCGATCGTAAAGGAAGCCTGAATCAGGCATTGCAGAAAGCCCAGGAAGCGACCGAGTTGACCTGGTTCGTAGAGTTCTGTGAAACTACCGGGGTTCTTCCAGTAGCGGAATCCGTAACGGTCTTTCTGGGGGTTGCCGCCCAACATGGAGATGAAGGTGAAGATAAGTAAACCGATGATGAGAAGGACTTTGCCGATGGCGGCCCAGAACTCGGTTTCGCCGTACCATTTGACGGCCATCATGTTGATAACCCTATTTGATGTTAGTACTTGGTCTGCATATATCCTCTTGGAGAATCCAAAGCGAAGATTGAGCACACAGCTTCATGGTTGCTCCAATGTAGACACCAGAGTGCCAAACGCATGAGTTGCCAGACACCAGGATGTAGGGTTTTAACGTACGCATAGAGCACGAGAACGATTGCGATGATGGCGCCTGTGGGCACTACATCACTCCAGAAGCCAATGATGACGTTGCAAGCCACAATCTCAAAGGGCACAAGAGCAGCTTCGAACACGAAGAAGTTCCAGCCAGCCGCGAAACCAAAAGCATCATCCACAAATCTTCCAGCAAATCGGATAAACGGCGAGGATATAGGGAGGAATGTGACCATCTCAGCGATACCTGGGTAATTGCATTAGCTGGTGCTCAGCATTTTAGCGCGAGCGATGGAAAAAGGTGCTTTGGGGTATTGGATGAAGCGCATGGGCATTGTCGCAATGGGAAAGAGTTGTCGCTTTGGAGATTAAAGGGATGGAGAGTCTCACTGAGCGTCACAGCCAGAATAACAGTGCACCTTTGAAATGTTAGCGTTAGCTCATCACCATGGATGGCGAGGGAGATTTTGCATACCATAGCGAGAATGCAAGGAACAAACTTCCAGGTCCTCCGTTCATCAAACCTCGGCCAATCTGCACGTACAAGGCAGTACCAATAGTTCCTCCAATACCGATAAGCTGGATGTGTCTGCTCTTGAGCTTTCGATGCGTCTGATCGGTGACTGCTTTCACGGATCCGACAATACTGGGATGACGGGGGCCGACATCGTAATGATTCTTCTCCTCATCGGTAGCAACATAACCTGTATTCTTTACCTCGTAGGGTCCGCCAGATCCAAATTCTTGGCCGTAAGAGGCCATTGTATTCGAATGTTGAAAACCTCAAGGCTGGGCTTCAGTGTATGGATTTGAGAAGCAGGGCAAAGTACTGTACTACGAAAGCCATGTACCAATAACCGATGGAATTGTCTTATAGGTAGCGGACAAGGCTGAGGGTCGTCGTGCAAGATAACAGAACAAGTCGGGGAGTAACCTGTTAAATAACCCTCTCAGCTGCCCTAGCGAGCGCGAGTGGGAACCCTGCATGAGCTTCCTCGTGGTGAACGCTGTAGATCGCGCTAGGCAGACTGGGCATTCACAATATCCCGCTTCTTCGAGATTCGGGCCTAACGTTAGTGGAGGGCGAATTACTGATGGGCGATTTTGGCGTTTGCCATGGCGGGGCTGCAGTAGGCGTATTTCACGTCCTCGGTCCTTCACTGGCCAAACGGCTGCTCACCCAGAGGGATATCGAGGGTCGGTGAACCCTTGTCTCGTACGCCGCGTGTTGGGTAAAATCCCGATAACGTCGTCTGTGGGTGCAGGGATTGAGATACCCGGCATCGCTAGACCAGCTGTCTTTTGAGCCCCCAAGCGGGGCCCTGAGTACACCGTGTAGCGCTGGCACAACCTATGGTACCCTCAAGAACGTTGCTTCTTCTGTCATGAACTTGAAAGCCTCGCTCGCATGTCCAGCTTGCGCAACAGCTGTTATCGGGCCATGCCTATCGTCTTCCCTGTCGGCCTCTCCGAATCCCTCCACCAAGTTTGTGGAACGAGAACCCCTCCGTCTCTTGAGTGTATCTTGGCCTGCGCTTTTACTCCAATGACCGAGTCCGCGTCATTTTCTGAACGGCTGAAGCTATCTTGGCATTCCTGGGCTGGCGGGTTGGCTCCAGGCTTGCTTCGAGGCTTTGCGTTGTCTCCGTTGCCTGCAAGAGGCTTGTTCATACCTCGGAGACAGCCACTAGCTCGGACCCAAGCCACCTCGTAGTCCTCAAACTGACAGCCGCCCGCTGCGCCGAAAGGAACTAGAAGCTGCTTGCCGTGAGTCGAGACTCTGACTCGGTAGATACGTAAAATCGTGTGTTGCTTTTGTTTTCCCCGCGGGAACGAAGATGCATCGCTCGATTGTTACCATGTGATGCTACAACGCCACGAGAGGGCTTGCTGGCTGTCATGTTATCAGTCCTGCGTCGCTTGAGCCAGCCTCTTTCTGCACCCAAGGAATTGGCGATACGCCTTCGTCAAGTAAGCCTCAGCTTACCGGTGAATGCAGAGATGCGTATCACCCACTGCCGCTGACACTTGGCGTGTTCCTTGCTGATGCTTCGCCCCTCCGAACGATACAAGACGGTGGCTTCCATTCGCACACTTCGAAAACCGATATCTCGATATTAAGGGTAGTTCTTCGTACTGTCAGCAGACGTCATATGCTATTCACTCAGGAGTACACGGCGCATACCAGAGCGACGTCGAAATGGGCCAAGCATGTCTCTGCCATGCTGCATGTTCGAGATGTCGCAACCAAGGATTTATAAAGCTCGGAGTCACGCATATCGAACAAGCAATCTGGCACATTGAATCCGCCGTCGCCTTCCTTCTGTGTCGATTTTTCGCGCTCTCGGCCTATGGATCGTCGGGCGACCACCCGCGAGGAAGGCGCGACATTGCGACGCCGGGTACGACAAAACCCCAATATGATGCGGGCAGAGGCTTGGAAAGTATAGAAGATAGCGCAGACGAGAGTTCGCAGCAGCGACAAGGGCGACGGCTCTTTTAACAGCTGCAGGTGCCGACCTAAGATCATGAGGGTGCCGCGCTGTCATTGGCTAATATGAGAGCATGCGGTTTATCATCCTGGAGTTGAAATGCCGTCACAATGCGCACGACAAGTTCAAGAAGGAAAAGTTTCACCATGAAGCAATACTAGTAAAGATCAATTTTGAATTAGTCATAATGTGGTCATTGGACCCTAGGTATACATGTTAAAGGTACAGTGTCTGATGAAACCCACCTTTCCCATGGCGCCTTCGCTGAACTGCTGCATGTATGATAGCCGGTACTGAGATCAATCGCTAGAGAGAGTCCCGGGAAAGAGGCTTACGCTTGACAGAAAGACTAGACGAAACCTTTGGCAAGTCCGCGGTGACGTCCTTCATCGTCATGAAATCCTCATCGCCTTGACGACCCAGTTCCCGGTTCAGCTTCTCCACGGTCGTTACTTCGCCCAGCCAACGCTCCCCAGTTTTGTGGTCGAAGTGCACTGGCTGAACCAGGCCGCGGTAGCGCGACATGTCTTCTAGGGTTGGTGGGTAGATGATAGTCGTCTCTCTGCGTTCAAAGCCCTCCTCTGTCATATACGGGTTGCCCTCGATAATCTGGGGCTCTGTACGCCATTCAAATGGAGTTGCCGGAAGGTTCGGCTCCTTTTGAACGATATCCCACCATCTGTTCTTTCCAGTGCGGTTCGGCAACTCGTCTGCAGATATCTCAATCAAGCCCTCTCCGTCAGGATTGGGAATGAAATGACGGGGTGGAAGAACCTCGGTCTGGAGAACGGGCTGCAGTCGATGGTAGTATGTGTAGTTATGGATCTCGCGGTGAATCTGCTGCTGGATGATCTCGTGTTCGTGTGGCTTGATTATCTCATGTACAACGGCTGTCGATTTGTCAGTCATATTACAACTTCGGGTGGATCAAAGCTTACCCGGGGCGACCGTAGTGTCTCGGTCCGTGTCCACGGTGTTTTTGAGGTCCACAACGCCTTCGAGCATCGCTTGCTGTTTTTCTTTCCAGTCGTGAGCGCCACCCGTGCCCTGATAGTCCTTCGTGATCGCGAGACCCGGGAGAGGTTTCACGGCCAACGCATCGTTGCTGGTAAGTCCTGTCACCGGCTGGCCACTTTTGCTCAATCCATGCTTGTCCGAGAAAGAGCGCTCCTCGCGCGATCGAACGTCATCAGCCAAGCTGCCGTTGTTGATATCATGACTACCCACCGCATACTTGCCGGCGGGGGTTTCGGATGGTACTGCGCGTATGGTGCGGCCTGGACCGTCTACGTCGATTGAGCGTCTAACTTCGCCGTGAGGATGGTGTAAGGTGTCTGATGCAATGTTAGTAATGGGTCACCGGTATTTTAGTTGTGCTCTAAAACATACTGGGCAAGGCCGGAAGAGCCTTTGATCGTTCGCCATCAGTCGATGGCCTATAACGCAGATGCCTATCTGGAATGTTTGGCTCGACATTTGACTGCTCTTCGGAAGCAAGCGCAGGAAGATACGATCTGTAGTCGTCCGCCATGGAGCCATTGGAGCCATTGGAGTCTGTGCTGGGAGTTGCTACTGCATGGCTCGCTCGACCATCGTGATAGGCAGAGTCGCGTGGTTGACTTCGAGTCTCCGGGTGATAGACATCGTTGGAGGCCCCGAACTTTTGCTGTCGACTGCTAAGAGGCAATGCAGGGTGCTTCTCGGTGCGCGGACTAGTCTCCTCAGGATGCTCGTACGACGCTCGAGGGGACTGACTGGGCGTTGACTTCTTCCTCCTGTGGAGAACGGACTTGAGCTTCTCTTCGATCTTTTCCATCGTGTCGATGGGTTTGTGAGCAGAAAGGGACAAGTGGATGTGGGAGCTATGTGAGATGCCGATCTATTGTCTTTTTTCACGAGGCACGGTACGCATTGTTAGGGTGGATGACCTCACAGCACTTGCGCACAGTCAACCATTGAAACCTTCCGGCAAGAGCGATGCCGAAGTCTGGAGAGTGTGCATGTCAGCTAGCTGGGGTGCAGATTTGGAGCTTCTAGACAGCATCGTAACGGTTTGTGAGAAACCATAGCTTCAGTGATGCCGTGTCACAAACGATGGAGCTGGTGGCTTGAGTAGCACAGGCCGCAGTCGTGTTCCCGCGTGTTGGCGGCTTGCCCGGAGCGGTCCAGACTTGTCCTTTACGTGAAGCTCTCTCTGCTCGATTGAGTCTGTTCGAGCTGCCCGCACAGCTTGTCGCATTTGGCCCACAGCAACGGCATGCGTGGCGACTCAACATGACGTAACCAGCGGTACTTGGGTTTCGCGGTGTATGGCTAATGAGTCGGGGTACCGGTGGTACGAAATCACACAAAAGCAAACAGCATACATTGCCACATTGGTATGTCACAGTGGAGATCTAGGCGGCATGACGACAGGGAGGGGGAGTCTGGTCGCGGGCGGCTCCACTGATGATCAACTTAGCGTACCCAAGGACGGGCGATCGTGTTAGCATGCACCTAGATGCAGCCAGGCTTTCGGTATTCCCGAGACACACGCAGATGCAGGCGGGCTGTGGGAGGGGTCAAAGAAATCTGAAATGAAGAAATCGACTTTGGAGATTTCCAACGAGATGTTGTGAGGTTCCCCCGGGAAGCTGCACGGGCCTGCTGTCACCGAATGGCAGGAGCACGACCCTAGCGCCGATCTCTCTAACACCAACTGGAGATGCCGGGCTCTTCGTCCCCGAACTGTCATAGCACTTGTACACTTTGAGCACCTCATCCAGAGAGTGTTGCGACGCTTTGAATCCTTCGTGAAGTCCAATTCCTGTTTGGACACGCAGCATGACTACATCATGTCGACTAGGCTGCGGTAGGCGTGGAACGACACCACTGGGCGCATCATAGTGGCCATCTCCATTGTCAAGCGTACCAACGCCGTCTTAAGCGCTATCCATGCAGTCTAGCACCAGTGAACTAAGGGACCTGACGCATATCACGTCTCTGTGGCGCCCTGTAAGCCAACCAATCGAAGCTGCTGAGAGCATCGATCGAGGCCCGTATAGCCTCAACCCACTGTTGCTGCCCCATGATGATGGCTCTTACCCTTGGGAACAAGGAATTCGGCCTGCGACTGCCGGCTTGACGTGGAACTGAACTGCCCATTACGTCGTCGTGCATCTGTCCCACTAGCGCTCTCACTGTATAAGAAGGCACTGCAGCGCCTTGGGAGCATCATCATCACACTACACACAACAACTCCTCCACACTCACCAACAATCAACCCCACACCTACAAACCAACCCAATCACCAACAACAACCACACAACTATCAAAATGGATAAGGCAAAGGCAGCTATCACCGACTTCATGGGCCGCTCCGGTCACCATGACACCACTGTCCACGAGGCAGTTGCTCCCGCTGTCCAGCATGAGGTCATCAAGCCTCACGTTCACGAGGAGGTCAACACCGCCATTGACAAGGAAGTCCACCAGGACCACTACCACCGCACTGTCCAGCCCGTCCAGGACCGTGAGGTTCTGCCAGAACAGCACACTGCTAAGCTCGGAGCTGTTCAGCACCGCGAGTTCGACCACCGCGATGCCGACGCCACTAAGAGGGCTTTGATCGATGACCAGGCTCGCTTCGCTGACGAGCGCCGCATTGAGGACACCACCCATAGCCAGAGTGTTGCCCCCACTGTTGGCGGAGAGCACGTCCACCACGTAAGTTGACAAACAAATAACAACCCCACCAAGACTGACGTCATCTAGCACATCCACGAGACCATCCAGCCCGTTGTCCAGAAGGAGACCATCCAGCCCAACGTCGTCCACACGACCGTTCCTATCCATGAGGTTCACCATAACAAGGCTACCCACCATGAGACTACTGCTCTCCCAGCCATGACTATGGAGCAGTTCAAGGCTAAGGGTGGTGCCCTTACTGGCCGCGAGGAGCGCTACGACGAGTTTGAGGGTGTCCCCAAGAACATTGGCGGTGCCGGTGGCATTGGATCCGCCGCTGGTCTTACCCACAAGACTGGTACCCACAGTCACGAGCACGCCAGCCACGGCGACTACAACGCTGCCCCCAACCACCACTCCGGCACCAGCAACCCCCTCGACCGCAACAACGACGGCAAGGTCTCCGCCAAGGACTTAACTGGCAGCCACTCCAACACCGCTCACACTGACCGCGGTATGGCTGGCCAGGGCAACCTGACCGGTTCTTCCACTCAGGGAGGTGTTGTCGGCCATGGTGCTGACCGCAACCACGACGGCAAGATCGACAGCCACGACCTTCACGACCCCGCCCGCAGCCGTAAGCTTAACCCCCAGTACAAACTCATGAACTCATGCTAACGTTTCGCAGACAACGAGGGCGCTACAGGTACGAAAGACCCCAGCGGACATGTTGTCGGCGGTACCGATAAGGGCAACTTGGAGCATCGTCCCAACGAAGATGGTAGCTTGCCCAAGGCCCTTACCGAAGACAAGTCCAGAGCCGTCCCCCACTCCCAAGCATCCGAAGAGGAAGCAAAGAAACTCCTTGAAGAACATCAAACCAACACTAAATAGGTCACAAGAAGCCTTCTCTCATGGACAAGCTCAACCCCAGTAAGTTTTGACAGAACTCCACTCCCTTCGAACTTTCTTCTGACCACTTCTCACAGAGGTTGATGCCGACGGCGATGGCAAGGCCGGCTTCATGAAATAGATGCATCCTGCTGCACTCTGCACCACGCGCGATCATCACGACTGCATGCGAGATACCAAGGACCATTTCCTATGACATTGTATAATTAGCCTAGTAATGAATTAATCACTACATCTTCAACACACTTCTTGCTCTTGTTTATGATGCCTGAATTCACACTGGAACTAAATGATTCCTGCCGCGTTGACTGATGCCGTTCGATCAAACGCATGTCCAATTCATAACTGGCTTTGTTTTCTTCGATCCGATCTGTCCGCACTACATGTGCTAAACGTAGTTCGTTGGTTATGCTGCTACAATTCGTATGTCGCTGCATCATAGCACCCTTTCACCTATGGGCTGCCACTGATCAATCGACTTGTCGGTAGGTACTATCACCACCCTGCCGCCGGTCCAACCTCCGAGGTCTCCAGTCCCGTCAAGATTGGCACTAAGCAAATCCACTGATGCCAGACCTGCTGCATCGACTTGAGGACAATCGTGGCTGCAATAATTAGTCCTAGTGCATAAGTAGGTGCCACCAGCTGTACTTACTACATCAAACTCAGATGTGGATTGTACTCATCCTCGGCCCAAACTTTCGCCTTGCTTTCCTCTTCAAATCCATCGACTTGCTTCCGGGACTGCTTTGCTAGTTGCCTGATCCCCTCACTCTTCTCGCACTTGATGTACAACTTCCGAAAGAAGACGTCTTCGCTACCCAGACGTTCAAACTTTACCAACACGTCCTTGATAGGCGGCAGATCGAGTGAGTCGAGCCACGCCTGAGGATCTGGCTCATGCTTGGATGCTGTTATATTTGAACTCAGAGTGACATGGGGGATGAAACGGTGAGGCGAGCCGAACTGCTTAGATGTTTTGTCAATGAGACGGGGCAAGACTTCACTCAAAACATGGTCTGCGGGCGGGAGCAGCCAAAGAGATGAACCGGGCATATTGCAAAAGCTTTGGATAAGTGCAGAGAAGATGCAATGTCAAGTCAAGCTTTCATGTCCTCCCGAGGCCCTCATCAAGAACCCCGCATTGGTGTTGCCTCTAACGCCACGTGGCTAGTGCTCGCGAGTACTCCCCAGCCACACCTGGGCATCCTGACGTCTTCAGCTTGCATGTGAAAGCGCGCATCCAGTCCGACAAGCGTTCCCACTTGCTCGATAGCACCACCTCTCCGCCGACGCGACGAATGAACATGCGACTTCTGCCACCGCGGCGCTGTCAGCCGATCACTATCCCAAATAGCTCAACGTCATGAACGAAGCCTTCAGCGTCGTGTCGGGCGCGCTCTGGAGCTTCCTACTGTGCTTCTTCGACGTGGCTTTCTTTTGGCAACGAGTGCGTCAGCTTCCCTCTGCTGTTCAAAGACCGTTCCGATTCAATTGATGTGTCTTCGGATGGAATGCTGATATGTTGAAGAAATTATACGCGTGGTGGGTGCAGAAGAGTCAGCGGGATCTGCTACTGGAAGCTGTTAGCGATGCGCGGTTGTTCGAGGAATGGGAGGCTGCTGCGTACAAGCTGGATGAGGTGCTCGACTATGACATGTGGTAAGCAATCCTTTCATCCCGTCCCGAACAAGCCCTCTCCAGTGGACAGCTGCTAATAGACCCGCAGGCGACAGACTGCTATAAGCAAAGACTACGACCATCGCCTCATCCATCAGCGCCTCTCCGCCATCTACGAAGCTCAAGAGGACAACGACATCCTCGGCCTCATAAACCTCCTTCGCAGCGGTCTCGTCCGTAATCTCGGCAACATAACCGCGTCAAACCTGTATAATCGCGCATACGCGGGCACAAAGCTGTTGATCGAAGACTATGTCACCCAAGTTGCATACGCCATCGAGAACCTCACCCAATATCCTACATCGAGAAATTCGGACAATGGCTTGACAAACCAGGCGAAGCTGGATGTTCTGCATGACACAAGGCAGGCGTTTGGCAGATCTGTGCTGGTGCTGCAGGGTGGGCAGGTCTTTGGCATGTGTCATCTCGGTGTTGTGAAGGCGCTCCATCTACGTGGATTGCTGCCAAGAATCATAGCCGGCACTGCTACTGGTGCTCTGATAGCCGCGCTGGTGGGCGTGCATACCGAAGATGAGCTACTGGAGTTCCTGACAGGCAACACCATTGACCTGACAGCCTTCACCAATCGTCCTTATAGGAAAGGCGCCGGGGGAACTGCATGGATAGGCACCCTCATACGTCGAGCTAAAAGATGGTGGAAAGAAGGGCATTTCTTGGATGTCGGTGTCCTGGAAGATGTTCTGAGGGCGAACGTGGGAGATCTGACATTTGAAGAAGCATACACGAGGACGAAGAGGGTGCTGAATATCACCGTCACAACTACTAGTGGTGGGGGCATACCGAACCTTCTGAACTACCTTACGGCTCCCAACGTTGTACGTGTCCGCTCCTTCTCCATATTGAAGCAGCTGCTAACGTTCCCAGCTCATCTGGTCCGCAGCGCTTGCCTCCAACGCCACGGCCTCCTCGACCCTGTACCATCCTGTAACAATGATGTGCAAAGACGAAGAAGGCAACATCGTGCCTTGGTCTCCGGCTTCGAAAACGACTTTCCGTCCATACACCCACGCTTCATACCGAGACCGCGAATCGCCTCTTCATCGCATCGGCGAACTCTTCAACGTAAACCACTTCATCGTCTCGCAGGCCCGACCCTACCTCGCACCTTTCCTACGCTCAGACTCACACCATCCAAACCCCAAACAAGACGGTCGCTGGCGCCTCAGCATGCCCATACTGCGTCTCGTAGTCCTAGAGATACAGCACAGACTACAACAAATGGATGAACTGGGTCTACTTCCCCCTTCCATCCGTCGTTTCCTCCTAGACGAAAACATCCCAGGCCCAAGTCTCACGCTGGTACCTGAACTCACACCAAGCGACTTCTTCAAGCTGCTTGAGAACCCTACCAAAGAGGCGATCGACTACTGGATACTGAAGGGAGAACGGAGTGTCTGGCCAGCAGTCACGGCACTCAAGATTAGGTGTGCGATTGAAGTTGAGTTGGATAGGGGATATCAGCTTGTTAGGAGGAGGAAGCCATTTGATCCTGTTCCACCTGGGGGTACTGGGGGCTTGAAGAAGAGCGGAAGTAGAGGGGAGGTGCAGACTGGATATGGTTTTGAGGATGAAAATAGAGAGAGAAAGAAGAGGCATAGAGCGAGGGCTGCGAGTTTTGGCGGGAATGGATTATGAAGGGCATGTAGTTGGATCTGAAACTTTGCCGTATAGCGGGCTACTGTATGCCAGATTTATTCTGGAAGCGCCTTGGAATCGATGTATGCGCCACGGGCACAATCGGAGCATGTCTCGCACGCTATACTTTGGCAGGAACTGCTGTTTCCTACACGAGACATCTTACCCACTCTCAGCCTTACCCGCTCCACCTGCAGCGTCGGTCAAGCTTCGCACGTCATTTACGCTAAAAGAATTCGATGTTTGCTGAGGACCCAAATATCGTGTTGGGGATACCAATCAGCCATCCACCCGTCAATTGACACCTTAAAAACACTATAACCCTGCAGCAAACTTACACTCCCCTCATTTTACTTCTTTACATCCCATCAGCCCAACATCTCAAGTCTCGACATACAAAATGGCAACGTGAGCCCCACCATGACTACCCCGCCAACAGCGCGCAACTCAGAACACACAAACTAACTCTCTCAAACAGCAACATCACATGGCACCCGTCTCTCTCGCGCGATGAGCGCAACAAGTTCCGCAAGCAAAAGGGCTTCACAATCTGGTTCACCGGCCTCTCCGCATCGGGCAAGTCGACAATTGCGACGGCACTTGAGCAGCATCTGCTGCACTTGGGATTCGCGGCATACCGTCTCGATGGCGACAATGTACGATTCGGGTTGAACAAGGACCTTGGGTTCACAGAGAAGGACCGAAATGAGAACATCCGCCGAATTGCTGAGGTATGTGAATATGGACAGTATATGCACTTCCAAGAAGACCACCAGCTAACATTGTTTCCACCACAGGTCGCAAAGCTCTTCGCCGACTCCTCCACAATCGCCATTACCTCCTTCATCTCGCCTTACAAAGCCGACCGCAAGCAAGCCCGCGACCTCCACGCCGTAACCACCGGCGAAGACTCCCCACTTGCCTTCGTCGAGGTCTTCGTCGACCTGCCGCTTGAAGTCGCCGAGGCGCGCGATCCCAAGGGCCTGTACAAGAAGGCAAGGGAGGGCAAGATCCCAGAGTTCACAGGCATCAGCGCGCCGTACGAGGCGCCCGAGAACGCCGAGATCCACATCAGGAGTGACCAGAAGAGTGTAGAGGATAGCGTGAGGGAGATTGTCGAGTACTTGCAGAGTAAGGGACTGTTGGAGAAGAACTAGGTTTCAGATATACTGGTATCTAGGTACAGAGGGCTTGAAGCGGATGGCGAGGACCGAAGTTCCGTCGTCGCTGGCTGGATTGGATAGGAATCCAAAAAAACTACTGGCAGACACTGCTGTCGACGCATCTTCAGATATTGAACAGATGATTCACATGGCTGACACTCAATGCACAGCTTAGGATCTACAGGTTAAGAAACATTGGACAACGGTTTCTCCCTCCCCAGGTCAATAGCATGAGAAAGCTGTTTCATGACCCGCCGTACCCGCGCACATCACAACCCCATATAACTTTGCACTTACTACATGTATACTCACATTTGGAATTCTTACCAGCCAGCACATGTATCTCAAATATCCCGTCCGCTCTAATTACAGTATCGGTCTAGACACGCGACGTTTGGGGTCAAGCCGCGGATCATACAAAGGGATTTCCAAATCTTCCTACGGCACAGTTGCAGCTTACTTACATGAACCAAGATACTCGCATTCCATACATACCATTATGACAAAAATCATCTGATCCCTGTATCCGCGGCTGGCACCCAAGGGGCTGGCTCTGGGGCTGGATAGCGTGCTTCAGGTGTTATTGGAATCTGAGACTGAAGACAGCTGTATTGAGGAGCGTTGAGCGATACCTAAGGTTGTAGGGAAATGACATCCAGTGTACACCAAGAGACAGCATCGCTGGGACATTCATGATCAGTAATTCCCAAAATTGGCAACACAGACGATTGCGCAATGAAGCGTGGAAGTGAGCATCATCTCCGACGCACAAACCGATCCTTCCTCTCACCTTTCAGCCCCACCATCCATCCGTCTACAAACGACTATCGCAGCCATCGGAGCGACAACAAATCTCGGGGATACGTCCTCGACCCACGAGGCAAATAATGCCATAGCAAGTAAACTGACTCTCTTCACACGGGGCAAGATGTCGGCATCCCGCATCCAACGCAGAGCCTTGGAAAAATCAAAAAATCCTACGTACCCTCATCTCCGCCGGACTTATTGGACCCAGTGGCACCGGTACGCAAACCCGACCTGCGACCTCAGTCATGAAGTTGCAGCGGAGCGCCGCCACGGCCTGCAAGCAACAGAGCGACCCCACAGCAAAACGCTATATGTGAAATCGCACTAAGATCTGTGAAAAATAAGATGTCGTGTTGCGCCTCGTTTAGCGAGGCAAGATCCTCGATCCTAGTCTGCCTAATTCCCTTTCTAAGGTTTTTGCGTGGGATGACGAGTTGGACGTTCTTGGCTCTGGCCCTGTTTTCCCCACATTTTCGCGGAGTTGTGTTGCTGGACGGGAATGGTTTGGGTGAGGGTGGTTGAACTTTATTCGAGCTACGCGGAGGCTACGCGGAGGTACGGACCTTGCGGATGTTCGATAATGTTTTCGAGATGGGGTGATTGGGGCGAGGGCGACGTCTGTGTCAGTTTGGACTGGGGAACCTGGTGTCGAGCGCGTTATCGCGGGTCGGTATCGGTAATCAGCTTGGGGTGTGTCCCGAGGTTGGCTATCTCATCTTGGGTTATCCGATACCGTGACGTTGACGTTGATAGTGAGGTTGCGACGACTACGATGCCTGGGGAGTGGGGCGACGGGTTGCCGCTGTACATGGACTAGCGGGGTGATTGAAAGCGGTCTGGTCGTACACGTGGTTAGTATACAAGGGCATGACAGCCGACCAGTGGAAAGTCGAAAGTAGCAAAAGAAAAGCAAGGCTGTCAATGCGACGTGAAACGTTGGTGCACTGTCAACGGCCGTGACGGGTGGCGTATGGCGTATGCCCGCATCGCCCGCATGGGCGTATGGAAAAGCAAACACGACTGGGGTCCAAGGCATGACGAATTCAGGGAAAGCAAGCATATAAGCAGGGTATCAGACGTCGAGACAGGGTACCGTTCCGCTTGGGGTAGGAGGGGGTACAAGACCCCGGTCTTTAGTGGCTGGAAAGAGCATTGGATCAAGGGAAATGGGTCGATAGTAGTGCTCGAAAAGGGAGACGTTGAATGTGACTGTGATGGCATGGTAGCAAAGGCGCTTCGGCAGCAAAAGTAAATCCTCCGATGCCTGTCTATATGGCGCCTTTGTGATGCAATGCAATGCCTGGATTCATTTTCAGTAGTAACTGCGGAGTAAGCTGCGCTTCTCGGCCCTCATCTTACAACCGTCCGCCGAGATCCTGCTTGAGCACGTCTAGTATCCTCTTACTATCAACTTCCTCGTCACCTCCTCCCCCACTATCCCTTGGCATGCGCCCCTCACCTTCTTTCATCCGTTTCAAGATCTCTGGATCGAGCTCCTGCATCATCTCATCAAACTCTCTCTGTTGCTCTCCCTCTAGCTTCGCGTATTCTTCCTCCAACATGTAGTCTTCGGGCAGCTTCTCCATCTCAACAGGGAACACGTGAATAGTCGGGAATTCGAGTATAGTGCGGCCTTGCAGGCTTTCACCCAGCGATTGCGAAGGGTCTAGAGGGATGAGGACGTGGCGGTTTGTGCTTGTGCGGGGCTTGAGCAGAAAAACCCTATGTTGCCCGCTGCCCATGGCCTGCCCATCATTGCGAGTATCTCCAGGACGCATCTCGGCCATGTCTGCTTGTCTTTTGGTGGGTTGTTGTTTTTCTTCTGTAGCAGGGGTTCCTCGTCCGGGGGTGGCTCCCTCTGGCCCCGCATTGTTGACCTGAAGCTCAGGATTGACTTCATGCTGCTCGATTGGCTGGTTTTGGTCGGGTGCAGTAGACGCAACGTCATCTTGGGGTCGGGGTGGAGGGTTTGATTGAGAACTTTGGCTGACAGGAGCCTCGTTGTTCAGCTTTCTTTTCTTGCTTTTAGCATCAGTGCCTTGTTGTACGAAAGGTTGTGCATCTTGGATCAGCTGTGTGGAGGATGTCTCGGTGAGTACGCGTCTCTTGGTCTCGTCAAACCATTCGACGGTCCATACTACGTTCCTTGTAGCCTTTCTGGACACATAGATCAGCAGTGTTACGTGAACGCATTGATGTTGGGGTGCTTACTTTGTAGCAGACATGTGCGACTTGTTCTCTTTTTGTCTACTCATGCCTTTGGGCGCCCGCATGATCTTGACGCCAGCAGTATGCTCAAGCTTGCCATATTGCACACCCACTCGCTGGCTGTTGGACAGACCATTTTGAGGAGTGCTCTCAGCCGTGGCTCCAGCAATCCTCTCAGCTTTTTCGAGGTTCCGCTCTATGCCAGAAAGAAAATTGTAATCGTGATCAATGCCCTTCGGGGTCACCAGATCAGACTTTTTGATGAACTTTGTTGGGTCGCGCTTCCCTGAGCATTGTGCATTCTGTTGATGACGCTTGTAGCATGGCAGTGAGCATGTGCGTGCGCCACACCCAGGACACTTGTACTTGGATTTATTGCTATGGCTAATTAAACGTCAGCTTTCTCTCTCATGCATGCCGACGCGGCTTCGTTGCGCTAGCTAGTGTCACAGGAACGCGGCACAACTCCTAGGACGATTGCTAGCGAACATCGAACTTTTGGGATGTAACAAGTGCTACGGAAGGGTAACTAGTCAGACATACCAGATACTGCATAGTTCGTTGAGCAACATCGCGTCTGTCATATCGCCCGAATTGTGGAGACGAGTAACGTGATATCAGATCGCCGACACTCAGCCCTAGAGGTGGTCGGATCTCGCGCGACGCGGCACGAAGGGAAGTCACTTTCGCACGGTAGCGGAAAATCCGTAGGCGTGAACAGGTGCAGGGAAGGTCAGGCGGTAGGTGCTGTTGAGCGATGCGACGATGTTGTGGCGTACAAGGCAATGATGGGTCGCGGTGTAAACTTTCGCCAGTCGCTTTGTGGCTGGGGTCAGATATCGTCGCGTCCGGTGGGGAACGTCACCAGAATGCAGGAGATTTAGTGATTGTCTTGCAGATCTACTCTCCGAGCAATCTCGCACCGTGGTTTAGATCGCTGCGTGCTGCACGCAAGACTGCTAGCAGCCAGGAAAGTTTATGTGGTTGAACTAGCGCGACACCAAAAACTCTGTCCGCAGCTTCGACCATCTAGTGCAGATCAATCGCGACGCCGTCCACCTGCTCGGTTTCTGTACCCCTATGCGAAAATTCCTGTAGACATGGAAATTTGCGGCTTATCCGTGGTCTTTCGACGAACCATGGTCGGAGCAGTGGCACGCCGCCTGCAGACTCGCCAGGCGCTGGTCGACTGGGAACCCTTTCCTTAAGTCATCGGAGTATTCTCCACGTCAAATTGCATCGAGGTCCACCCACGCGCAGATCAAACAAGTCGTCGACTACGCCGATTATGCGCTTGCGCTCGTCTACAGCTGTTGAGAGGCAATCGAGTCGTTCTCGCTCTGTCCGGCTGCAACACGTCTTGTCCATGTCAGCTTGACCGAACCTGGGCGAAGGCGCCCGATTTGCCAGGCAGCTTGAGTGCCCGGTGTTTCAGCCTCACCAATTCCAGCTCTCCGCAATTCTCAAGGGACAGCTCAGAAGGCTGGTTCTAGAGGGTCCACGACACGCGAGGCTACTGTACGTGGCCACCACCTCTACCGGACTGTGGAGCCGATCGAAGAATCTGGTCGACAGTTCGACGGCGCGTCTTGGACCTCTTGCAGAAAGGCCTCGCACTTCCACGCAGGATCAAACGTGCCTGGCGGCGGGCCTAAGAGCGATCATCATGTACCGCCTGCTGGGCAGCCACCGATAGCCAACAGCCGTCAGGGGTTTGCCTCGCCAATTTCTAAGCACTTCCATTCGCGGTCCGTCCGAGCTGCAAGTGCGGGAACTCTGCTCATGCATGCTGATGCGAGGATGCACGCTGCAGACGTGCTCATCGTGCACAAGGCGTGCGAATGATTCGAATCCAACCCAATGCGGTCTTCAGCATAAGACCAGTCCATATGGCGCTATTGCCACCAGCGGGGATTCTCTGCTGAGGCCGCTGCAAGCTCTCGGTGACCGAGTCGTGGTACCAGCGCTCCTGTTGCTGAACGTGGCTGGAGGAACCACCACAGCAGTGCAACGGGCGAAACGACATAACAATGTACTGTGTATAAGCCGTATCTTTGATTGCGGCCCTTGCTGCCGTCGTGCCCGCTCGAGGAAGTTGGGCGAGCCGTTATTCAAGAAAAGTGCCCCTGACAGCGCCGTGCACCGTGCTCCGAGACGGACCCTGCGGATGGGCAGGGGTATGCTTCTCATTTCCTCGAACCGAAACTTGTGAAAGCCACCCATGCTAGTCTTCGGGTCGTTCAACCCCCAGCATCCAGTCCGCGCGCTGCGGCAGAGCTCCCCAAAAGCCATGATTCCCCCTTGCTGCTACCCTCCTCTACTGCCCGCAGCAAGGTGACCTCGGAGCTCTCAATCGACGGAGTGCGTATAGTACTCACGGTCCGCTCTCTCTTGTTCTTGCGGGTTGCCTTTCGGATACCTTCTACGCATCGCCTCATGTTCTCACAGTTATAGCTGTCATAATAATTGCTGGATTCATCCGCCTGCCGTTCTCTACACCCATATCGCAACGGCCATCTCGATAGGACCGACATCGAATCCGCCAACATGGCACCTTCTTTAAGTTTGCGACCGCGTACAGGCGCCAGTGAGCGTCCTCCCACGAGAGACAATGCCGACCACAGCCTCATCATCCCGAGCCGAACATCATCGCTTCATTCGAGGATCACCCAACCGCTTCCATCGACTTTGAACGTCAAGCAGGGCGCGAGGAGCCCCAAGACACTGACTCATGCCTACATGGTGTGCGGTGTTGGTCGCGAGCCATCACAATGGGTGAAGGCGCCTGCGCCCTCTCAGGGCAAGATTGGCCACATGAAGGGTGCCGTTGGTACCTTCTGGCTTCCTGAGATTCTGGGAAGCAGCCCCAGACTGGAGCAAGATAATGAGATCGCGAGGTCTCTTCACGCTGCCATGCGAGTACGTCTACACAACAAACCCATTGTTGTCGTGTTACTAACCACGGATACAGGCATGCTTCCCTCACGATGTCGAGATTTGCACTGGCAGGAGCCAGCCGCACTGCGTACACCACTCCTTCGTCCTGCAACAAGATTCTTCACATACTCTTTACGGTATCGCACTGCGCGTCTGGTCTCGCGCTGATGAGAAGCGCGCTGAGACTATCCGGGACTTGCGCAAGCGAATCGAGCCCGACTTCTTCGACAACCCAGATGAGACATACTGGATTCCGTACTGCTTGAGCTTCCTCTCCCGATACCCCTTGTACAACCTACTCGGCGACTACCTGCGCGGCATGTGGATTCACTGGAATAAGGCTACCAACCTTTTCCATGCTGAGGAGGTGTCGCGCATCCTCAGCTTCCCAGCTCCTCGCCTCAACGACCTGGTCCGCATCGACATGAAAGACTACGCGCTGTGCTACCAGTTTCCATCCTCGCCTACCGGATTCCAAAACTTCGCCATGTGGCCTCTCTTCACGTGTCTCTCCATTCCCAACATTGTGGGTGTGATAGAGGCTGCTGTATCGCCCACACGACGAATCATCTTCACCAGTCACTACCCCGCGATGCTCACCATCGCAGCCGAGACAGTCCGTTTCTGTGTCAGGGTGTACGAGTGGAGCGGTCTGTATGTACCCGTCGTTCATGCGCGCCACGTCAAGGATCTCGTGCAGGAGCCGGGTCCATACATTCTGGGTGTAACATCAGAGTGCCGATCGCTCTTCACGGCACCCACAGATGCCCTTGTCGTCGACTTGGACCGGAACTTCGTCCTGACTTCAAGCCCGCCTACCGCTCTTACCGCTGGCCAGAGGACCAAGATGATCCAGCGTCTGACTCAGGCTCTCAACGGTGAGGTTTCACCAACCGGAGTTCCACAGCATCTGCGCTCGGCGTACGGTGGCGGCAAGCTCATCCCCGCGGGTCAGATCATTGTGATGCGTGGCGAGGTTGAGAGCATCCAGGACCCCGACTGGTGGATCCAGGATGCTGTCATGTCGGTCATGGACCACGTGTGTGAGAAATTGGTATGTATCCGGTCGCGGATAGACTCATCGTACCACACGCTAACATCACCGCAGGGCCGCAACACTGGCGTCAAGGCCATCTTCGGTGGCTCCGTCAAGAAGCCGCTGATGACCAAGGTGTCAATGCGCCACCTCAACGAGATCGTTCGCGAGCGCAATCAATACTCCCGTGACGCACAGGAAGCCTGGACAGACTTCATCAACCTCAAGCAGCGCCTCGACAGCGAGCTTGGCAAGGTTACGAAGCGCAACAACTTCTTGGTCGAGGAGCTTGAGAGCTGGAAGCAGCAGTTCCTCAAGTTCCAGGCTTTCGCTGAGCAGCTCACCAAGGAGACCCAAGATCTCAAGGTCAAGATCGAGAACCACAAGCGTGAGAACCGTCGTCTTACAAGCCTTATCGACCAACAGAAGGATGATGCCGCAAGGCTTACCGTCCGTCTGTCTGGTACCGAGAAGCAACGTGACGATGCTCTCGAAGCGCTTGTACTGCAGCAAGAGATCGCTGAGGAGCTCGAGCGTGAGAGGAAGAAGAACAAGAAGGAGCTCGGTGCTCTGCAACACACCAACGGTGCCATCCTCCGCCAGCGCGACGAGGCGCAACGAGTCGTGCTCCACCTTCGTGCTCTCATCGAGGGCCAGACACATCACATGGAGCACATCGTCAAGTCGCTTAACCAGGACGACATGTCCAACTACATGGACGCCGGCTTCGAGGATGTCCCTGAGGAGGATGAGGACCAGGACCAGTTCGAGGACGCCGCATCGCGCACTCAAACCCCCCGTCACTCGATCAAGGACAAGTCTGAGGTCGGTACTATCCGCGGCGTAGCTGGTGTTGAGAGCCGCCAGGAGTCAAGAGCCAGCACTGCGCAGGGCAAGCACCTCGACGGTGAGGACGTTACACCCGACATGGAGCAGCGTCTATTCAACAACCCCGCACGCAACTCCAAGCGCTTCTCAAATCAATCAATGGTCGACGTCGCCGACCGTGTCCTTCGCGACAAGACCGACGCCATTGCCTACATCATCCGCAACATCTCAGAGCAGTGCGCCGCAGCTGTTGAGGGTCTTCAGCTCGCCCAGCGTGCCGACACAGAAGATGGTGACAACCACAGCGACCGCCGCAGCAGCGTCGGTCAGATGTCATCGGCCGGAGGCCGCGCGCAATCGACCATTGGCAGCGAGTACGGCGACGAGGACAACATGCTCCGCCCCAACCGGGGTTCAAGCATCCCCCCAACGCCCGATCTAAGCCATCGGTCCAGCACCTCCATGTCCATGGCCAGTGCCAGCACAACACCAGACCGGACGAGCCTACAGCACCGATCGCACGACATCCCCGTCGTACCAACACGCATCATCGAAGACGATGACGACGTAGACGGTAACAACGATCTCGACGCTCACATGGTTCCCGTGTCAAAGTACGCGCAACCACTCCAGCGACCCAACACCGCTGTACGCCACAACATGCGATAAGCTAGTAGTCGCCGCGGCTTGCCGCCATTCTTCCTCTACTTTGTTTTATCATTAGCGATCGAAACGAGATTAGCATTGATGCCCTTTTCCTTACCATGTTATCTACCCCCGGCGTTGAACGGCTAGGGACCTTATTTTCTTGTTTTGCACTTCGTTACTCTCCTTGAGAACACCCCCTTGTCCGACGACCCCCCTTTGTACTTTGGGTCATTCCTTATGTTTCAATGAGAAGAGTTGTCGTCGTTGTGGATCATACCCGAACAAAGATGGATGGATGGAAGCAACTCCAGTATGTGGGTATCAAGCCTAAGGATAAGTAGTGGGAGAAAAACGCTTTCTGGGGGATTGTATTCTCCAAGGTGGCTGTTCTTCTTCTATTGCGCTAGGCAGATGGGCAGATGGCTCTTGTGTATGTCTGCTTGTAATTTGTTGTTTTGTTAGGATAATACCACTTTCTCCTTATGTTCCGAATTACATATGATCTACCTATCTTGCGTCTCTGCTTGCCGTCGGTGAAAGTCATCTAATGTCTTCAAGGAAGTGCATATTAACTGGATGCCCAGTACGGAATGTCCATGTGAGTGGTCTACAAGGCCACTTTATCTCGTCATGTTGAGTATAATCAGTCCACTGAACCTTCACTTGTATGCTAAACACCGCCAGGACTAGCGTCATACTCACGCGACTAATTACATTCGCGGCAATAGGCACCAGACTAAGCTATTCACTAAGAACTCATAGCAGGCTAGAAGCTCACAACTTCGCCGCGGTCTCATTCCACAACCACAGCCACTGTCAACCATGGCCGCCATCAACGATCCCACTATCGCTCTAGGCGAGGACTTCACGAAGCTCTCTGGGCCTGCAAACTTCCCAGCGTGGTATTATCCTTTCAAGGATATCGTAAAAATCCATGGCTACGCAGAATACTTCAAGGAAGACGCGAAAGTAGTCGCAAAGCCCACTATGCATACCTTCCTTAGGCCTCCACAAGCTGCTGTAGAGGCTGCTATTCCGCAGGACTGGGAGTACCACCTAGCCCTTTACAACATTCGCCTCGATGAATGGAAAGACTACGACGTGGCCTCGCGCTCGGCCCACGCCCTCCTCCGCGCGGCTGTCGAACAATGGGTATGCTGGGAAGCTCGAGATTCCAAGTCACCCGCAATCGCATTGAAGGTCATTATCAAAGAACTGAATGACCAGACACCAAACGACGTCTTATCGGATCGCGCTCGAGCACTAATCAGTTCTCTCAAGCTTAAAACACCTACCCAGATTCGTAAAATCATCGTCGACTTCGATGAGCTCTACTAAGACATACACTTTACCAAGCTTACTTCGTCTTGGGCTATCGGCAAGATCAGCGAAACCCTGCCGTACGCGTACTGTGTATTAGTCAAGGAGTGGGAGTATAAGCGTTGTGACACTACTGCCAATGAGAAGATCTCCAGAGTATACCAATGAGCGTTTCCTCCCGGAAGAGACGAAGGGCAAAAGGTTTTGGCAAGAGATGGGTTATTAGGAATGAATGATTACGGGTTAAACCTATTGATGGCGGTTGAGATATTGAGTGAAAGCAAATAACTCTACCGACTTAGCTTAGGGCCTCACATAATAGCAATCAAGTTTGTAAAAACATTCGTCGGGAAGTCTCGCCCCAAGAACGACAATTATATTAGTCTAGCCTCTCTACCGATGACCTCGGGATACCCCACAATTCAAAGCTAGAACACGTGCAATCCTTCACTTTTAGTTATGACAAGATAAGCTTTTTATTATTATTAATGTGACTGGGAAAATAGTCCCAGTTGGACATAGACGAAGAGTGCAATACGAACACATCGAGCCGTATAAATGGGACCGGAGACTTCAACAATCAAGTGACGCTGAAAATTCGAGATCGACTGATAATATTGGTGAGACAGGCCAGATTGGCGGCCCTCCCCGTGATGGAAATTAAAGTCACCCCGTCGGAGGGAAATATTCAACATTCAGCTACAGAAGATAACAGACATAATAATCACAGAACCTAGGAGCCTACAATGCGTTCAAAATACGTGAAATATTATTCTTTTATCAACGTAGACGGCAGCGCACCTGTTCAGGTTTCTTCACTGTCTAAGACAGAGGGAAGGATAGAAGAACCAGCAAAGAAGAGTAGAGCAGGAAGAGAAGCTTACCGTTTCCTTGTTCTCCTCACCTCTTAATCCTGTTGCTCACAAGTCGTCCAATCTAATTAAAGCTTAGAGCTTAGGTAAGTCAAGCCTCTCAATCAAGCTTTCTTGCTTTAACGCTCTCGCAAGCCAAGATAAGCATTCTAGATTAGTTAGCTTGGTTGTTGAACTCTCTGCTCGTCTCGTTACCGAGTGTTCTCTGCCAAACAGAGTAGGATCTCGTAGACTGCGACACTTATCAGGATATGTGGTATGTTATTGGTCTTATTGTTGTCGCTTCCCGGAGACTGCACAGGCTCATCCGGCTGGACGTACGTCTTAAAAAACTTGTTGGAGGAATAGGACGTTGGAAACCAGTGATACGGTAGATGGACGTAGAAGCTGCGTTATACTGAATTATCGACGAAGTGTGTTCAACATGGTGGTCCTAACCTTAGGGTATTGAGATTTGTCGTGTTCTGTGATTCCAAGTGCTGACGGTGAGACGGTATCCTCAGATATTCCATAGTTACTGTACCACTTGCTCTACGATCCTTCGATTGTCGCATGTATTTAATGCAACATATTTAGACAATGTTAGAACACACACCAACACAATAATCCTCACTCTTACCTTCCATTACCCAGAAACCGCTTCCGTGTTCTTCGATCGTCGTCCCCTTCGATCAAGTACCCCGGATCTACAATACATAAAACCGTTATGCAATAACCGATCAATTATACATGTTTCATGCGCATCGCGGCAAAGGAATTAGTTCGCATAAAACTTCAACACCTTACTGTAAGCGTACTCTTCGTACCGAGTCTACTGCGCCTGCACGGGGCGCGGCGGTGTGATCACGTTCAGCGGGCTGCAGACGCGAGATGCAGTTGAATGACTCGTTGGCTTGCATGCATTTTGGGCAGGAACCAACGTTGGATCGACGGGAAGCAAAAACGGTCGGGTACGCGATTACAAGAGGAGGCTAAAGGAGGAGAGTGTTGGAGATTTGGAGTAGGTGGGTACGGTATGGAAGATTTTTAGTTTGGGGTCGATGGATGGAGAGGGCTTGCAGAGGGTGTAGTAGTGTGTTCGTGCTCGTGGGCATAGCTGGGTAGTGATGCTTGAACGACGTCTGCCATTCTATGCGGTGACAGATGCAGCGTCTGGAGAAAGTAGAGCTTCGATTCATGACAGATATGGTTGGCTGATGTTGTATGCATGTTGGGCTGCTTCTTGATCGTCAAGGTGCCGGTGATTCTACGTTGTCGTCGCATTCATGATTCCGATGTGTACGTATATTTGTAGCGCATCTCTTACATCTAATAGTAATCCGAATAGCGTGATGTACGCATCTATTGAAATAAGCAGATCCTGGTAGCAGTAGATTTGACCGCATTGCGCGGAGGGTTTCGACATTGAACACGCAGCCGCACCCTAAGATGGACACGTTCATGCATGGATCCAGAACTCGGCCTTGTTCAGGCTGCATGCAACCGCAAAAGGTCATGTATCTAACGGTTATACCGTTGAGGTTTGAGAAGTACGTTGAGGGGGTAGTCCTGCAATGTCAAGGCTCTAGGCAGGTCGAGCCGAATTGTGTCCGACGTTCCAAGAATGTAAGCGGCTTGTTCTAGAAGAGCTAACTTTAGAAAGTGTTGGCCGGCTGGTAGTGTAGCAGATGTTACAGGCTACATGCCACATTTTGCTCGACGTTGAAAGTATCAGAAAGCCACGTAGGCGGCGTAGCTATAGCGGGTGTGATAGGGAATCGACGGTCTGCCTACTCGCATGAGACCGAGCTCGATTGAGTTCATAGTCGATCGTAGTTTGACGTACCGGATAGCCGTTGCTGTCATCCCGGTTTGAGAGATGCTCGATTGGTTGCTCACATCCCGTTGCGGGCCCTAGCAGTCTCCCGTAAGTGAAGGACCACAAAGCGGAGTCAACGGCTCGGGTGCATTGGAAACGGGCCGTAATAGAATGACAATTTGTCAAAAAAGGACAGAATATGTGTGGCGAAGTGGAAGAGAAGCGAATACGGCGGGTGGTAATCTTGACTCGGTGACCGAATGCACGTCGAAATAAAGTTCGACGTGGGGCCAGGTTGCAGTAGCCGACACTTCGCGTATAGCGCGCGTGTAAGACGGTGAATGTCTTGGAGTAGTGGAAAGCTACACAGCACTGGTAACTTTGTTGCTGGCGTTACCCCGCATTCCTTGCAACATCGGAAACTGGCAAGCAGAGTATAGAGTGGCCCTACCTTCATGTCTTGACCTCACGACATAACTGCGTCGAGCATCTCCACTTCCCGGCCACGTGCCGGCTTGCAGATTCTGAGACGAACGATGGACCGGGGTTGGCGGTATGCAGCTAGCCATGGTATCTTGAAGAACTCGTGGCTCGCGTAGAAACTTGGAACTTGTAACAATAGTGGGTTCTGATCTTCCCTTGGACCTAGTGCGGAAAGAACGGGTGATAATGGACACAGCCGCGCTTTGTGTGCTGGATAGCACTGGATAGGTACCTGCTCATGACCTCGGGGTAGAGCTCGATGCGTACGGCCGAACACAATGAAGTTGGTAACCATAGCATCCAGCTTATCTCCAAAAATCGACGACAAACTCCGCAGTGGGGTCATGATCCGCGAAGAAACAAGGCATGTCGTGCATATGGTCCCGTAGCCGCGAATTTAGTACCTATAATAGCCGGCTGTTATTACATTGTGGATAACAGAATCAGTACGCGAGCGGTTGGGCATCATCGTACTTTCTGTACTGCCGGCCTACTCGGGGCTCAGTTACTGCCGTGGGAAGGTAGTAGCGAGAGCAGAATTTGCGGATGTACTCGAGATGTTGCTATGACTCTTGCTCAAAGATAGGCCGCTGGACTGTAGTGGTTGACATCTCCGCTCATCTCCGTCTGCACTGGTACCGTTTTGTGGGCGAGTGGAATGAGGCGGGCAAGGCGAAGCAGAGTGAGTGTTGGAATATATGGAGATAAGGCGTGGACGCTCAATGAGGAAGCGACGTAGGAGAGAATGACGACATGTCTCAGGACTTTCAAGGTTTCACGATGCACAGTCACAACACGTTGCTCATCGCGGGGTCATTTACTGGCTGAGGAAGGCACGCACGATGTGCTCAGTTCATAGCACGCGTGGTATTGACATGCCCGCCTCGTCTCGAAGGCCGTCAGCTGCTTGTCACGTGGGGGTCACAACTTGTCTTTCTTGGACCATTTGCTTCACATTCAAGTTTGATTCCCAGCTACAACCTTGAAGGTGCATATATCCAACGTACAATGAAGCTAGTTGATGTAAAGAAGCGGATAAAAAGTGGCGAGAGAGTCTAGGCGATGGGACTTCCTAGTTGGGACGTAGTGCGCCTGCGCGCGTGGACATGAATCACCCAGGCACAGTGCGTCGCCTGTAGTCTGATGGCAAGTTCCACCACGTAGCGGACGTCGAGGAATTGCGACAATACTCCTATGCTCCGGAGTAGGGTACCGTCCGGGAGAGTGACTGCGCTAGACTAATGGATGGCCTTGGAGTTTGGACAAATTTGCAGAAAGGGGGTGTGGTAGGATGGCGAGCCAGAGCCACATGGCGTTGGTGAGGGCGCTAGAAACAATCACGTTCTCTCGCACAGCTGCGGTGGCTTGATGCCTCTGCAGGAAAGGAGCAAGGTCAAGGGGCTCGGTAGTTTTGCGCGTGTAGTGGAGGCGGCCTTGCAGAAGATGCCCCTCTCTGACTGCGGTTTCCAGAGTTGCTGCAGCTTCGTCACCTGTGCCAAGACCAGGGACGGGTAGTTCGCGTAGGATTGGCAAGCGCTGAAACGCGCTATTAATTGTTCCTGAGAGACCGGCGCTGTCAAGACGCGAGGCCGCATAATGGAAGCAATTGTTTCCTCGCGAGTGAGATGAGGCTGAGGGATCTACAGCCGCATTCGCTGGGCGCGGACGACAAGGCCGGGAGCGGGCTGCCGACGCATGAAAGGCATTGCGCGTGCTATGCTCGAGCTCCTATGCAGCATGACAAAGATGCTGCGCCTTGTTCAGGTTAGAGATGGTCAGAGATGGACAAGGAGAATGGGAAGGAACGGCCGTCGATCGCTAGTGAGGCAAGACTAGCCCTGGAAGCATACTCCGGAGTAGATGGCGAAAGCTAGAGGGGCTCGAGCAGGGGCGGAAAGTACATGGAAACAAAGTTTGAGACAGGATTATTGCCCCGCAACGGTCCAATGGCAGGCAGGTCTCCATGTGCAGCAACGTTGGAGGGATGTCCAGGTGGACGCAGGGGAAGAAAGGAAGCAGCGTGCATCCGTCGCCGTCGCCCGGGCTGGGGTGGGACCGGCGAGGATTTGACTCGAGTGCCAGGCAGTCTTACAGGTGATTGACGCCGAGGTTATCTGGTACGGGTCTTAGCCAGGCACACAGACGCCGATACAGCACAGGTACGGCACACTACCTGCGCCAACCTGCAGCAATTGGCTGGGGTCCTTAGAGGCGGCCCCTGGACACGCTAAGGGGCATCTGGCGCGTTGGTAACCCGCAGTGAGGGCGTGCTGCTTGCTCTCAAAGGGCCTTCACAAGCAAAATAATCCGCGTCTTCATTTTTATCCTGGGCCTTTCTTTTTGTGCCTCTCCCCCAATCGCCGCCCAAGACTCCCAGGCGCCTCGACTGCACGCGGGTACACAGCGCTCGCACCCACCCACCGCCAGCCCCAGCCCGCCGTGCCCACGCGGATGAAGGCCATCTCGACACCGCCGACTGCACCCTCTGCTGGATCTACACGGCGCCGCAAAAGCACTTGCAACACCACACCCAACGGCCGGCGCACATACACGACCACAACGGCGCTGCCGTAGCCGCACACATGGCCACCTCACCACCAGGTTCGCCCGCAAACGGCGTTCCGCGGCCCATGAGCGCGATGATTAGACCGAACCGCAGCTCCAGTCGCATGAGCGTGAGCAGCAAGCCGGGCGGGAGCAGGGCCTCTGATGAGGACAGCAGGACGGCCGTCAAAGTTGGTAGGTGCATCTCAGGGTCCGCGACAAAACAATTCTTCTAACCACAATCTAATGCAGCTGTACGAGTGCGGCCACCACTGCAACACGGCGATCCAGGCTATGAGCTCATCCCACAGCGCTTCCGCAATGCCCTCTGCCACGTCACATCGCCCTCCAGTCTGACGATAGATGCGACCGGCGGCAAGAAGGTTTTTGTCTTTGACCGCGTATTCGGCGAGGACATCGAACAGGAAGGCGTCTTCGAATACGTCTCGGACAGCGTGAATTCCTTCGTCCAGGGCTACAATGTCTCCATTCTCGCATACGGCCAGTCTGGTGCAGGAAAGTCCTACACCATGGGCACCACCGGCCCGCGAGACCAGGCGGACAACGAAGTCATGGGTATGTTGATACGGAATCTACGAACGTCAAAACGTGATATTGACTTCTCCAGGCATCATCCCTCGCGCTGCGGCGTTGCTTTTCGAGAAGCTCGAGGGTACCAGCAATCGCGCTTCATCGTCAGGAATCCGCGTCCCAAGCCGTCTGTCGGGCATACACAACATGTCCTCCAAGGCGTCGTCATCGTCGTCTGCCAATCGGAACTGGCAGCTCAAGGCGACCTACGTCGAGGTAAGATAAGCCCTTCCGCCGTCTCAGGCCAGAACTGACGGATGCAGATCTACAACGAGCAACTTCGCGATCTGCTGATCCCCGAGCACGTGGCTGCCAATGACCGGCCACAGGTCAACATTCGCGAGGATCGCGATGGCCGCATCCTCCTGACCGGACTGACCCAGATTCCTATCAATTCGGTCGACGATATGCTGGGCGCGCTCAACTTCGGCTCCGCAATCCGGCAAACCGACGCGACGGCCGTCAACGCGAAATCATCCCGCTCCCACGCAGTCTTCAGTCTAAACCTAGTTCAGAAGAAGTCGTCACCTGCTGCGCCTACTCCGACACGCGAGAAGCGCCGATCCGTCCCTATCGAGATGATGTCGGGTTCCTCGAGCGAGAGCTGGGTGACAGTCGACAGCAAGTTGCATTTTGTGGATTTGGCAGGAAGCGAAAGGCTGAAGAACACTGGGGCGCAGGGTGAGCGGGCTCGGGAGGGTATCTCCATCAATGCAGGGCTTGCGAGCTTGGGCAAGGTCATCTCGCAGCTGTCCGCACGTTCCCACGGCGGCTACGTCTCGTACCGCGACTCTAGGCTCACACGCCTACTGCAGGACTCGCTTGGCGGCAACGCCATCACCTACATGATTGCTTGTGTCAACCCGGCCGAGTTCCATTTAAGCGAAACCTTGAACACCGTCCAGTATGCCCAGCGCGCCCGCGCTATCCAAGTCAAGCCGCAAATTCAGCAGATCCATGACGACAGTGATAAACAGGCTGCCATCGACCGGCTGCGGGCCGAAGTACAATTCCTACGGGACCAGATTCGACTGTCTGAGCGCACGGATCGAAAGAAAGCAAGCCCTCAAGAGAGCCGTGAGCGCCAGGACGAGCGCGAGACTGAGCTCCAGAACCAGCTGCTTGACGTTCAGGAGAACTACAATGCGCTGAGCGCCCGCCACGCTAAGCTAATCTCCGAGATCACCAAAGCCCGCGACAACAACGAGACGGAGACGCCTATGCTAAAGGATGCTATTGGTGACTCTGCGCTTGAGAGACTAAAACGATCTAATTCATTCGCCGAGGCTGTCGAATCGGTAGTCTTGGAATACGAGAAGACGATCCAGACGCTTGAATCTTCCCTTTCCAACACACGCTCCTCTCTGTCCAACAACGAGAGTGACCTCCTGGAAAAGGAGACCCGCATCGCAATCCTCGAAAGCCAGAACCACCACCTGCAATCGCGCATTCAGAAGGCAATGGAACGGGACGCGAACAACGAAGAGTATGTCCAGTCGCTTGAGCGCCAGATCGACAACTCGGCGAATGGCATCGAGAAGAACGACACCATCATCTCTGAACTGCGCGAGAAGTTGCAAAGGCTTCGTGAGAATGAAACCAGCAGCGAAGAATACATCTCTACTTTGGAAGAGCGTCTAGCTGAAAATGAGCAAGAGACTGAGATTATGAGTCGTGAGATTGAGCGACTCAAGCACGTCGTGGAGAGGCAGCGCAGCGTCGCCAAGTTGGACAACCTGCTTCACGAGCTCGACAACAAAGAGCACGCTGAGGAGCCTTACACCAATGGCCATTCAAAGACACCTAGCGACCCCTTCATTGAGAAGCGCCCCAAGCTTGAGAAGCGAGTCACGAGCGAGAGCATGCACCAGTTTGGCACTCCTGTGGATGCGATTCCTGAGGAGGCTGACAGTGAACGTCCACTCACAGCCAGCACCAAGCATGACGGTGCAGACGAGCAGAAAGATCGTTTTGCTGTCAAGGCTGCTTCAATTGTCGGAGACGAACCTTCCAGCCCTGCGCAAGCTCGCTTCGTCAACGACAAACTCGATACCGTGACCCAAGAGCTGCTTGACCTGCGTGTGGAGCACGAAGGAACGCTTCAAGACTATGAGAAGCTTGCCAGCAAGTACCAAGAGGCTTTGCGGACTTTGGCCGCTCTCCAAGACTCAGTGGACGAGGCGCGCCATCGCGGAATCACATCAGTGCCTTCCTCCCGGCCAAGTTCTTTCATGGCAGAAGCGGGCGTCAATGGACTCCCATCAGAGGACTTGTCGCCCTCGCGTACATTGTCTGCAGAGTTGGCCTTGGCAGAGGCTTGCAATACCAGCATTCCAGACGATGAGACAGAGGTTGGCCAAGATGAGGCCAAGGCTCGACGAGCATCAGTCGACTCCACAAACCAGGAGCAACACATTCCTGAGACTGTGTTAGTCCAGGAGCTGAAGGCCCTGAAGCTACTTCATAACGAGAAGGAGGAGCGCATAGAGAAGCTTCAACACAGCTACTCTCAGCTGCAAGAAGAGCATCAAGATACACTTGACTACGTGGAAGAACTGAAGTCGGAAGTCACGAAGGCCCAGATTCAGGCGAACCGACCATCTTCTCCATCCCTACACATGATCCGCCGCAAGTCTAGCCAAGCAGTCCTTGCGAACGATCGTTCTAATCGCGCATTCGCCTCGCTCCGTAACATGGCCCTGGATACGCTTGAAGAGGACCCTGATGCCATCCAAAACTTCGAGCTTAACCTCAACACCATCATGTCCGAGCTCCACTTACGGTCTGAGCGAGTGCAGGACTTGGAGGCAGAATTGCAATCTGTACGCAAGGAGATGGAAGGCAAGATGACACTGATCAGCGGCCTGACAAAAGAGCGCTCTAGCTTGAAAGCTGGGTCTCCTATGGATATCTCCATCGTCGCTTCAATGCAGGATCAGATGAAGCAGAACGAGGAGCATATCAAGGAGTTGAAGAATTCCCACATTCAGCGCGAGCAGGAGCTCAAGGAACAGATTGAGTCTCTCAAGGCATCTGTCAATCGATCTGATGATCTACTGTCACCTCGTCAGACGCCTGAGGGCATGCGAACTGTCAGTGGTGAGGAAGAACCTGAAGACGATGCTACCCGCCACACCCACCTCTCTCAGCTTAGTGATGAGGCAGCCCATTGGCAGTCCAAGCATCTAGAAGCTATCGAAGCTACCAAGGCTTCGGAGAAGCGACACCTTGAGACTGTTCGTGAACTAGAATCCGCCAAACAACGTCTCGAGGTCGACCATGCTCTTCGCATATCTGAGATAGAGCAAACCCGAGGCGCTGAGTCTGAGGCTGCTCTGGAACAGGAGAGGGCAAAGCACTCCGAGCTAATCGCTACTTTGGAAGCAGAGGTCCATGAGCACAAGTCCACGGCTGTTAGCCAAGCTGCTCGTCTTGCTGAGCTTGAGGCCTCTCACACGAGCATCCTTCAACAGATCGAGGAAGACTCTGAAGCTCGAGCGCTCACCGAGAAGGAGCTTGATACTCATCGATCCCTTGTAACCAATTTGGAGAGGCAGATCGATGAGCACAAAGCGGCGATTGATTACCATCAGCAGGGCATGGACTCCATCCAGAAGTCACATGCAGCTGAGCTCGAGAAGCTCACTGAGGAGCTTACAACACATCGAGAGACAACCTCTTCTCTTGAAGCGGATCTTTCTCAGGCCAAGTCTGAAATGGCGACGCTCCTTGAGGGTGTTTCGGCTGTTCTTGGCGAAGAGACGGATGTCAGCAACATTCAATCTCACATCGAAGCACTGGTCCAGGAACGCAAGTCCATCACGACCAAACTGGAGGAGGCTCAGGCCGAGCTGGAAACCTCCAGGAAGGAGCTTACGGAAGCCAGCAACACCATCAGTACGCTCAAGGGCAACCTGAAGGAGTTCGAGCTCATCAACGCCGAGACGATTAAGGAGCTTGAGAAGGTCAGCGAGAAGGAGCACAAGAGCGCCCGACTCGTGCAAGAACTCGAGGATCAGCTCAACCAGAACTGGGACCAGCACGAGGCTGCCAACAACCGACTGTCGGCTCTCCAGACCGAGCGCACTCGCGAGCTTCAAGACGCGATGAACCACGGCGAAGAGCTCGAGAAGGAAGTGCAAGAGTCACGCATCAAAATCGCGCTTTTGGAGGTAAGCTCATCACGTTCTTGACTTGAAAGAATAAGCTAACATGACCAGTCACAACTCGTGGACGCGAAGCGCAACTCTCATCGCGCTTCTATTGATCCTCGTGAAGACCTTCAACGATCCAACTCGAACAACTCCACTGCGCGTAAGAGCACAGCGCACACGTCTCTGCCTTCACCACCACCCGCCATTCCTCTCCCCCCTCTTCCCCCTGGCAGCCCGCCACCTCAGGCCAGTGCTCCATCTCCTCCTACCTCGCGCCATCAGAGCAAAGACATCGCTCACGCTCAGTTGGTGGAAGACCAGGAGGCCCGCATCCGTACCATCGAGAAGCATCTGTTTGCTGAGAAGCAGCTTACCGCTACTCTTGAGGATGCTTTGACCGACCTTGAGGCTTCAAGCACCAAGACCAAGACTGATCTGGATCAGTTCAGGAAGAAGTGTGCCGGCCTAGAGGAAGAGCTCAACATGATGCGCAAGGAACGCAGCGCAGCCCGCCACTCTCTTCAAGCCGTCGAAGAGGAGCGCAATGCCCGCCTTCGCGTTGAAGCCGAGCGTGCCCACCTCGAAGCTCGCATGGCCGCCCTCAACAACGCACAAAAGAAGGGCAAGAAGAAGGGCACTCTGAACTGCTTCTAGGCTTCTCCGCCTACACACCCCCACACACACCTTTGACCTTCATGTATCTGCTTCATTGCCATCTGCTTATACCGGCGTACATTGGAAGGGATTTTTACATACCGCGCTACATACCCCCGATACACCTGCTCTACATAGTTCGACGCTTTCTGGAGCATGTTTTGTTTTCGACATGTCTTTATGCTTTCAACGATTTGCAATGCTCGCATCTCTAGCACACATTTACCGTTGGACGCGGTCATGGCCGGTTGGACACCGAGAGGAACCCTTCGCGTGGTGCCTCTCTCTTCTCTCTTGCCTTTATGTTTGCATGCCCCATACCCCCCTTTTTACTTCTTCTTCACTTCAACCCACCTTACTTTTTTTTTCTTTTCCTAATGTATATTTTACGGCAGTTGACAGCTTGGATGGACCACAGTTAGTCGGAGTCGGAACCAAAGAGCCTTCTGGATTGTACGTTGAAATTGCTTTGGTGCGTGCATAGCGGAAGAGAGAGCGAAACGATGAACAATTTTCTTTCTACCTTTCTTGTTTCTAATTCGGGTTTTTATTTCTCTTCTGTGGACGGGGAGATGAAATGGATTATATGTGAGAGGGAGGTTTTTTCTGATGGATGATCCAAGGGACAACAAAATATCATGCCTTCGTTCTACATACAATGACTTCGCACCCGTGTCTCCTTTGACGCGAACGTACAAACAGTGCATTTGCCGCCCGGTCTTCCTTGACGTATAGAACCGTCCTGGCGGAAAGGCTATAGCAAGCAAGCCCTTGACATATCATATCACATGACCCTTAACAGCTGCACTCCCATCACATCATCACAAATCGCGAAACACCACCGTCACATTCATGACGACGCGCAATCTCGCTTTTCGTCAGCCCTAAACGCGTTATGTAGCCGAAATCGCGATTTGCCAGGCCGCACGCTAGGTCAACTGTGCCTCTTCCTTCCACTTTCCCTAACAGTGCCCTGTTGCTCTGTGCTGTCATCCTTCAGTATATAAGTAGTCATCAGTTGTACTTGCAGCGCTGTGCCTCTCTGTCCCCAAGTGTGCCGCAATTTGTGCGGCATGGTAGGTAATAGTGGCGTAGACGCGATGGATGCGATGGATGCGATGGCGTGTTGGTGCAGGATCGCGTATAGTCATGCTATACAGGGTTTACACGGGCGGGTGGAGTTTAGAATTGCTCCGGACCCCTTGCGTAGGGTTATTTAGATTATAAAAGTGCGGCGTAGATGTGTTTGGGTATTGCATTCGCATTGGAGAGTTTGACAAGGGGGGAGAGGTGTGTTCGAGTTATGAACGGTGGTTTAGGTGCTCTCGAGGAGGTGTGCGGAGCTGGGATTGTGGTGCGTCTTTTCGTTTGCAAACACATTGAGTGAGGTGTTTTGGGAAGTAGAAGAACCAGAGAAATAGACTCGTGCTTAGATAGCTGGAGAAACGTGGATGTGTATGATGTCGATGAAGTGTGAATATTGGCAAATATTCTATTCGATGGTATGTACCATGGTCAGTCTTGGTAGTAAGATATGGATTCGTCGGCAGTCTACTTCGATGTATCCCTTCCATTAGAGGACACAACAGTAGTAGTTTGCCCAGTTTCCCAGATTGACAAGAAAAGGTACTGAGCCAGCAACCGATCTGGAGTTTCATTACGCTTTGATACTAGATGATGCCGATATCTGTAGATTCCGGTATATCTTGTGTTGTTGAAACCAAACGTCTCTTCTACTATGAGCTTCTACAGAGACATAGAGTACTGCTCTGAGATTGAAGCTCATGTTGTCTACGAGTCGTGCATGGCGTGCGCGACCAGACCCTTTCTCTCAATGTAAGTTTAAAGCAGGCAGTCTCCAGTTATATATGTAGCGGCATGCGTATGATAGAGATCTGCTGTTCTAGGTCGCATGATGTTCGAAGGCTGAGACACATCGCCTTGATGCTTGAATTCAGAGGAGGTAGTCTAGAAGAGTTACTCATAAGGTGTTAAGGCATACCTAATGATCGCGCGGGAGAGTTCAGTCAGTTCGAATCGCGACATAACGATCTCCGCAGGGTGAAGTATATTTCGATAGATCCAGGCCTTGCAAGACCTCACGCGGAATAGTTGATGCCAGATGCACTCAACTTACATCGCTGTGGATTGGGAGGCTGGATGAGCGGGGCTGGTTACATAAGCACGCTACGGAGGCTCGGCGCCGGGGTACAAGCTAAAATTTCTGGAGCTCAAAACCGTTCTCTACATCACTCTCATCACCAACACCACATCGCGCATCATGATGCGCGCGCTTCCATTCAAGCGCCTTGATCAATACTAACGCAGCCATCGCGTATGCTCTATATACCAGGTAAGCCTTCTCCAGCCTCGCGACACCTGCAGAAGATTATCACATACGAACAATCCAAATCCTACAGCACCGTGAAGGACTACACAACTCTAGAATTACAATGATGCACTCAAGCGCTGCGGCATTATCAGAAGATTCAGTCTGAATAGCTGCTAACAAAGCTCTAGCGTTGCGATCCAAATCGCGCTTGGCTTCCTCCTCTCTACTGAATCTCTTCAAAGGTAAGACTTCACCACTACTCTTATCCCCCCTCCGCAGAGTGATGAAAACACGACACGGAAAGGCATTCCTCGACCTGAATATACAATGTCGACACCCTTGCTTTTAGTTTCAGCCTTGTCTGACCCTGCTCAATGCTATCGCATATTTGCAAAACTTTCTTCGCGATCAACGTGCTAACATTGATATTCGCAGGTACATACTCCTATACACGATCCCTTCCCCTTCGCGAATACACCTGGCTTCCTGATGAAACCCTGATGCGTCGGGCGGACATAACGTATGCCTTGACCGGCATCCATCAAAAGCAGGCGTACAAACCTGTGGGTGTTCGGGAGAGGCTTTACTTGTTGATAACAGCATCTCTGATTGCCTCTACACACCACAAATTGCGATGCTTCTTTGCGAACTGTTCAACTAACAGCCTCCGCAGGTATGGTAAACTCTCTTCTCCAGCAGTCGGTCCATCATTATAATGATGATTATTATATTCACGCTGTGTGAGAGGCGGCGTTGTAACGAGCGTCCGTCTTACTGATCACTACAAACACAATCTGATTTAATGAGGTAAGCCTTGATAAAAGCCATCGGTCTTGCAAATATTCGCTAACATGACGCAGGCTGATTCTTGATGGACTCGTACTTGTTCATCCTCTATGGATGTCGCATGTCTGTGTGGACTCACGCTGACACATCGACACCAGTTACCTTCTCATCCTTACATGTCTCTCATGCTGCATCTCTCGGTAAGTTCGATCAACAACCCACCTTCCACGCCGCCCCTAGTATGATGAACAACATGATTCGCTGTGTTCTTTCTTAATTATATTGAAGATAAAATCACCTTGGAGAACTGATACCTACACCTTACTTCCGTCGCTTTATCTCACACATGTGTTGGGCTTGTTGGCTAACCATGAACAGTAAATCATCCCAGTTGGTCGATGTTGAGCAGCTTTGCAATGCTAGAGGTGTACATAGTCAATGCAATCGTACATGAACCATATCTGATTCCTTTTGACGTGACTATGATGGCGCAATGTTTCAGCTACCATGCTATTGGATTGGCGATCCCTGGATGAGTGCATAGATTCTAACGGCCCACGGTGACCGCTTTTCTCACCGCATACCATCCGGTGTACCTCAACATGTTCACTTGCCCGCACCCGCCAGCTCCCCGAGATCAGATTCCCTGTACCGGCATCTACCAGCATCGTGGGTCTTGCGTGCGTCTATGCAAACCACATTGGGTCTGGTTCGCAGTTAAACGCGCATGCGATACGCGACACCTGCATGAAATGGCGGTCAAGGGACAGGATGTCCGCTGTTGTCAAAATCGCTGCAAGAAAGAGCTTAGCTCTGCAGGTACCCACCTGTTGTTTTCCTCTCTCGCCGGTGTGAATTGCTTGCAGTAGCATCTGTTTATCTCCCGAGCAACCAAAGCTTTTCGCACTTGTTCAGAGTTTGCATTCGTGAAGCGGGGAAAGCTTGGAAGCTGAGGCCCGTTTGGGGGTTGGGGTCTATCGGCACTATTGCTATCAGATGGGTGCACGGTTGCTGGGTTTTCACGATATCGACGATGTTTCTCTGCTGCAAGCGAAGGATATAGAGTGTTGGATTTTCGAAGTAGTCACGCGGGTAATGCATTGGAGAAAGCCTGTTCTGGTGTTGATGAAACAGTAGATTGCGTTGTCTCGTATTGTGCTGTCTCTATGCTGTGTTGTCTCGTCTTGTCTTATGAGAAAGAGGTTTAGTTTTGACGCTCTAGAATATTGGTGTGAGATGACGTGGTGCGTGTAGTGTGGGGTGTGCATGTTTCTCGGTTTGTGGCGGACTCGCATCGAGAGACACGACTAAGACGTGCATGTATTGATGAGGCGGGGTTATGACAAAGTTTGATATGGGAGCTGAGGCAGAGATTTGTTTGAGTCTATTGGTGTTGAGCGCTGTAACTTCAGTCACGAGACCGCATGTGAAATGTGATGAGAGCTACATAACGTATGAGTTGTTCAAGTTGCGAGGGGAGATGAAGCAGGTGACGGCAGATCTACGGAACAGACAGTATCTCATGCAGAGGATATGCAAAGATTTGCGGGGGATACATCGGTGGTTCTGCTGTACACAGGTCGTCGGTTGCTCAGCTCACATAAACACTAGCTCGATGGGCCGAGGGCCAAATTGCGATCGCAACAACGGTAGTTCACTCGCAGAAGATTTACATGTCCTGTGTCTGATTCGGTCCGAAGCCTTGCGGAGTCTGTGGAGCTGACGTTGGATGAGTCTCCGATGAGAGATGCCGATAGGCAACGTTCGGAAAGCGGGGAGGCAGTGGTGATCCGTACACTGCAGAGACCCTGAGATGGCGAGATTGATAGAATCGGCGATGATATGGGCAACAAGAGGCTCGTTGGCCGGTTGAACTCTGGTA